GAGAGAGAGGAGGGGAGGGGGAGGGGAGGAGGGCTTTCCATGTTTTGTTTTCGCCTTTGTACATCAGCCCACGAATCCTGTGTGACACTGACGGTGCATGCAGTAGCGGTGGGAAAAAGAATCAGTTTTTTCTTACACTTTGGTCCTCATCTGATGCACACATGACAGGACTGCATTGCGTTTTCCTTGTACGTGGATCGGACATGACTCTTGGCAGTGGAGGGGTTGGGGCTGGCCCCATGTGAGAAGGAGGAGAAACAAGCTTAAAAGGACAGAAAACACGGAGTTGATGAGGAGAACTGAGCCCGAGTTTCGAAAGGATTTTATTTAAAACCAAAAATCTAGCTTATTCCCGGGCTGCGCCATGCAACCCACGTTTTTCCCCAAGACGGATCGGGTCCCCCGGACCGATCGGACTCTTGTACCCGGCTCAAGGTTTCAAAAAAAGAAAATATACAAAAACTGGCAATGAGAAGAAAAAAACACAGTCGGCGACGACAAAAATCTTTTCTGGACTTTGTATAATAATAATAAGAACAATAGACACAAAAGAAGCAAACTAATACGTAATGACAGGCAGCACAATTGTGGAAACTAGTTGTATCCTTGCACTGTCGCCACTGGGGCGGCGGGCTTGGCAGGCCCCATGTTGTTGTAGTATTGCGTTGGGCTTGGTGCATAGACGGGCGGCGGCGGTGCGACTGACACGGGAGGAGGAGGAGGAGCAATGAATTGTGCGGACTGCTCAATGTCGTTGGCAGCCTTGTTTCTTCGGTGCTTGAGCAAGATGCCGCCGAGGACGGCAATGGCGATGACGAAGATGATGGGGAGGATGATGAGCTTGATCGCGCCGCCGATGAGACCCATTGTGGGAAGCGGGGAAGTTTTGTGAATTGAGCTGAAAAGGGGGTCCGAGTTGGATGAGTAACTAGTGAGAATGACTCGGCCGTATTAGACGGTTTTGACGGGTAATAATATTTGCAGTATTGTATGATATTTTTGAGACGTTGAGCATCTACGCCAAAGGACGGACTGCTTGTATTATATTCGACGACGGATTGTTTATATCACATCTCTTGCTCAGACATCTGTGCCGCTATACCCGGGCCTTGGATGGATTTCTTTCCCTGTTTCACAGAGTTTTCTTTTCTTTTTCTTTTTCCAATATGCTTTCCCATCTTGATAGGTCGTATTCCCTGCAACGTTTGTGGTTCAAGGTGTCAACCAGCGCTTGGAGAAGTCTTTTCGCTGGGCGATGCCTATGGAGACGGTGTTTACAGCCACCAGCGCCAGTTTCGGCAATACTGAGCCGAAACCGTTGAAGCGGACATCTCCGCATGGATGGATGAAGCGTAGCGTCGGGGTTGGGGTTGTTGATTAGGGGGCAGTCATTGGCCAACTTGCCCCCCTGTCTGGCTTACTCTTGTGCCAAGAAGCTAGCGAGCTTTGTGGAAGAGGATTCATCAACCATATTTAGCACTCGGAGGATTGGCATATTCTAGTCTAAATCATGTCACCATCAATTTTGTGGAATTTTGTGGTCTGCATGTCGATGCTACAGCACTTGGCCCAATCAGCCCACGTTGCGTCGCCGTTTTCAAAAAATTTCCATCTCCGGAGATATTGAATCTCAAGCTTGGTTACTGATTCGTGCTGATGTATCACATTTTATACAGTTGGACGGCGCTTACAGTAGAGTTAAAACATGTCCCCACCTGCACAGCCTCGTGGCCGCCGACCGAACGCATCAGCCGGTGAGCGAAAATGTAACAGTCAATGACCAAAGAATTTCCCGCGAAACGCAGCGCAACACGGTCAACGACAAGCAGGCGACGAAAGCGCTATATATTGCCTGAAAATATCCGAGATTCAATTTACACATTCTGCCCAATACAAGCGGGCTTTTCATTGCTTCTCAATCTCCCGATGGTGATTTAGGAAGGTGCAAACGCGGGCCAAAGCCAGTTCGCAGGCGTTTTGCACTCCTGCCTAGCTCAGGGTCTGCCCTCTTCACACTCTTCTGCTTAATCGAAGTTTTTGCTTCCATCATGCAAGTTTAATCTATCTGTGCCAATCAGCATGCTTCGGTGGCTTTCTGACCCTGGGCATGTCGTCCCAATCCAGGCTCTCCTGCATAAGATCGCCCCCCGCCCCCCGCGATGATAAACAGACTTCGCCGCTGGCCTTGCAAAGCACACAACGTGTGGGATAAGATGAAGAAGAAAAATAATAAGTCAATGGTCCTTGAATGCTCTTTGAGTTTCTCAATATCTCAAAAATAATCTTTTCCAACGGCGTTGGCTGACAAGAGCGAATCTCGGCTAGGCAGAGCCATGTTTTTTGTCGCCCTTGCCTTCGACGCATAGAGCTGCAACCTGTTGCCTTATAAACTGCCAAAAATAGTATCTCAACCCCGCACGATAAGGGGCAGGTTGGGTTTGAATATATCTTCTAACCATCGTCAGACCTGTCAGGTCTTCTAACCAGCATCACGAGAGTAAGAAACGAATACTATGCGATATCGCAGTCTACACTCACCTTGACTGCAATACATTGTACGCTGCGGTCTTTGTTCTCAATATCACAATGCCTGTAAAGAACTCCTCAGGCTGTGGCTTCTGTGCTGTCTTTTGGAATAAGATCCGCCGCAAAAAGAGCCCTTCTAGGAGCGAATCAATTTCCAGCCTCAAAACCGAAAGCGTAACCAAGACAAACCCGCAGACTCCTGGCGACAACCTTGCTGCTCACAAGCGCCCGCTATTAGGAGAGCTTATCACTATCAACTCTACTAAGCAGCGCCTCTCGAAAGACTGTTCGCTTTGGGATCAAGCATACAATGCGCTCGAAGAACGGGACCCAGACGGCATCTTCAAGGCTTACCATGTCATCTTCTCGCGACTCTACGCGGAATGTGAGTCACTATCGAAATTATCACCACCAACGAATAGTTAACTTCAACAGTCCAGGACGGAGCCACTCCATCACCACCTGCACCTCATGGTGGCAGTCGCAGTCACGCACCAATATTACCTTCGTTTGAAAATCCGCTCCCGCGTCGAGAGCTCCTCAGCGCCGTCGCCAGTCTCGGCCTGCAGCAAATGAAGGACAAAGAAATTGCTATTCGGCTCTGGGGCCACGAGCTGCATCCCAATAACGCTATTACAGATACTATATCGGTCATGGAAGCGCTTCAGAAAATTGTTCAGGACGCCGTAAGAGATCTTCCAAATGCTGCCATGGCCATGGCTGGTGTTTCGCTGGTTCTTCCACTCCTATTGAATCCGAGCACCGCGGAAAATGATAATCTCAGAGGATTTGACTACGTCACTTCACAGATGAGCTACTACATTGAGATGGAGGTCCTTTTTCTTCCCGTCGAGTTGCAAGTTAGTCTCAGAGACGAGCTGAAGCGGCAGATCAAGGCCTTGTACGAAAAGATTATCGAATACGAAATTCGAAGTGTGCTGCACTTTTTTAGCAGCCGAGTCACGAGATTCTTCAAGGGAAGCATTCTCTTTGACGATTGGAGAGGCAAATTGGACGAGATCCAAACATTGGAAACGACGGTTTTGCACAGGCTCAAATCGGCAGTATCCGGTGAGAGCATGAAGCACCTGAGCCTACTCAAGGAAGACGCAAAACTCATGCGTCAAGGCGTCGATAGCATTGTCAGTGAGTTGCATACCGCATCCAACGTCCTACAACGCCTAGAACGGCTGGAACTAGACAAGGAGGATCAAAAATACCTCGCGTCTTTGCTGGCTACTGATCCACGCCTTGCTAAGCGAGCTTTACAGAGCGCAAAGGAACAGCCGCTCCGCGACTCGTACGAATGGATTTTTGGTGATGAACAGTTTAAGCAGTGGCAGACGAATAATGGCAAAAACCAACTCTGGATCAGCGGGGATCCCGGCAAAGGCAAAACCATGCTTCTATGTGGGATTATTGACAAGTTCACGATTCAGAAAAACAAACAGCTTAATGTCGCCTTTTTCTTTTGCCAGGCTACCGATGCTAGCTTCAATAATGCAAACGCAGTCGTGCGTGGCCTTCTCTACATGCTTGTCAAACAACAGCCCGCACGTTGGAGGCACATTCGGAAGAGCTGTCAAAACGGGATGGGCAAGAGACAATTTCGAGGTACAACGGCTTGGGAAGCTTTATCTGTGGTCTTCACCGAAGTCTTGAATGACCCAATGTTGGACCGCACTTATCTTATTGTCGATGCGTTGGACGAATGTGTCAATGATCAACTCTGTCTTCTCAAGCTGATTTTAGCGACTTCCCACCTCAAAGGTGCGAAGTGGCTCCTCTCCAGCAGGAACGATCTGATCTGGCCTCAGGTCGACGATCAAGAGTTATGCGATGAATCCACAGTCCCCCTCGCTACGAGGCGTGTCCACCTGAAGCTTGAAGACAAGCAGGACTCGATCGCCACATCTATTGACGCCTACATTTTGAACGCAGTTGGCTCTTTGAAGGAAAAGAAACAACTCGATGATTTCAATGTTGATCTCATCAAGCATCATCTTGTTCAAAATGCAGAAGGAACGTTTTTGTGGGTGGCCCTGGTTTGCAAGGCGCTGGCGCATCCTGACGTCTTGGGCGGGGACATAAAGAGACAGCTGGCATCACTTCCCAAAGGCTTGAAGCCTCTATATTCAGAAATGCTGAAGCGAATTAGACACTCCGAATACGAAAGTCTGTATCGGCAGCTTTTGTCAATCATGTCTGCGGTGTTTCGACCCGTCACAATCGTGGAGTTGAGGGCCCTCTCTTCTCAGTTGCTCAAAGACTACGATGACGGGGATCTAGAACAAAGAATTGCTCGCTGTGGCTCATTTCTGACAGTCAAGGATAAGATTGTAAGTTTCGTACACAAGTCGGCGAAAGACTACCTGCTTGGCGAGGAAAGCATTGTGGCCGGGTCATTAGACGTGTCAGCGCAGCACTATACCGTATTCCTAGCAGCTCTGGAGCTCCTGACGTCGACTTTGCGACGTAACATGTGCAATTTGGAACTTCTGGGGCCCCTTTCTGAACGAGATTCGCAACCTGATCTGGAGCCGCTGATGCCAATATCCTACGCGACTGTCTTCTGGTTGGATCATTTCAAAAACTCGGCATTCCGAGAGTGCTTCGACCCTGCTCGCCAAAAAGAAGCGGCCGGTCTGGTGTGCAACTTTCTCAAAGAAAAATATTTATACTGGTTAGAAGCCCTCAGTCTACTGGGAAATCTTTCTCACGTAATGGGGCCTTTGAAAGAGTTGAGTGGATTTATGGTGAGTAGGCTGCAAGAATGGCTTCACATCGGACGCGCTGACAATATATAGACTCGGCTCGATGTAGGGCACAATCGGTGTCTAGTGAAAGATGCATACTGCTTCTTACATTCAAACAAGTTTATAATTGACGAGGCGCCGATGCAAATCTACGTTTCTGCACTTTTGTTCAGCCCAGATAAAAACCTCATTAAACATTTTTACAAAGACCGAGAGGTGCCCAATTTGACAATTCAACGAGGTGCTAAGGATAACCGGCAGGATAGCCGGCAGGATTCCATTCGGCCTTTGGGAGCTCATGAGAACATCGTGACTTGCCTCGCGTTTTCACACGACAGTCAATGGCTAGCTTCAGGCTCTCTTGACAAAACCATCAGGATATGGGATGCTAGCACTGGAGATTGCTTAAGAAAGCTCAACTGTAGTTACTCGGTGCGATCTATTGCCTTTTCTGGCGATAGTCTCCAACTGGTTTCATGCTCTTCAGCCAAAGAATGGGGTTTACAACCTGGATCTTTGGACTTATGGAACACTAGAACCGGCGCCAAACAAAGGACTTTTGACAGCCAGGTTTTAGGTCCCAGGTCGGTTGCTTTGTCTGATGACGCCCAGCGTCTCGCCTTAGTCTCTGGAAGTGGTTTATAGATATGGGATACCAACACTAAGAACAAAACATGCCTGAAGACGTTACATGAAGATACGAAGATGAGAGTGGTGGCTATTTCTTCCGACAGCCGCTATCTCGCTACCGGTGGGCCAGGATCGACTCTCAGTACATGGGAGTTAGGCACCAACGACTATCACAGAATTGAGGATGTCCACGATAAAGGCATATGGTCATTGGCATTCTTGCGCGATAGCGGGCGCTTAGCTTGTGGTTCTGGAAACACCGTCAAAATCTGGGATCTTTACGCTAGAGAGTGTCAAACTACTCTTCGGGGCCATGACTTTCCTGTCATGTTACTTGATTACACACCGAAGAGCCAGACGCTTGCTTCAGGCTCGGGCGACGGAATCTTGAAACTATGGGACACTGGTTCCAATTGTTGCCTGCAGACATTTTCGATACCAGTCTTTGAGTTGGCATGGGCTTTCTGCTATGACACTCAGCAGCTGGCAGTAAGCACGGGGGAGAAGATCGCAATCTCGGACATGAGCCTCAACGCTGGCACGACGGCCACTATTCGACACAGAAATTTGATGGTGGAAGTTGTGATTCTGAATAACGGCCAGAATTTTATGACGCTTTCGTCTGACGCAGCAATGCTTTGGGACACAGTCTCTGGTGATTGTTTGCATACTTACGCATTTGCCAGCCCCGACGAAGAACGAAGGAAACGTCACGTTCTTGTACCGGCAAACTGCCATAACCAACGACATGTTGTATTTTGTGACGGCAATGATGTCATAGTATGGGACACTTGCTCCAGTGATCCAGATAGAGACGCCCACTTGACAGCTCTGGGGGGGCACGATCAGCAAGTGACGGCAGTGGCAATTTCTGTCGACGGCATTCGAGTCGTCTCCAAGTCTCTCAGAGATGCTAAAGTCTGGGACGTCAAGAGTGGCGAGCATTTACTACTGGATGGCAGTTTCTCCGAGTATAGCTGGAAACCATTGGCGATTTCCGCCGATGGGCAGCAGGCGGCCTCGAAATCTAATGGCGGTGTCTTGAGTGTGTGGAACACTAGGACTGGCCAGTTGTCAATGGCGACTGAGACCATTGGAGGTTCTTCTGAGCGATATGGCTTGGTGTTCTCACCTGATGGACGACGACTTGCGTTCTTGTGGGATGCCGATGCCATCGGGATGATGGAACTTCATTCCAAAAATCGTTTGCGCCTTAAGAGTGACCAGATTAAAGTGACTTCTATAGCATTCTCCGACGACGGGCACCGAATTGTGTCCTCATCGTCGCACAGCGTGAAAATTTGGGAGTGCACTTCAGGACAGTGTCTTCAGGCTTTCTCCATTTCTCGCGATCTTGGAAGAGTCTCATTTGACCCACTAAACAATGACAGGCTCCTCGCAGACAAGGGAGCAATGGAAGTCAAGCCTGTGCGGGAGTTGCAAGTTAGACAACGCTCGGGTGGGTTCTCGACTTCGATCGTTCATGTGCAGTTTGGCATCAGTTCTGATGGCTCCTGGATCGAACATTACGGAAAGAAGGTGTGCTGGATTCCTAGCGTTTATCGTTCTCCCTTTTATGCTGTCAAAGGGTCAGTAATTTGTGTAGCAGGTGAAACGGGTTTGGCTTGGTCAGCGACGTTCAAGCTAGAGTAAGTTGAACAAGACAAATACGCACAAACCGGTACATTGAGACTTTGTCAAGCTTTCCTCTATATCTTCCGTTTACGGCTTGCAAGAAACGAAAAGAGGCTACTTCGACTTGTCATGGTTGCTGGGGGGGTGTTGTTGGAGCGATTGACGATGAAGTCGACCAAGTTGAGCAACAGTGCGCGACTCATCTAATTAGGACACTGGTATTGATGGCTCGATTATTAATTCTGAATTAAAAGCAACCGAAAATTCCGCTCCAGAGAATAATGACAAACATGGCATAGACGGTGCCAAGTCTACAGACAACAGGGTCCTCGTTGCAACTATACAGGTACAGAAATACACTTTATAGGCTAGAAGATTTTTAGAATTACCATCTTATACTAAAACACTAGACCATCTATGATCGAATGTTTTATAATGCGTCTAGCGACTGATTGCATTCAGGTCGCGCTCGTAGCTGCACTAGATGGCCTGCCCAATCACCACTCGGCTCAGCAGGCAGACAGTTGACTTCCCCCACCTTCCCCCACCATGTGACGAGTCTCAATCATGAACATTGTCATACGCAACATTCAAGTCTAGGTCATTCCGACATTGTCATCCGACGTGCCTTGACATTCTGTATATCCCATCAGTCTCTATTTCCGAACATTCTGGATTTTGCCCGTACCCGGCACACGCAACGACACACACGAGCCAAACATTGCCACCGCCTCGAACTGGTCCGACGACCCTTTTGGCCCAGAACCCATCAGAAAGCAAAATCACCACCGATAGATACAAATACCACACAAAAGAACATAATCATAGAGGCATCACCTATATTTTTCTCCCACGAACCATGAACTATATCTACTCAACAGTCAACACCCTGCGGGACAGATACACGCCCGTCTCGCACACGTCCACCTTTCGCCAGACCGGCCAGATCACGCCCGAGGAGTTTGTCGCCGCCGGCGACTACCTCGTCTACAAGTTCCCGACCTGGGCCTGGGGCGACGCCGACGACGAGAGCCGCCGCGCGAGCCACCTGCCCCCCGGCAAGCAGTACCTCGTCACCCGCAACGTGCCGTGCGACCGCCGTCTGAATGACGACTTTGCCGGCGACGCGGGCCACGAGGAGTCGGTCGTCCACGACGGCTTCAGGACCGCGGCCAGCGGCGGGGAAAGCGGTGGTAGTGGTGCTGGAGGTGGCGGTGCGGGGGACGATGAGGATGGATGGCTGAGGACGGGCGGCCTGGCGAGCTCGCAGCCGCTCAAGGCAAAGGATGTCCGCACCGTGGATGATGCGGGGAACGTGGGCGCGGCGGACGAGGACGAAGACGAGGATGACATTCCCGACATGGAGGATGAGGATGACGACGAGGCTATTATCCGCGATGCTGGCGCCGGCTCGCAAAAGAGGTGCGACATTTTCTCGAATTATTTTTCCTTACCAGCAAACACCAACATCCCTCTCACCCCTTCCCTTCCCCTCCCCCCCTTTGAATCTACAGTTTTTACTAACCCAAAGGATGCAAAACAATGCTCGCAGCGGCCGACGCACATACACCCTCTACATCATGTACACGCCCTACTACCGCACCCCGCGCCTCTACCTCTCCGGCTACCGCGCCGACGGCCAGCCGCTGCCCCCGCACGACATGATGGACGACATTGTCGGCGACTACAAGGACAAGACCGTCACCCTCGAAGACTTTCCCTTTTTCGCAAACAATATCAAAATGGCCTCGGTGCACCCTTGCAAGCACGCCCCCGTCATGAAGTCGCTGCTGGACCGCGCCGACGCTGCCCTGCGGATCCGCAGAGACAAGATGCGCGCGGCAAAGGGGGACAGCAAGAAGCAGACGGCGACGTCGACGGCGACGGCGACGGCGGCAGAGGGGCTGGCAGAGGGGATTGGGAAGCTGGATGTTGGGGGCGCGCAAGAGGTGGCGGATAAGGATGAGTGGGAAGAGGTGCAGCAGACGGAGGTGCTGGATGAGAATGAGGTGGCGATTCGCGTGGATCAGTACTTGGTCGTCTTTCTCAAGGTCAGTCTTTTTTTTTCTTTTTTTTTCTTTTTTTTGGCTTCATTACTCTGTGTTTCTTCCTCTTCTTTTTGCTTTTCGCTTTACCCAGTGATGATGGTACTAACAGATTGCAGTTCATGGCCAGCGTCACACCCGGCATCGAGCACGATTTCACTATGGGAGTGTAAAATGGAAACGATGCTAGGTGATGGAGTTGAGCGACGTTGCGAAAACATTTTGATCGAATACATTCAACAGTATCACAGACACGGAAAGAATAATCACTCGTTTTTCTTTTCTTCCGTGCTTATGGCGTCTTTTCTTTGGGTTTTATTTTTTAGGTTTTCTGTTTCCCAATCTGTTTTACGGTTTGTTGTCTGTTTTACGTCAAACAAGTAGGATGGATAGTTCGAACTGAATACAATACATGTGCAAACTTTTACCGGCTCATTGTTAACATGGCAGCCAACGTGAGTTCAATTTTCATCTCAAAACATCAAGACGTAAAAAAAAAAAAAAGTCTATGTATAGAATTGGTCTAGTCGGGTTGTGCTCACGACAATAAACATGTATGTACAGATCAAACACGTCGTGGCTGGTGAAAAAAAGTCTATGCAGACGGACAAGAAGAATATACATTTTCCACGTTCCTTCCATCACCCATTCAATAACATATAAAAAAAAACACGGCATCCGTGTCAAAAGTTTGCAAGTACAAGCTCGCTTCCGTGATCCCAATGATGAATTTCGCCCTTCTAAAGAAAATGTATGGTTTGGTGTTGTAGCCACGTAAAAAGGGGGGGTATAAAAGCAGTGAATGAATGAATAAAGTCCCTTAGTCCCGCCCGAAATCAATTCCTTGGTGTAATGGTCATGGACAAAGAAACAAAAAAAATGGTCGTGTAAAACGTAAAGCAGTGTCGATGCAAATAGCCAAGAAAAAATATGGATGGCTCAAGGGTTAAACCCGGGGAATGTATACCAAGACCCAGCATACGACATGAAACGGACAGTCTTGCTCAAAACACACACGTCTCATGTCGCGCAGCCAATCGACGAGCACACTATGCCACGCCAAACGGAGCGCCAAAGTTGGTCGTTGTGCGAAGCTTGAGCGGAACGTCCACATCGAGCGGCTTAACATCCACGGGGATGTCAGAGCCATTCAGTTTTGGTTTGCCGTCGTCCGCCAGCTGTGACTTGATGACGGTGGGTAGGGCCTCCTCCTCGCTATGGCTGATGCCCTCGAGCTTCTGATTGACGCGGGCCCAGAAAATCTCGTCCTGCGCGGGAATATTCTTCACCATGAGCGGGCCTTTGAGCGGGATATCATCCTTGGGCTCACAGCGAGGCTGAAGCTGCGTCTCGTCGACATCGTCGACCAAAACATCTTCATGTGGCTTAGCCTCCTCTGAAACAGGGTCTACGGGCTCTGGCTCCGGAGCGGGTTCGGCCTCATGGATGTCTTCTTTGACAGCCTTGTCAACTGCCGTGGGCGTTGTTGCCTCGCTCTGACCAGCCGTCATACTGCCGTCGAGTGTCGTCATGGTGGGAAAAAGCGATAATGAGTGGTTGGGCGTGTGTCCGGCATGCATCGTTCTGCGACGCAGCTCACCGGCTGCGAGTGCTTGCATCGTCTGAGCCTTGTGCGAGGATCGTCGGTTGGGGGCACCCTCCAGATCCGTGGAATTCTGATCCGCGGGTGGCGACGTTGCGGGCGAAGACCTAACAGAAGACTTGACAGAAGACTGTGTAAAAGTGTCGCGGACTGCGTTGGCCTTGATGAAGATGCCGTCCAGCTTGGGGTCAATCTCGTGGACGTCAATGACAGGAATTGGTGCGTCGCTCGACTTGTTGCGGAAGGCAAGAAAATCCCGAGCAGACGATGTCTCGGGCTGGGTACGTGGATCGAGAGGCAAGGTCGCGGGCTGCTCGGGATTGCCTGTCGGAGAAGCGCGCGACGTGTTGCTGCTGAGAAAGTGTGGTCGGCGCGAGGCACCCTGCAAACCAGGCGGAAGCAAGTCGACATGCAGCTTGGCACCGGCGGCAGGCGAGACCAGGCCGCTTAATTGGCTGAGTGGCGAGGACATTGACTTGAGGCCGACATTCTCGTTCTCGAGATGCTGAACACGGTCGCGCAATGCATGCAGCTCGCGTTGCATGGCCGCCTTTTCCGTGAACCATGACTGGCGCATATCATCCATGATAGTGCGCTCCTCCTGGTAGACCTCTTCGGCGCGTTTACGATTCGCCTCGAGGTATTTGCGCTCGGCCTCCCAGGCATCGCGGATGAGCGAGTTTTGTTGGGCGAGACGCTGCACGAGATGCAGCGACGTCTGCTGCGGCGCGGCAGCATCTGCAGAGACAGAGCGGAAGAGCGACGTGGCAATGCCCAAGCTGGACGAGAGAGCATCGCGGGGCAGATTGCCGGCAGGAGGAGGCGGCGGCATTGGGGGTCCGGGCGCCCTGGCGACGCCAATATCGGTGGGCGAGAGGCTGCTATCGCGACGGAGGGAGGGGTCGAGGGAGGAGGAGAGAGGTATGTAGGAGGACGCATAGTTGAAGTGTGGCGCAGAGGGAGCGATGCCGGGGGGCGCAACGGCAGCCGAAGAGGTACGTGTGTGGTATTCGTGGATTGGTTGCAAGTTGTAGGTGGAGGACTCGGGCTGGCTGGCGGACGGAAATGAGGTTGAGAGGAGGGCGTCAGGATCAAAGCCGCCCGAGGGAAGAAAGGCGTCGGAAGATTGCCTCGTCATTGTGAGGGGCGGCGATGTAGGTATGCCGCTACCATGGCGCGACCAAAGAGCAGCGTGAATTGTATCGGGTCTCAACAAAGAGCAGTTTTCGGTCTAGAAGACGGGGAGGTCGCACCAAATTCTTCAACCACGGTGACACGGGGAGAAAATAGATCAATAGGCGGACTAGCGTGGAACTGCAGCAAGCGTGCAGGGTCGTCGGGACGTGTACTGCAGGGTCTCGTGGCGAGTAGCGGAGAGAGGTGAGAGACTGAGAGTCAGACAGAGAGACAATCGCAGAACACACTCGAGACCAGGGTCCAGAGAGAAAGCGGAGAGCAACGACGAGGATGGAATGGCTTGTCTGCGGGTGCCGGGGTGGTGGTGGCCAAGAGCGGAGATGGGTGCGTTGTTGAATGCAAGGATGGTGGCTTGAGTATTGCGTTGAGGGCCGGGGTCGACCGGGCAGGGGCGGGTTGACAAGTCGACGATGGGCGCTGATGGTGTTGAAGGGGTGCGAGACAGAAAGAGGCGTCCGGAGGAGGGTTCTCAAAGAAGCGGTCGTTCGGTGGCAGCAGCAGCAGGGCGCGCGCGATGCGTGGCGCGAGTCGGTTTGAATGCGCTGCAGAGGGAGAAGATGTTGAGGGAGATTAGCAGGGCATGGGTTGATGATGATGGTGCGTGTTTGCAGCAAGCAGAGAGGGAGAGCAGCAAACGAGTCGAGAGAAGAGGCCACACGAGATGCACGAGATGGGGTCGACTCGTACCTACCTAAACTTATTGGTGGACTTTTTTTTTGGGCTTTTTGGGGTGACTTGATTTGCTGGTTTCAGTGGCTTTGGGCGTGCCTGGCCAGTGGCTTTTGGTGGTAATTGCGGCATTTTGAGTGGTTGAACGTCCTGGAGCCGCCCTAATAAAGCGCTCTGGGAGCTGACCCAGAAATGCCCCAGAACTGCCCGAGATTCTGCTACAGTTGCGCGCGCTTTGGTCACCAGGTACCTGTCCAACGTACCTTTTCTGCAGCCTTTTCCTTGAACAGAAACAATAGACGAATTATGAAAATGTAAATTATTCATCATTAAATATGTTTCATCATATCATTCGGCCGAATCCATCGGCTTCTAACCCCAACTGCAGCCCGCGCCTCGTGCTGCGACTTTCGCGACGCGAACAGGTACCAGCAACATGCCTGCAGGGGCCTCTTCTCTCCCCTTGTTACCCAAGATGGGAAGATTCTAATCGGCACTTGGCCTCGGCCCGCCCCTTTGAAAAAGCAAATGTTTGCAGACCGACCATTCTCTGGAACAAATGGTCTCCCGTATTAAAAACCAGTCATTCCTTTTCTTTATTTTCTTTTTTCTCTTTTCTTTCCTTCTTCTTTCGCTAACCAATCAGCCCCTCGGTTTCTCCGGAGCTTCCTCCGAGCATAAGACGCCACGGCGCAATAAGTCAAGCTGCCGGCAGTATACGCCCTCTATTCGTGCGAATTTCACGCCTCTCTATGAACCCTGTGTGACGCCTCGGATTAGCTCCTCGTTGTATTAGACAAATTCTTGCTTCAACGGTCGACCTACCAGGCATCTCTGTTAGCCTCAACTGCCGCGTACCCCTCCAAAACCATTGACCGGCTGGCGGTGTGATCGAAAGCCACCCTCCCCCGGCCATGAATGAATGACAATGCCTCTCATTTCGCTTCTCATTTCGCGTCTATTATTCTGTTCAAGTACGGAGTGCAAGACGTCATAGCTCTTGGGGCTCCTGTTCTTCGGCTGCTTACACACTCGACCGAGAAGAGGCTCGGCTATCGGCGAACTATATCCTTCACATGCCAACCAAATCCGAAGCACAAGAAAACTCTAAATAACATAGCAACTCACACTTTGTGCTTCACAATTTATATGAATAACGAGAGGACAATACTTAGAACTCGTACAGCCTACTCCAACCAAGTCACTGGTTGTCCACAAAAGAAAATCAGCCAATAAAGGGGGGAAACAAAGATGTGCAGGATGAAAATGAGAAAAGGAAAAACTCGAGGCCATTATTCCCCAATACTGGCGAATACAAGTTTCCTCGCAGCCACTTGTCGTCTATGGAAAGTTGTTCCTAGGTCAACCTACCAATCAGTGACAAGGCGCTTGTCGCACTCATCACTCACAGCTTGCCACGGAAGTCGCAATCAATAAAGCGCGGTGACAAGAACCAAAAAGAGAAAGACATTTCGCACCATCATCGGGCTCCATTACAGCATCGTTTCGGGCTTCACCTTCTTGACTGCACCCGCGTGCGCGCCCAACAGTACCGAGACCCCCCCTGCGATCATCGTCTGTCTTGCCGCCCAATGTGGCTCCAGCAATGCCCTTGTCACGCTGCTGCATGCACCTACAAAAGAAGTAAGGCATGACAGACTGGTAAGACTTTAAGAGATTATCAGCTCCGAGAGCTCGTTTAAAAAAGCAGCTTACATCGTGGCTGCCAAGTATTCTCATTGCATCTGGACTAGACTCGGTATTGATGCACACGCATGTAAGATGATATCTCAACTACAGGACGAATACCTTCTCACATCATATTGAACTGCCAAACGAGCCAAATATTGACAAGGCTCATATAGCCGTAAGTGTTGGCATCGAGTCATGCAGCCATCCCCAACATCAGGCGAAACATGGTCTGGGATTCAATCCGAGTCGATCGGATCCCCGGATCGGTCGCCGCCATGTCATCTACTTCAAATCCTCGACACTCTGAAAGAGGTCAGAGCTCTACCCGAAAGTAGCAATCTGCAAAGACAAGAATACGCGGAAAAGGGGATCCCTGATTTAGGCTTTCGGACTCGGGGTCTATCTATTCATTGTTATGCTCCGATCACCGATGGTTCTAGCCTCCACAACAGAGGCGGAAGCATTTCCGTACGTGTAGGATTCCCGGTTTTGCTTTTCCAGAAAACATGAAACAATAAACTTGTTAAAAAAAAAAAAAAAAAAAAGAAGGAAAAATGGGGGATAGAAAGCGGAGTCAGCTTCTGTGAACCAGATTGGTCAAGGCAGAACCCTTCAACATCACGCACCCTACGAAGTAATTCGTACGCACGCACGCACGCTGGCTGAAATACAAAGGAAAAAGCATCCGTACCCCCTAATTCAAAGTCGACAAAAAAAGAACAAAAAAAGGAAGAAGAAAAAGAACAGAAACTGTCAAGCACGAGAGCCTAGCAGGTCTCACAACGACTCACGGCACACTCCTCAAAGGTGTCGGGTCGTATGCGGCCGAGGCAAGAGATCAGTAAATAGGACCGTACGAAGTAGTCGGGCGTCGATCTTGTTGTATATAAACAAGCAAGGGGTGCTGCAACACAAAAACGAAAAACCTTTGGCCCCGGCATGCCGGTGGATTCTGCCTCGTAACATGCAGCAGTATGTCAGCAATGTAAGCTGAGTAGCCTCACCTCTGGTGAGCATTTTCGTAACCAGATGGGCTGGGGTACAGAGAGGTACGTAAGGCAAGACTCGCACAGACACTCCAAACGGTCGGCGGAACGATCCGATTAGAAGCCAGCCTTCTGCGCTTGCCGCTCTCTCGGACCCGACGCGGCCCATCATTTCGCGTCAACAAAGATGATCACCTTGCAGAAATCAGGCCATGCTGCACTGGCAGCCTAGTCTTTTTTCTGAAATGTGAGGGAAGATGGGACAACCCCTGTTCCTGCTCATTCTCCAACTGGTTCATCACATTCTTGCGCCCGCTCCAGCTTGGCGCATTCAGATGCGCCACCATGCTGGGGGTGCTGGTTGATAGAGTCGATTTATTGGCGGCATTTGTCGCAGCAAAATGTCAAGGCTGACAGCTGGGCGCAGCCAGGCGTCCCCTGCTTTCTGAGTGCGCCTCTTTCCTGCCGCATAACTGTTTTCTCTTGAGATCCTTTCTGGAGACAACGATGCAATGTACTTTAATGCAATATGTAGGTGTAGTTCATGCAAGCAAAGAGTCCCGCCTAATACGGGACCGCTGGGGCCGTGCTGGGGTTGTTGTAATGAATGGGTGACGAGTCGTCATATCCTCCTCGTCATACTTTGTACAGACCGCTTGGTTATTCAACACATCGAATATAAGAATGAGTGGTATGGTTGCACAGCGGCTGTCCTCGTGGTACGACACCACTGAGTTCTCAGGGCTATGAGCTGCGCACCAAATCACAGCAGACGGCTGAGGGTTTCACGAGAGCGGGTGACTCGGGTGCTACGTGAGCTGGGTGCACAACCGTACAACCTTGTCTGCCACATGTCTTTTAGCAGTCAGAATGGATATCGCCGAAAGATGACGACAATGGTGGATTAGCGAGGCGAGACGCAAAAGGGACATGTCCGGGTTTCTGGTAAGACGACGCAGGAAGCCTGCTGAGAATGCTGCGTGGAAGCCGGGGAGACTGCATGTGGTTATTGTCACAGTAGCACAAGAAGGCTGAGTGAGGTCAGCGGAACTCCCCCGCCCTTAGCAGCAATCCATGACACACTTGGCATTGTCTGATTGATCAGACATGTCGTTACGTGTACAGCGGGTACGGATTACATACAAAGCACAAGAAGGGGCGTGCGACAAGTAGAGGCCAGGGTTGAACCACAGGAAAACCAACAAGAGCTGCTATGCGACACGGAACCAGGAACCCGGGACAGTAAGCAGCGGTATGGATCGTATGTAGAGAGTCTTCGCACTCACAAACAACTGAGCTGGACAAGGATTTGTCGCGACGACAGCCCGCGCGTGAGCTGCTGTAGCCCGGTGGCTTGACGTAGCTCGTTGGAGGGAGCGCATTCGTAGAAGTGAAAGCACACTGCTAAATAATATTCGTTTCCTTGAAGGGCAGTTAGTTCCAGCTTTGGAGAGCATCATCTCGGGTGAGTGGATGTGGCTTGGGTAAAGTTTGAAGGGGAATCAAGCAACAAACAAGTGTTACAAGGACATGATATGCAGGCCTCCGATCAAAGAGTTAAAGAGGATGCGGATGGTCGGACGAGATGAGGGTTGCGAGGCTCTGCATCAACGCAAGGGGGGGCGGACTCGGTGGACAGTCAGCTGCGGAGGAGAGGGGCATGCGGCCGATAAGTTCGGGGGATAAGCCGGGGTTTGTGTGGCATGATAATTGTGGCGTGATAGTGGTGATGATGAAGGTGGCAACTGTGATGGTAGTAGTGGTTTCTCGGTTTCGCGTTGGGAGGGCACGGCACTTGACTAATAGTAGAAATGCTTGCGGGCACAATGGTCATGCTTGTTACAAAATGGGCGTCGAAGAGCCGCAATGGAATGGATGCCGATGAAAGATGGAATGCAAGCTGCAGGCCAGGTGTTGGAGAAGATGATGAGTAGCAGAACCCAGATTACCAGGCACCCAGGTAACAAGGCCAAATTGAAGCCTCAACATGGTTGCAGGTGCCGGTCAGCTGCCTTTTTGGGTGGATTGTAGACCCTTGGCGGGGGCCTCGGAGGAATATGAAGAGCCAAGCCCGCTAGAGCAGTGCAACTACAGCGGACAGAGAGCAATCTACAGGGCAATTAGCGCACTGACTGTCCACTGACAGGCCTGGACATCGGGCTACAGTGGATTCCAATGGGCAACTGTGGGTTCCGATGGGCAACTATGGGGCTTCCCGGCGCCAACTGACACTAGCCCGGCTGGTCTAAGCTCGTTTCGATTGTGGCCTCCGACTTCACTTTTTTTTGGTCACTTTTACCAGTATGCTCCTCCACACTCGCGCAGCAGCCACGCAACCAGCAACCAGGCAAAGGCAACCATCATCAAACACACGCCGTTATCCTTGTTCTCGTCCATCGACTCCTTGGTGACAATTCGGCAAGCATTTTTCTTCTAATGGCAGGGGCTACAACGCCACTCTATACCCACCATGCATCGGCCGACACTCCCCCGTTTAATTGCACCACCAAGCGCTGATGGGTAAATGGCAGGCATCCATCTATCCATTCATGCATCAAGGTTATGTGCATCTGTCCACTCTAGCTGCAGACTACAGTCTTCCGAAACATTTCCCCGTCGTTGTCCGCCTCGACCACCAATGGCCTATTCATCACCATCGACGATGCCTCTGCCAGGTGTCTGTCAAGCAACAAACAGGGGACCAAGCAAGAGCCAATCTTCACCAGCTAGCCTGCATGCTGCCATACGCCACGCAGCGCATCCCCGACTATTCAACCACACGGAGCCACTTTGATACTTGATGCAACCCACCACCCCTTCTCTCAGCTGCGATTCGGGTCCCCGAGCGTCCCCAAGCCCTGCGTCCTGGCACGCCTGGCTGCTAGGCGCTCCTCTCCAGACGCAGGCGCAGATGCAACACAACGCTACAAGGCAACACATCGGTTCATACATATTCAATCAGCGACGAAAGGGCCTGCAAAAGAAAAACAAATACATCCCTGTCACTCATCGACGCTAGGTACTCCGTACGCAACAGAAAAAGCCCCTCTTCCTGGCCAGGGAAACCAACAAGCACCCATATTGTGCCACTGCCCTTTTCTACCAATCTACCTCCCTCACACCCCTTCTTTCTCCCCTCCCTCTCTCTTGCCTGTTCATTTCAATCATTCCGCACATGTGCTACATCAATTCTGACTGATGGACTGGGGGGGTAAACAGGGCCGAGAGACAACGAGATCGGCTTTTACAAACTGCGTCACTCACGCCCAGCCGCACGCCGTGAGACACCTGCACCTGATTCTCACCACATGCTCTTCAGTCCATATAAATCTGCAGCTTCCCGTCTCCCACATCATGGCCAACGAGACCCTTTAGCCAGTTAGCCAATCATCTGCTCTTCATACATCTAAAGAGCTGCCATCACTTCTTTTTCCGCTTCCCTCTCGAAACTTCCACACAACGCGTCCTGCTCTTCTCCATTGCACCGTCAACTCGCCCATGACATATTTATACGACACTCCGGATCCTACTATACATGGCATACTTCTACCACAACTTGACGACGACCTAGAGTTTGACTTTGGCATCTTTTACATGGACGACATGGACGACATGGACACCATCAAAATACCAGAAACCCTCCGTCATCGCCCCCCGTTACCTATCACCCGCGACTACGGACTCGGCATTGAACTTATCGGGAAACCCGTCCAGTGTCGAGATGAGCGCAACGATCATCCCTCTGAGCCTCAGCGTCGCATGGATGAAGCCGTTTTCAAGGTCGGCAGTCCGCAAAAGCTTGAGCGCAAGCCATTCTCTGCCTTGTATCAAGAATACTGGCAGGACAATATGGATAATGACAACGACGAAGAGCTCGAGTTTTCCAGTGAGTCTCTCTTTCAATTCAAACGGCTGCCTAATGAATTTCAACCCAGGGCTAACCATGCTAGGCAACTACTTATTGTCCCGGGCTCCGGGCCGCCAGGTGAATCTTGCTTGCCACCGCACCCGATGGGTCGTTTACAAAGAGGGCCAATTCATCACCTCCAATGAGAGTATTGCCCTCCGCAATGCCGGCGAGCAGGGCTTGCCAGTTCCGAAAATATTTTGCCGCGAAAGGCTCTACTCTGTCGGGAGTGAGGACGTCTACAGTATCAAGATGAGCTACATCGCTGGACGGTCCTTGACCAAACTCTGGGTCACACTGACTCACGAGGAGAGAATAGACGTCTTTAAACAAGTCCGAGTCATGCTCCTGCGACTTACCGTTCCAGAAAATGCCCCCAAATTCATCGGAAGCTGTGATGGTCTGGATATTCGTGACAGTAGACTTGCCAAAACTCATTTTGGCCCCATCTGCAAGACCGAAAAGGACTTCAACAAGTACTTGGTCTCGACCATCTCAACAGCTCCGGTCAATATCCGACGCGACTATCTCCGCAAGCTCAATCAGAAGCGGCATCGCATCGTCTTTTGCCACGGCGACCTGTCTCCTGATAACATCATCGTCAACGAATACATGCAAGTCATCGGGCTACTTGACTGGGAAGACGCCGGTTACTATCCCGAGTACTGGGAAAATATCAAGTTTTATTCTCGCCCTGAGATGGTGAACGGATGGCATGAGTATGGGAAATATATTTTGCCTCATGCCTATGACGAGGAGGTCAAAGACTTTCTCCAAGTCAGACAATATCAGCTGCCGTGACCTCACGCAAGAGGTTTCATGAGTTCTGAGAGTTGAGAGCACTAACGATGTCTTTGTCTCCGGGCAAAAGCACGACCGCTATAGGTGGACCTTTTCGCCAGACTGTGTTCCGGAGCCACCGTTTTGATGATGTACGGCGCTGTATATGTATTAATTTTGTTTATGGGATGTAATAAAAGATTTGCTGCTTGGACAAGGGATATGATAATGGAACAACATTGCTTGATTGGAACAATTCATTTGAGAGGTCGATACTTGATTGCTTTGCTTTGGCACTGATGTACAAAATGGTCAAAATTCACTCTGCCCTCTCTCATCTGTAAGAATGAGCTATACTTGGCCCTCAGTCACGGTGGCCAGGCTATGAGTCTACACTTTGCTCTGGAGACGGCATTTGATTGACCCGTCCTGTGCTTCAAGAAGCATTGGCAATTGGCGGCGAGATATGGCCCTAAGACCAGTTATCAAAAGTGCGAGTACGTATCTGGATCCTATTGAAGAATGCCCATGCTAGATTCACGTGCCGGTGCAGACAAGAATGATCATGTCTGAAAAATCGCACAGCGACTGTCGCGCTTTCCCTTACGGAAGCAAAGTGAACGTCTGAGTACGAGCAACACTTCAGTACGCCTGTGGTATGGTTGACAGTGTCTTGACATCATCTCTCACCTTCAACGCATATGCTTTTCTGGCAATTCATCACAAAAGCTCGGGCCGTAAGCTCTGGTAAGCGCTGTCGGCTTGGACGCCACAAATACCCTGCAGCCTGAGTAATAACCCTGTCAGCCATACGGATGAGGTTTCCGGCCAGAACTTTGACGACGCGTTTAGACGCTGAAAAACGAGCCCAAGTCTTTTTTTCTTTCTGACTTGTCACATTCGTGCCCTCTTGGTTGGGACAAATGGCCTGAAGGGGCTTCAATGCTGCAGAGAGACGAGTTGACCATGCGCCATTGGCCTCATGCAAGTAGTCAGTGTGAACGCTGCAATGTGCCTCAGTCTACGGCGACTGTACTCCGTATGTCCTTTTGAGACGGAGTATCTCATCAAGAGCTTACGTCAAAAGCGCAGCCTGATATGATGACATTTCGACCTCGTTTCACTGGTATAGACTGATTGGAAATCAGCACGCACCCCTCCCCCATGCTCACGGCTTCTGCTGTTAGACCTCGGCCAGTAAATGAGTCCCTGGAGATGCGTAACAGCCGAGAAAGAAAATTCCACAAATCCAGAGAGCTTGTTGTGAGAAAATAAGAAATGTCTCGTTTAGGATTGTTCCTGAAGTAGACTCCTGGCACAAGAACAGGCCCGTGAGCCCTGCCTGCCCCAGACCGATGCCGATACCGAGTGCCGGTGAAATGAGTCGGTGGGAAACAGCCTCGTTTTTTTGTCTCAAGATTCGACATGCTTTTGTTGTGCGACAAAGAGAGATGCCGACATGGGTGGTTGGGTGGTGTGCTTTGTGCGCTCCCGAGAATCCGGTCGCGCGGGCTTGCTTTCAGCTCCAAGAGTACGGAGTAACCGGGAGAGCAAATCGACAAATGCTTGCTGCCAGGGATCCAATTTGCTCTCCCCGGCCCTGGACACACACCGCATAATAAGCATAATCATGTCTTTTATTCTGGAGAACGCGAGGCTTTTGCGACGTACACGAATCCCAGTTTTGGTCTCACATTTGCAGAATGATGGGCCGATGGCTTTTCCATCCTCTACGCGATACGAATTATCAACTCCTGAGTCCTGACAAAGCCCCCTCCCTTCCAAAGGACGGTAATAACGGGGCTGTTTCTTGCAGGGTCTCAGTGACAAGTCAAAGGTCCCCGACTTGTTGATCGACACGTATTCGGCAGCATGGCCACGAAAACCCTTGATAAATAGCCAACGGTGCTCATTGGCTAAAATAAAAGACATGCACAAGCACGTATTACTTGGTACATAGTGTCACGCCAAGAAACAGACGCCTACATCTGATGATGCTTCTTTATCTCTTATCTGCCTAATCATTTAGAGCCCAATGTGCGGCCTCTTCCTAATACGATCGGCTCGCGGTTTTTTTTTTTCTTGGCCGTGTCGCGGCAGATATTGGCGAGTGGAGCTATCGCAGAACCAGGCAAGCCCTGTGCCACCGAGAGCGCATTTGCTCATTTACGATGTGGTGTGTTGAAATGGCGGAGATTTGGTGGCAAATGCAGCACGTCTGGCGAATAGAAAAAAGGAGATGACGGCAACGCCCAACAAGCCGGGCGAAGATTGTTTAGACTTGGCAGACCAGTACACGCTGCAGCCTGGAGAGGCGGGAGAAGCACGGATCATCCATCCGTCCTCTGCATATCTCTCGACTTGGCGCTGCAATGGCGAGTGTTGGATACTGCCGGTCAAGGTGAGCCTACAATTCCTTACAAGGGGGGCCTTGCACCAAGAGATTGGGCATTCAGGAGAGAAAGGGGAAAAGGCAGGCGGGGGAGAGAATACAAGCAGTCGGATTAAGGTCAAGCGAATCGCGCTTGTTGATCGACAAGCCGGCCCGCCACACCTTGGCCAAGAGTCCAAGACCAACTGCTTCAAACTAGATTGGAAAATATTGAGAGCAACGAATAGCCATCAGCCATCAGCCACTGCCAAGAACGGGACTACCCTGCCCCGGGAAACAGCCCATGGAACGGGAACATGTTTCTCATGATGAGAGGGTAGAAACAAACATCGTTTCTCATGGCGCGTCGTTTTTTTTTACTTCTTTCCCTGGGTTGACGACTATTTAGGTATGAAGCGGTGCCCGCGCGAGCTGGTGCTTTGCTCAACGTCTTGGCAGTTTGCGTCGCGCCGCAGCTTTATTAAATATTAAGGTTGCAGATTGGCGTGCGTGCAGGTTGGCCTCATCAATGCGACTGGGAAGACGGCAGCCAGGTCGAGAACGTATATGCATGACCACTGCGCCTAGTTAGATCTTGGCGGTGCAAGGAAGCAGCCATCAAACCGAGGGGGAAAAAAAAGCAAAGCAAAGTCACCGGCGCTCAGATGAGCAAAAACATTGCAATGCAGATTTGGTGTGCGAGCGCCCGCATGGGGGTTAAAAGCGTGGAAGGGTTACACGTTTTCCCGAAGCCCAATCCAAAGTGACACGGGAAGAGGGTCTGATGCGACATGGTTTGCGACAACGGTCATTATCGTAGCTGTGTGCCAGCAGAAACAGTCACCGACGGCCTTACTCTGTATCCGTACTCCGTACTGCATGCAGATAGATTTACACGAGCGTCCCCGTGCTCCAGCCGGGTGTCTGACGCAATCGTCGCAGCTCTTTGGGTTACTCGAGCCACCGGTAATGAAGTGAGCGTCAGAGACAAAATTTAAGCATATTACGAATTGCGAGACACTGGGGAGCTCGGCTACTGACATCCCAAGGGGGGGGGCTGTGCGTATCGTAACCTGACGATCCTTGGTGGACTGGAATCGGAGCGAAAGAGAAAGGGAGGGGGGGGGGCGAGAGATTGCTGGCTGATCTGTTTCGTGTGACCTCCTGATTCAAAGGAATTGTCCGAATGATAGGTCAGTCAAACCTGTCAACTCTAAATCTGTGCCTAAAAACAGCTCACGCGAAATGCTGGCATCACCAGTGACAGCTTGTGTAGGCGCAGGGATGACGGTTTTGGTGACTGTCACACGAAGCTGCACGATTCCTAGCCATGAGGAAAGGAGGGAGGGAGGGGGGATCTTGCGTTGTAAGTTTCTAAAACAAGAGATACTTGCTCATTCGGATAAGAAGGTATCGAGTACAATTCCCTTCTGCCTACAATGTCTTGCCAAGCTGCCGAGGAGGGGGGGCGTGCGCAAATGGAACGTTGGTCCGCGAGACACACAAAGAAGGAAGGTTGCTTGCTTGTGTGAGGTGGATGTGGGCGACTCGAGTTGCTGTGCGCTTTTCCAAAAGTGCCGCCGAGATGATATCGAATTATCAAGAGAGAGAGAGAGAGAGAGAGAGAGACGAAGGAGGGGACCTGGAAAAGATGCGATCTGATGACGGACTTACCCCCAGGTTGCATTGACACTTTTCCGTTCTGGTCATTAGCTCTGAGATATTTATGGCAAGATGGGAGGCCGCGCTGCAAAACCGAGTCATTTGCTTGTATATTTGCCATTTCTTCTGCGATGAGGATCGGATGTGGCGTGCGATCCGGATGCAATCGACGGAAGGGCTGTCCACAACTCTGCCGCCTGAGCCAACAGCAAGATGCAAAATCTTACCAAGAAGAATAGGAAGGCGTAATTTCGCATCTGTCGTTTCTTGGCAACCTGCCCTTTTCGGGGGGAGGGAAAGGTCAGCACAAGGGGGTTGTTTGGTTGGTCGGTTGGGTTTCGGTTTGGGTTTTGATCGGGACGTACCGCAACGCTTCGCAGATGCTGGGTACATATCTACAGGCCGCATCAACGCCTTTTTTGGCAGTTATTTCAATTCCTGAAAGCGGCGTTGGCCAAAAGTCAAGCAAGCAAGCTTTGGTACGCAAATCGACGAGTAAAATGCTTTCAACCTGGTTTTTGGTTTTTTTTTTTTTTGGCGAGAAATGTCTTGGTTGTTCATTTTACCAGTAATTCGAGGGTTGATCTTGATCATCTCTCTGAACCCTGAAAAAGTCTTGGCGAGTCAAAGCCTTTATCTCTAAAGCAAACTTTCTTTTTTGGTTCCCATCTTTTTATCCTAGAGGTAACCAACTCTAAAAAAATCTCGCTTGCAAACGGACGGGCGGTCGGGGGGCTCCCTTGCCCTGGAATGTCCGGCGTGGCTTCTGAGACACCTGCCGGGGGGGCATTGCTAACTACTTGATAGATGTCAATGTCTTGCCCGCAAGCGGCCCCTGCTCAGTGCACGATATTACCAGTAAAAGGTATTTACTAGTTAGCAGTACTCCGTAGATGGTTAGAATTGTACATGACCAACAAGGAAAATGCCGCTGCGGCGCGAGCACGCTGTCAGCATACAGCATGTTGCTGTTTTGGCATGTGCCGCCACAGTAGCGCCGTGGTTTTATTTTGATGGCGGGGACTGCGACATGATAACCCCCGTATGAAGAATGAGACTTTTCATCTTGTCTCTATGTGCTCAGGTGTGGCGGCTTCCACCCCCAACGTATCGCCCTACCGAGGAAGGCCTTGTTTCGGAGGTATTTTCAAATCTACGGAGTATCCGTCGAGGAGGGAAATCTTTTCTTTGGTAATACATGCGTGAAAACGCGTATAAAACTTGGCATTCTGCTACGGCAGACGTCACAGGTTGTTCTCGAGGCACAACACGTTTTTTTTGCTTAGACCTAGAGTGTTTGATTGGTCCATGTACTTGCCAGAGATCTGTGATGGAGGGGGGAGGGGGAGCAAGTAAATGATGGTATTTTGCCAAGCAATGGTATCTGCCATGTCACTGAAACAAGCTTTGAAGCCATCTTTCGAGTCCCAAGAAATGGGTTGCATGCGGAGGAAAGGAAAGGGATCGAATAAAATAAATTAGAGAAAAAAAAAAAAAAGAGCACCATCTTCACAAACAACGCGCCAAGTTTATGTAGGCCCAGGCCCTGTCGCCCTGACCCGTTGGCGGGTGGTTATCAGTGGCGGCGTGGCTTATGCCGCCCTAGGCGGGCTTAAACTTTCAATGCGAGTAGAAGCTTGTTTTGTACAATTCATTCAAGTTACTTTGTAACTACCTTATTTAGTTACTTTGCCTTTGCGTCGGAATTTAGCGGGCTCGGACAGACACAATGGCATTGAAAACGGACTTGTGTCCGCCAAGCTCGACACGGCTCTCCCCGTGGGAAAAAGGTCTAGGTACCTTGTAGGCCTGTTACCAACCGGCCCCCCTTCCCCAATTCGCTGGCCAAGCCCTGGATAGTGAGTGAGTGGGCTTGCGCTGGGGCAACAAGTTCGGCGCAAACTTGCAGATAGAGAAAGGGAAAAAAAAAAAAAGACAACGTTGCAGCCGGTGGCCCTCATCATGACCCCGACGGTGCGACCCTTGCGGCGCGAGTCGCCCACTTGTCATCATCTCGTGTACCCAAACCACATCCACCTTTGTGCTATTTACATGGTGTATACAATGATACAATGGTAATCCAGGACGAATCAGTAATGCTGCTTTTTTCTTAGCAACCCCTCCCCCCCCCCCGGCACATGTCCATGTTTCTCGTGGGGCAAAAATCCGAACTTGTGCCGGGTGCGGGCCTTTGGAAGGCGCGCTCCTTTCGCCGAATGACAGGCAAAAAAAAAAAAGCTGCGATGCCGTCGTAGCCGTCTTGTTCCAATGAGGCAAGTTTCCTTGTCATGCAAGGTGACTGTGCCTGCGTTTTTTTTTTCCTCTCATTCTGCAGCAGATCGCCACTGGCTGAGTAGTAAGAGAAGCAATCAGACAGAGCCATTTTTTTTCCCTCTTAGTTTATTAGTTTAGGCTGTAGGAACTTGTGATTTTTTTTCAACTGAAAGAAACAAACTAATTAGTCGACGTATCAGTTACCTCGAGTTACTCTGTGGTGGCTGGACACAGGCCCCATGGATAAGCGTCTTGGCAAAGACAAAATTCCTGGTGGCTTCGGGGCTTGCGTGCCTCTGAAAGGTGAAAGGGAAATCGATTTTGTGCAGTTCATTAGCCTGGGCTCTAATCCGTAGTTTTTGCTCAACTCGCGTGTTTATCCGGCGTCTTTAATGGGACGACGATGCCGCTAAACAGGTTTTCGTTTCGTCACTGTGGCTTGAGGGCTTGAAGGCTTGAAGGCGTCATGGCTTGGAGCGCGCCCGTTCTAGTTATCCAGGGCCGACCTTGTTGAAAGAAGCGCCGAGTTATGAAGCAGCGAGTAATTACTCGTTACAATACCGAGTATCCGTATCCGCTCAGCAAATAGGGATTAGGGACGAACCAGAGGCTCGTCACTGGCCTGCTCTGCTTCTCACGAGCGGGGAACCCCCAACTAGTTAATACAGAGTATCCGTAGAATCGGCCTTTTGCCCTGCTGGCAGGGGTCAAGAAAAGGATATTGAATCGAAATTAAGCCCCAAGACCAGCTCTAACTAGACTGAGCTTTCCTTTCCTTGTTTTTTTTTTTTTTTTCCTTCTCTTGTAGTTTCCCTGACGGGCCACAGCTCATCACTGCGCGGGGTCACGAAATCATGTGTAATATGGGTTCTGGGGTTTTTTTTGGTGGTGCCCTTCTGCGCGCTTTCAATCGGCCGGGTTGGCGGAAATGGGGTAACAACAAAGGGGGACCCCCAGAAAAGCCGTTTTTTCCCTTTTTATTTGTTGGCAGCGCGGAGAAGAAGAAAAAGAAGGGCACGGGGAGTTCCATGCAATGCAGCCACAATGCTTGGATTGTGAGCGCGGATAACCGGCAGCGGCTGCACAAGGGACAAATCATTCTTGTCAGTGTCAATTCAAAGGCCAGCCAGCACAGCGCCGGGCACCCACTGGCAGGCAGGCAGGCAGGCAGGCTGCCGGAAGCACGGCGGGGGCGGCTGCAAGCCAGTCCAACGTGATGCGCCGTGATGCGCTGTTCGCCTCGGGCTGGTTGGCTGGTTGGCTGAACTGTGTGCCTCGTCTTGAGTCGTCTTTGGCTGGGCACGGCTGGCAACTTGCCGACAACTTTGGGCCCTTGTTATCATGTGTGGGAAAGCCTGGGAATTGTGGCAGGCGGCAGGGAACCATGGGATGGGGCCAAGCAGAGCGTTTGCTGGGATGGCCCCAGCTAGCTTGTGTGAACATGGGGATGGGGCTGTTTCCATGATCGATGAGCTGAAACTGCGGTGGTGGGGGAAAGGAGGTTATAACTTGTCAATTAGCGGAAGAGAGCGACAAACAAAGCTCAACATGGCATTATATTTTGAACCAAGGTCAAAAATAAAAACCGACGCTCGTCGAGGTATCTCCCGTTATAATCTTGTCGTTACTCTTTTTGTATGTGCTTGTGCATGCTAGACCTGCATCGCTGAGTCGTATCTGAACCGGGAATATGATCAAGGTAACCTCGTTGGGTCCATCTCTCCAAAGAAGGATTGAATGCAACCTGTGTCTGGAATAAGGGGCAGTTGCCGCATTGAAATGTGCAACTCCGGACCGACAATTGGCCCAATTGGGCTACCGCCTAAATAGCACTGCAACGCTGTGCTCCCACGCAACCACGGCATGACCAAAAGAGGTTGTCGGCTCAAGTATTATTAGCGTTGCCCAACGCTAACTAATAAAATTAGTGCATGTGTACATAGGTACGGTCTACCTTACCGCAGGTCTTGATATTGCGGAGCCGTTAGAACCGAGAAGGGGGGGCAGGAAGACGGCAGACGAGAGAGATAACATTTATCACTCCAATGATAGCAAAAGCCGCTCTCCACATCGGACTCGCAGGAGTCAAAGCAGCGCAAGGCTGCCAGTTGGGGTGGACTGTTCCCCATCTAGATGAGCAGCTGATGTGAAGAAAAGGGCAAATCGTCTAGCAACGGCGTCACAATGTCGGGCGGCAAGCAACGATGACGCCATCGTCTGGCACGGGACGATGCGCGCCTCTACTGTGCGACGTGTGGTTTGTCCGATGTTGGTCGGGTTCGGTCTCCTTTCCTCGTCGTCTTTGTCGTCAGCGCAAAGCCACAAGTTGGGCAATTGCCAAAAACAGCTTTGCGGCTGCGGTCTACGGCAATCGGTGCAAATGCTGGCAGCAGCAGAGGCCTGCACCACGATGAAATAAGCCTCAGACAAGAAATTCGGACATGGGTTCGGTGACACGGTGTCGAGGAATGCTACATGTCTCACCCTTCTGCCATTGGGGGTAACCTGTCTGGCGGAGGGGGGGGGGGGATTTCCCCAAATAAAGGAGGTTATTCCGCTTGTGAATGAATGCTGACGCCAAGCGCTCGTCAAGAATGAAGATTGGAGTTGTGTCGCCCTTTTTCTTCCTTGTTGCAAGACAAACACGTTGGTCGTTGTGCAAGAGAGAGGAATTGAGAGATTGTCATGAGCCTTGTCGGAGGTGCGCTGCTAGTCTCTCTGCTAGCCTATGATATTCGGACTGGCGTAGTAGAATGGCACGGCAACACGCCTCGAGTTGCTTGATACGGGGAGCAGAGGTCGATCCCAGCTGCAGCAAACCGCGCAGGGCCAGCTGCAGGATGCAGTTTGGTGCATTAGCTCCTGAAGAAAGGCCGGCGCCAGGGGCGCGGTTTCAGAGGGCAACCAAGCACAAGGTCAGACCGTCAGAGACAAGCAAATAGGCTTATTTGTTTAGTGCGACAAATTGTCAAAAAACAGGCGGGGGGGAATTGACACACGCGGGTTGAGTTCAACGTTGGCGAGTACGTGCGTCGGTCTTGGCTCACCCAGCTTAGCTTACACGACTTTGTGTCATGAAGAAAAAGCCTCAAGACCATACTTACGAATAGACTGTGCAAAAACTTCCATGCAGCCAAGCCTTGTCCAAGAACCCCTGCTACCATACTATGCGCTTAGCAGGGCGATGGGCGCCTGCACGATGGGGAGGGGGCTTAATAAAGAGCTCTTCTGGGCGTCTTGGCCTGCGTATCTTACAGAGCGCGCAGCGAGTCTGGAGCGCCGCGAGTGAGGACGGACGGAAGCAACGCGGGCCTTGGCCAGTGCTAGAAGTAATAATGAGCACGCGGAATGCGCGTCAGCTTCTTTGGCCAAGCGGTCTCTGATGCGCACCTTGGGGCATGCTCGCATGTGCATGGCTTACTACTACTAGTAGACTATATGGAGCCACCATCATCAAATTAGCCAGAGCCATCTGTTTTCTTCGCCCGTGCGTGCCCCGCCAGGATTACTGGAGGTTATCGTGAGGGGTTATCGAGGCCCAGGAGGAGATGCGGTCGTGAAGAGGCATAAGGTTGAAAATGAGGCGGTTCGAAATGCTCGTCTTTGTCAGCCGAGATGCCTATCAAGTGATTGAGTACAGTGGTCAGAGTGGTTGCTTGTGCTGTTCTCTACGGCGCGCCTGTGGTGCCGAGGTGCTGTAGCTGTGCGTCGTGCCGTGGGGTGGATGAGTGAGATTGATGAGATTCATCGGTAAAATATCTCTTGCGAAAATACAACGGGAAGATAACTGCTATTATACGATTCGAGGAGAATTTAATATTTCCCTTTTTTCCGCAACAATATTGCTTTGACAAATACTCCGACCATCTTATGTACCTCAGGACACTGAACCCCGTATTAGGAACGCATGCAAGACTGCTGCCTACTAGGTAGCCGCAACTCCAAGCAATGAAGGAGTCATAACCACAAGCGAACCTGTTTGTACACGTATCTATTCACATTCTACACCTGCTACTCACCAGGATTCTTGACCTAGTACTGGATACTTTTCGATCCGAGCCTTTAACGAGCTTTTAACCCCAGCAATTTTTTCGACGACGACACGCCCTTGTTAGTTCGCACGCCCCCGTGGCGTCCACTGATGAGATGCTAGTTGTAGCGCGTTCCAGGTACCGAGACCACTAGCCGATGCCACTACAGTCACTGCACTGGGCCACTGCACCTTCTACAACCCGCCATCTCAGAGCACACACCCCCGTAAACCCTCCCTAAACACCCTAAAACACCCCAGAGCTCGCCATGCTTCTCATAAATGCCTCCAAGCCCACGCCCACTTTTGTGCTTCAAAAACGCCGTTTGTCCTATCTACAATTTCCTTTCCTCACCATTATTTCCTCTGCTGGTGGAGTTTTGTTTATCAACTCTCCCCTCTGTCCTATTTTACTCTTTATTACTCTTCTTTCCGTTCTTCCCTCTTCTCTCCTGTGGAATTCATCTTCTTGCTTGTGCTCATGGATTTGCAGGCGTAGCCTCGCTTGCTGATTCTCCTCCCACCCGCCGCCAAACCACGATACTTTGATACTTGCACTGGCAACCACCAGCACAGGAACAGGTTTCGAAAATCAAAAACCACGCTCCATCAATCGTCATATTCGGAGAATCCTACGAATTTCACCCACAGGCCTGGCATTGTTCGCAACTCGATACTACGACGATAGCCATTCATACCGAGTCTACATCTCGAACCCGTCTATACAACTACCCCGGCAAATACAACCAGCAGATATTCACTCAATCCCATCAAAAGCAAATCGAAGCTTCGAACTACACATCGACGAAACCCCTCTTTGTTAATCTCGACGCTCCTGGTCTTTTTGTGGCTTGCATCAAAAAGCTAGTCCTTCACACCAAAAGGTCCCGTCGGCGTCTCCGCGGAACTGCTCAAGCTTTCTGTTTTTGGTGGTGTGCCCTCGCTCTCCAGCAAATACAGCAACACGCTCCGTCTATCCACGACGCCCAGCACAGCAACCCTTTCCGTCTTGTTAGCGCCCATCGTCCCGCTTCTTTGCAGCAAAAAGAGGACAAGCTTCCCCATCAATTACGTCGTTGGGTGCCGCTAAAATCCCCATCACCCACTATCTCGAGGCATCTCACTGGGCTACACATCACCTGCCCACTCTTTTCTCGAGTGGAAGAGAGGATTTCTAGCGTTCTTCGTTCAGGTCTCTCGGTACCTTGGAATCAGCTGCAACGCTCTCGGCCGGATAATACCTGTTGAACCTCTCTCAAACAGCAAGGACACCGACTTGGAATACCTGCGGCACGGAAACCCCCACCAAATTCCGCTAGACCTGCCTGCAGCAACTCTCCGTCACTAGCGGCACACCAAAGCTGCTTTCACCCACTCGCCCACTCGCCCTCGTCTGGCCCGTCTGCCCACCTATTCGCCGCCTCGCTCTTTCGCGCCGCTCTCTGAGTCCGCTCTCGTCCAGTCTTGGTCCGGTTGTTGCACAACGCTGCCACGCTTCCGTCTTCGCTTGTCTAGTTGGCTCGTCTGGACCAAAAGCCTATTTTAAACCAACCCTATCGAACCAAGGCTATTGGAGCACATTATTCAGCGCCCTCGGCAACTGCTCACCACTTCGACATAATCATGGCTGCTACGTTATTACGCCCAGCAGAGCCCCAGACCATGGGGCCCGATTCAGGTCAGTGCATTTCTCTTTCTCTCGTCCCTCAAAGTCCTCAGCGCCCACCATTCTCGCCACTCCTCTCTACCCACGCCCCCGATTCGCTCTCTGTTACCAGTCGCAACCCGCACTCAGCCTCTTCTGCCCACTATTCATAGCCTTTTGTTTCGCCTTGCCGGGGTGCCGGTCAACTGGCCGCTTGCCCACACACAACTGACTGATTGCATTCCCCTGCTTATTGATCCATTTCCACATCCTTGTTCAGCGCCTGTCTGCCACAGTGCCACCTACCTGTGACGTGATTCAGTCACTTGTCCCGCCTTTGTACCTTGGCCCTAGCGTTTCCCTTTACCCAAGTCGGAAGTCAATTCAACTTCTTTCTTTCTTCTTTTATTCTTCTTCTATTCTTCTTCATGGACCTTTTCCCCTCGTCCTCTCACTGACGCTCTCATTCTCCTCTACACAGATTCTGCGGATGCCGCGGATCTTCAGGATCGCCATTTCTACTCACACAGCTTTTCCTCACCACGCCAATATCCTGCCGATATCCCTCATCCCATCCTCGAGGAAGAAGCTGGCGAATCCGGAAGTGAATCGCCCATAGAACCCGTCACTCCCGTTAGCGGCGGCCGTTATTCGCAGGATTTCACCAGCGTTCACCAGTTTGGCCAGAATCTCACTTTGACGCATTACAATACCACTCAAAACCCTCCAACTTCGAATCCTACGAAACCGCCTCTTCAGCACGACTTGCCAGTAGGCCGAGCCACCCCCAGGCAAACTCCCGCGCCATCACCCGAACGTACGCTGCATCGCGCGCGCACAATCATTGGCAACACGACTGTTTCGGCTGTTGAGCCCGCTACTCCAACGCCAAAACAGCGAGAATCCGAACTTGAGGCTCCTCAACCCGGCACTCTATCGCGTCGCTCTACTCGTGGCTCTACGTCTAGTTTCAAACGCACAATGACGAATCTGTTCCGCCGGTCGTCGTCCGCCATCGAGCGCGACACTCCGGTGTTCGACTCTAGCTCGCCCGGCTCAACAGACAGCTCTTCGCAACGCAATCCTGCCCCTACCAGTGCTCCTCGCAGCATTCCGGCCCCGCCTTCGTATAAGACTCAGTCTACTGCATCAAATTCGCCTCCATCGCCCGGGTCACCACTAGAAATGGCCCCCTCAAACCGAACCAACATACTTGGCAAATCGTTACCTGGGCCCGAGGACTTCCAGAAGAAGCCCCGGGCCTCCACCGGCCTTACCCTACGTGGCCGTGCTGTCAATTTTGCACGTGGCGGACGTAATGGAAAGACACCCCGCCGTGCTAGCAGCTTCGACGCTGGCAACAGAGGAGCACCCGGCATTCCCGCTCAAGAGCATACCGGCAGCAAGATGTACCCTGCTGAGCGCCAACCGTGGGTCCTGCCTCCTGATGCTGGCACTGGCACCAAAGCTCGTCGCATGAGTCTCAGTCTACCTGACGACTTCATGATTGATACAGCTGAGCTTCTCTCTGAATTCGAGTATCAGCACAAGCTTCTTGGTCGCCACGGCAAGCACCTAGGCAAGGGCGCTGCCTCCAAGGTTACTCTGATGGCTCGCAAGGGCTGCCCCAATGAACTCTATGCTGTCAAGGAGTTTCGCGGCAAGTCCAAGAGCGAGAGCCAGGAAGAATATGAAAAGAAGATCAAGTCGGAGTTTAGCATCGCCAAGAGCCTGCATCACCCCAACATTGTCGAAACTATTCGCCTCTGCACCGACCATGGCCGATGGAACCACGTTATGGAATACTGCTCTGAGGGCGACCTCTTTGGTCTTGTTCAAAAAGGTTTCTTCAAGGGCGACGCCAAACTAAAAGATCGGCTCTGCATCTTCAAGCAGCTCGTCCAGGGCGTCACATACCTCCACGCTCACGGAATTGCCCACCGCGACATAAAACTCGAGAATCTTCTCATCACCAAGGACAGCAAGATCAAGATCACCGATTTTGGCGTCTCCGAGGTCTTTTCCGGCACGCATCCTGGCCTCCGCGAAGCTCATGGCATGTGCGGCCAGAACATGGGTGATTTCCGTGTTTGCAGCCCCGGCATCTGCGGTAGTGAGCCCTACATTGCGCCGGAGGTCCTCGCCAAGAAGAGCTCGTACGATGCCCGCGCCCTCGACGTCTGGAGTACCGCCATCGTCATGATCTATCTCAACTTTGGCGGTGCCATCTGGTCACGCGCTGAACCTGGTAATACCCATTACGATAAGCTCGTAAAGGGCTGGGAGCGCTGGTACAAGAACCACCCAGACCCCGAGGCCGTCATCACCGACACGGACTACCCCAAATGCTTGGCTCTCGATGTCGGCGTAAACCCCCCTGCACTTCGCCGCATACTATTGCAAATGCTCAACCCCGACCCCGCGAAGCGCATCACCATTCTCGACGTCGCCAACAATCGGTGGATCAAGAACATTGAATGCTGCCAGGTCGAATCTTATGACGACCCAACTCTCTGCATCGATGCCACCAAGTCAACCTCGGCGAATAACAAGAGAATATTCTGCCACAACCATCTTCCTATTAAAACCATGGGGTCGCATTCTCTCGGCAAGATGCCCGGTCAGGCTGGTTACTGAATCCAACACAACTGGCATATCTCGCATTTTATGCGCAAAATATGTATCTTTTACAAATCGCGTTCTTTTTTTCCTCTTGTCAATTTCCTTTGTCTTGCCATATTATTATAATGGGCATAAGTCTTGGGTCTTTTTTTTTAGATCAAGCACTGGCATGGGCTTTAGCACGGAGCCTTTTTTTTTTTATCTTTTTTTTTTGGCGTTGCGATGCGGCGCGGTCTTTTCTGCCTGCTTTTGTTCAATGGGGAAATCTGGGAGGCGGAAACTGGAATATATTCTAAACAGGAGGCGGGGAATGGCGTTGGGACGGAATGGACATTTGCTTCGCGCATGAATGAGCCTGGTGTTTAATTATATTTACACTGTCCTTTTTGTATATGTTAGGGCCCGCGAGCGAAACAGCTTCTGAGAATCGATGAATCGAGAGCAGAATACACACTTGCTTACTCAAATCTGCAGCAGAATTCCAGACAGTGACGAAAGATGTTGGTCAACAAGAATGATTACCCCTGCTTCCTTGATTAAGCATTAATTAGTTAATAATACCATTGTAGCCCCTTGTCGTGCGACTGGCACGAGTCACGGCCCGATGATGGGGGAAAAACCCGCGATTCCACCAATAAGCCGAACCACCTTGCTGCGGCGCAGCATACAACATGGACTATTAATAGTGAATGGTGGTTGAAATATGAGCTAAATTCAAAAAAGGTCCAGTCTGTCAGGTCACGCCTCGTGGGGAAAGGGTGCACGGCCTCGGTGGTTATTAGGAGGCGTGCTATGTATGGGGAGAGATAAAAGAGACGCCGAGAAGTCTCTCCCCCCCCCCCGGCAGGCGACGAGGCATTTTCGAAGTCGTCGTTTTTTTGGTGCCCAACACGAGTAGGGCTCGGCAGTCGTCGAAGCTGTTGTCGGTGAAGAAGTCGATTGATTGCATGGGATGGGATGATTGACTTTTTTTTCTGAAGAGTTTGGTGCAAGGGGGAGACTACAAGTTGGTTCAACCATGAAAGGGCGACAAGTCGTGGTGTCTTGAGAATAAAAGTCGCGGCGTAATATTTGCACCAAAAATACAAGGTGAGCAATTAAGAGACAAGGCTGATGGAATGCAAATAGTAGTCAAAAAAAAAAACTAACAAATGTTCAAACTAACTACTCATTGCCTCTCTCCACTGCCTCACCCACCTCCGCGTCCGACACTGTGCGAACCACGCTCGCCCTGCCGTACTCGAGCTTCATCCATCACACGCCGCCCCCCCGCCTAGCTAACTCGAAGAGGTCGAAGTTGTTGTAGCGCAGGGGAGGCGCGCAGCTGCACGCGGCTCCGGGTCATGGTGGTGAAGCTAACATGATAAAAGGGTAGGCACTTGCAGACGGCTATGGCGACGGGGTAGTTTTATGCAGAGAAGGGGCAAATCCAATATAGTATAGCTAATTGTTGGCTGAGTCCTTTTTCGTGTCTGATACGTGCGTATATATGATGGCTACTCCAATTTGGCGACCCGCGCTAGGTAGAGGGCGGCAGAGAATACTTACTGGGCATCATCTTGGAGGGGGAGGGGGGCAATGAATTTTGGCAGAATAAGCAGACTGGCTCTGAAAGAGCCGATGGGACGTAGATAGTACGTGCAGAGAGGAAAAATCTCTCCTGTCAGTCTCTGCTATAATCGTTTCCTCGCGTTCCTCCACCTCCTTCACCGCAGAAAGCTCCTTCAAGTTACCATCATCCTCGGCCTCGGCCTCTTTCTGCAAAGACAGCTCGCGGACAAGGTCTTGCGGGTAGACGACCGCTTCCTTGAGAGACACCTTGATCACTTCTCCCTGATCAGTGACGTGAAGAATAGTGTAGGCGTCCACGAAATGCTCGCGCATGCTCGTGCTCATATTCAAGTCCCAGCCTTTGGTGGTGGTGTTGTCTTTAGCGAAAGAGCCGGCTGCGGACTAGAGCCCAAGTCTCATTGTCGAGCGCGGAGAAAGAGGCGTCCAGCACGGTAATGTCCGCCTTGGGGAGTCTAGGGCGCGTGCAACGAGACTACTGCGTGTCATGTTGGGATGAAGCTCGAGGGGAAACAGGGAGATGATTGGGTTGGTCGGCTTATCACTCGCTTCTTCTGTCCCTCGCTGAGATTACTGCCATCATTCTCGATCATTGTCTCATCAGCATCCGGCAGCTGCTGCAAATACACATTTAATGCGCAGCTGGAAGACTACTTTAAGTACAGAACCGGGATATAAGTCTTGTGGCTGCTTATGTTGGCCCGGGTTGCGGCACTGAGCAGCCAAGGCTGCTTGCTGACCGGTGTGGGCGACAGAGAGTGACGCAAGAGAAAATGCTTCCTTTGCAGAGCAACTTGGCCAAACAGAGCTCTCAAACATGTAGATTTGCCACAACCAACAGCTCGGTGCAGCAAGGTGAGTACTTCTCTCGTGTCGATGAACGCAAGCGTGTCCTTTAGGATTAAGCCAGCCTTTTCGTCCAAGCAAACAAGTTTGAATATTTGAATATGTTCTGAGAAGCTACCAAGATGCTACTCAGACATTCGGGGGATCATGTACTTCGGGCTTATCGAGTTATTCCTGGATGCGAGACACACAGGCGAATCCTGCAGGCAGCCGTTAGTATGACGCGGTCAGCCCTTGTCCAAAACAGAGCTCCTGCAATGACGACCATAGGTGCGCTCGTCTCTGTCAAAGAAGCTTTCCTACCGTCAGTAGATGCATACACAGAGGGCAAAATCATATCAGCACTTACTGACACCGAATGTGAGCGACAGTATCTTCCGATCGTTTACGACCAAGTTTCCTTGTCAAACAATTTTTTTTTTTTTTGAAAATCACCCCCAGCAAATGAGAAGGCACAGAGTAAGATGCCTTGCCAGTCACACGCAGGCCGATATGGCTGCTTGTCAAGGAGCAGACGACAGTTGATCAAGTTACAGAATACATAGTGTTGGAGCGGCATGGTAAGTTGCCCCCGTAGCATAATCACAATCAGAGCCGTACTGTTCATCGCTGCCAACATTTCAGTGATTTATGATTCTTCAATATTTCAACATTGACATGACGACCAGTAAAAAATGCAACTCGGGTATTTCGCGCTTCTAAATGCTCATTCTCCTCAACTCCCCTTGCCCATGCAAAAAAACTTTTATATTGTACACCAAGACACCATCAAGCCATGCGACTCTCTCTCGCTATTCCTGTCCTTTCACCTCTTCCCCCTCCTCCCCCTCTGTCTGCTTCTTCTTCTCCGCTCGATCCCTCTTCTTCTCCAGCAGCTTCTTGAGCTTCTTGGCCGAGTTGAAGACACCATTCGTGCCCGCACCGCACGCCGCGCACGCCGGATCTTTTCGGTAGCGCTGCAGCGCGCAGGGCTCGCAAAAGTAGTGCCCGCAGCGCGTCACGACCGGCTCGCGGTAGTCGCCCTCGCAGATTATGCATTTGAATGGAATCTTTTCCAGCATGGCCTCTTCATCCGCATCCTCGCCGCCAGCCGTCGCCGCCGCCGCCGCCGCGGAATCCCGGTTCGCGTTCGCCACCACGGTGCCGCCGAGGTGCGTCTTGCCTTTGGAGGTAATGTCCCAGTCCTTGTCGAGCTGCCAGCCTTGCTTGACGTCCTCGCGCGAGTGCAGGTACTTGCAGTTGTCGCCAAAGCCGCAGAAGCCCGTCTTCTTGTAGTCCTTGCAGACGTCGGGCGCGAAATCCATGACGGTAATGGTGCGGATGTTGGTGGCGGCCTTGATGGGGCCGACGGAGCGCTGCGGCGCGTCGGGGTTCTTGGTGATGAAGGATGTCTGGTTCGCGAGGCCCTTGTACGTGCCGTCGGGTGCGTTTCGGGCGGCGGACGACGACAACGAGGCAGAGGACGAAGAGCCTAGCAGGGTCTTGGCGGATAGCGCATCGGCGGCGTGCTCGTCGTACCAGTTGCTCTGCTTGGTGGCGTCGTTGGCGGACGAGAGGGGCGCGCTGCGGTCGGCCGTGTACGCGGATGCGGTGAGCTCCTTGCCAGCGCCAGCGCCGGCGGCGGCTTTGGAAGAGGCCGTCACGACGGCCGTCTTCTTGCGGCGCTTGACGCGCTGGCCCGACTCGTCCTCCGAGGAAGAGTAGTCGCTGTCGTCGCTGTCGGCGGGCGGTGGCGTCGCGGGCCGCTTGCGAATGTTGGCTTTGCCCTTGGCGCCGCGCTTTTTGAAGAGGGCGACCGGCGCGGCGGCCGCGGCTTCAGTGTCCATTGTTGTGTATGTGACGGCGGGGGGGGGGGCAATTCGTGGTCGATCGTGGCAGGATGTGATCGGGTTGACGTTGGTTGAGGATGAATATTTGAGGATTTGGGACAGGCTAGGCTAGGCCAACTAACAAGTCGCAAGTGGCGCTGTAAATGTTTGGGTGAGTCAGCTGAAGCAGAGAGGTCAGGTCTATCAGCTAATACATGCTTGTCGAGGAAGAGAGTGCTAGTTTTGTCTTCTAACCGTTTTAGTTCATTAATAAGATTTTCCTCGAATGCTTTTGTAGCATCTCGTCGTAGCCAAAGTTGGAAATGGGTGGCAAACTAGCATTTAACGCTTGGTAATCTACACTAGTTGGACGAAATTCTTGCTTTGCTAATCACATCGCTATGTTGAGAATAGGCTATAAAAGCCACACCGGCGTATGCTAGATCTAGAAGGATATCTAGTCTGCAAGATATAGAGCCACGAGTTATCTATGGCGCGGCAACTCCTAGCGACCCAAGGCGGACTTATTAGCGGAGAGTTGGTATCGGATCTGGTGATGAATGTCCCACGCGGCATAAGCAATTTCATGTCTAATCTGGCAATCGATGAATCGGCTTAGCATTTGACGCACTATCATCTTCTTCGTTTTACGACGCAAATCGAAGAACAACGAGAGAAAATAGCAACTGAGAAGCTTAAGCATGCTCGTCCTCATCGCTAACTACAGCCACTTTTGGTGAGGGGCGGTTCGCGAGCGCAAACGACACAAGTGGTACCAGCCTCTTTCAAACCAGTCTCTTTCAAACCAGTCTCTTTCAAACCAGTCTCTTTCAAACCAGTCTCTTTCAAACCAGTCTCTTTCAAACCAGTCTCTTTCAAACCACGAACCAGTGCAAAAATTCCGAGAGCAAGTAGTTTGGCCATGTATGTCTGACAGCGAGGTCCCTGTTGCCGTCGGCGGCAACGTTTGGCTGTGTGTCTTTGCTGCGCTTCCCAATGAAGACTAGGGCGATGAATTGACGCGCTTGGAATAAGCTCGCGCCGAGTACGCATAAGTAGTCGCGTCATTGGCAACGGCCAAGACGCGCAAGGTTTGCTGAACTTTGCGTCATTTGGGGCAAATATATCATGACTGAGTATCTTGTTCGAGCATAAAAGTTCTGCAAGAACAAAGTACATAGCTAATTCAAGACTCAGCCACAGCTCTACGAGACGACATTCGAGTCACAAGACCAGGGGCTGCCATAGATTGGGGGCGGAGTCAAAGAATAATAGTATGAGTACTCGAAACGACCAAGATTGAATGCCATGAAATTATCAGTAGTAAGTCGTGGGGATCATTTCGGCATGTCCGTGGATACTTTGCCGTATAATACAGGCAATAAGCAGACTTGTCAGGAACTGCAAGCATATCCGCAACTCGATGGCACTGCCACGCGTCGGCAAGCCACAGCTGGCTCTGCATAACTGACAAGCATAGCAAACTGTTCGTACTATCTAGGCAACATGCTCGTCTGAAGTCGCGCATTATTTTCAGCCGACAACGACCGAGAAAACAAAACAAAACAAAGAAGATGCCGGGTAGGTGCAGTAATGGCTCCTTCTATTTTTGTAGGTAATGTGAGGCACTGATTGGTCGCAGGGGATGTGTCGCATTGTTGACATGGGGCCCTTATTTGGCGGGCAAGCCAGCGTGGCGCTGAGCTAAATGAGGCAACCTTATGCAGAGCAGAGGCGCGTCATGCCACGACGATGAATGGCTTTTAGGACTCTTTTCTTTTTTCCGCCTTGATTATTTTGTGACCTCTAAAGTTACCGCCACAATTATCGGTTATATTCCACTGCGGATATTTTCTTGAAATGCAATTATACTGTTGTTTCGTGTGTGTTCCACATGTTATGACAGCCGTCGCAATGACAGGTGAGGCTGGCCAATATTCAGGAGGAATGCTCCAGCTTGCTGCAGATAAAAATACGGGCAGCCTTGGCTGGTGAGATGGGACGGGTGGGGAAGAAGTAGGGCAGAAGAGAGGATTGGTATGAATACTGAAGAGGGAAAAGTAAACAAAGACCAACGAGGTTGTGAGAGGGGATTGGTCGGTGCTGATGATGGGCGCGCAAATGGGCGGCGCTAGAATCCTTTGCTGTACGTGGTTGAATGGTGGTTATCAAGAACAAGGCTACCTACCCTTGTACGAAGCAATGACACCAAAGTTTTGGTAGCAGGCTTTGGTCGAGGTGTCGAGGTGTCGAGGTGTCGAGGTACAAAAATGGTGTCTCTTGTGTATGACCAAAAATGGTCTAGCGTGTCTTTATAGCAACTTGAGCTCCCCACTACCTCTGGTCCACTGTAAGCTGTTTGGCTGTGAGCTCTCGCGCTTGCTGGAAAGCTCACTGTAGATGAGCACGCAAGCACGCTTGTCGGCGGACGCTCGCTCTCCCACCAGCTCCCGAGCTGTACTAGGGTTCGCGCCATGAGATGACGTCTCGGATAGCATTATTATACATTGGTCTCGGAGACGATTGGCTGTTGTTTTTTCTTTGTTTTTTTCGGCGTGGATGCACGGATGCGGTGCAGCCACCTGACTGTTCTTCTTATAGCGGGCTCACGCGCTGTAACTGCTGCCTGCATCTCTTTGTACCTCCTTAGTAAAGGTACGCGCTGACCACCCCGCTTCCAACTGGCAACTGGCAGCAAAAAAAAAAAAAAAAAAAAAAACAGACAAACAGCATCACGACGACTACTCTCTTCCCTCTCCTTTCCTCCTTCAAGGTGCTTCTTTTCCTTTGACGCCCTCCATCACCACATAGCTCACGCAGATCTCGTCTCCTCGCTGCTGAGTCTACGTCAATTCGAACCAACCCTTCGCCTTCCTGCCGCTCATTCGATAGCCTCTTTTTTCCGTTTTTTTTCTGCATTCGACGCGTCTTTTGATATCTCGGCCCCCGCTTCGCTGTTTCTCCGTGATCCATCAACCCGTCCGTCTAGCTCAACACGCCAGTCTCTCTGGTGTCCTGTACACCTTGAGAACCAAAAAAACAGCGTCTTGCACCTTTTAATCTAATTACCGGAAGATTCCTAATTTTTCCTGTTCAACGATTTACGACCTCGTCCTACTTCTGTTCGACTTCTGTTCGAATTCTATTCCTCCATTAATAGCTTTTTTTCATTTTACCGTCGACCAAACCAAGAAATCAAAAAAACAGAGACCACAGGTGTCGCAAACTCCAGAACAAGAAGATCCTAGCTATTTCTACTTCTCTGGCCCAACCTGGTCGATTGTCAACACGCGTCATTCCAGCACAATCTGTGTTGCCGCCCAACTATACCAGACGCCGCACGCTGCGTTTCTCTCGGGCTCGGCATCCGCTTCCGCTACGAGCCTGGCTGGCCCTCGAGTCAAGCAAACACCACCAACTATTCTTTGCTGGCCTTTATCGTCATCTCAACTCTTCTGTCCTTCGCATCAGCGCCCTATTGTTTTTCATTTCCTGCCCAAATCGGCGCCACAATCATCCCTCCCAGTCCTGTGTCGCCAGACCTGCATCTTGTCTCTCCTAACCCCTGCTTGATCCTCCGCTTTCAACGCAAGGGGCGCTTCTTTCGGACCCGATCAAATCGTGCTTTCCACTGCAAGCTCACGACTGACGGCCAACAAAGCTCGTCTTCTGCTCGGAAGTCCTGCCCGACATCTTAGCGCCCTTCCGCTTCGCAAACAACACTCACCAGCTTCCCGGCCAGCTTCATGGTCTCCCGCTGGCCTTAGGCGGTCCTTCTGTCCTTTCCTTCAGAATGGCCTCGTCTATTGCCTCGGCCAGACCCAGTCTCGCTGCGCCTGCGGCCGACGACGATGCCGCCAACGACCCATTCGTCGTTAGCACGTCGTCAGCTGCTCACTACCGCTTTTCGGCCTTTGACCATGAGCTTTTTGCTGCTGGGCCCGGTTCCTCCCCACGCCAGGCCAAACGTGCCCTCGAGTCTCATTTAGCCGAGACGGAGCGCCGACTCGATGAGGCCGGCAAGCTTGGCACTGCTCTTGTCTCCCAACGTAAAATGCTGGCCGAGCAATTGCAGGAAATCGAGAACCTCCAGGCTCAGGGCGAATTAGGCCCCGAGCTCCGCCAAAAGCTTGTCGAAATTGAGCGCGAGTATAACGACTTGGCCCGTGAGTCTGCTCGCGCCTTTTTACCAAAGAGGATTCCTTCCAATGAGAATGGCGGCACACCATACGCACCTGATGGTCGCACCGGCAGGGTAAGTTGCTCACATCGCCTATCTCCCCAACCGACTCAGACAGTTTCTAACAAGCCCCGTCTTACAGCGTTCCATCAGCCCTTCTAAATTCGACGGCCACGCAACAGGCTCCCCCACAAAGCTCACCGTCCCCAAGCGCAGGGCTAGGAATCAGCAGTCCAACCGCCTACACGACATTGAGTTTGCCGCCGAAATCAGCCAATCCCTCATAGCCCAGGTCCGAAATCTTCAATCGCTCCTTTCTGAACGCGAAGAAGAGGTCAAGACGCTCCAGAGCGACAAGGCCCGACTCGAACTCGATACCGAGAACCTTAACCAACGTCTCAAGACTCTCGATGAGAGCGAGCACCGCTACAAGGACGAAAATTGGAACCTCGAGACGCGCATGCAGGAAATGAATTCTCTCCAAAAAGAAGCCGCCGACAAGGAAAAGAAGCTGACCCAGGCCCTCAGCCTCGCAAACAGAGAAAAGGCGGTCGCTCAAAAGGAAGTCGACGAGATCAAGGCCTCCCTTGCAAAACTCTCCGAGGAGCACGCTGCTGCCGTGAAAATACATGACATTGAGCTTGGTTCTGCCAAGCGCAACCTGAATTTGGGCGAAGATGAGCGTTCGGCTCTTCAGAAAAAGATTGATGACCTGCACAGTCAGAACCAAGAGCTTGCCAGTGCCATCTCCGCGCATCGTGGTAGAATGACGGATCGCGAACCTGGTTCTGGACTCAGCGACGATGACTTTAACACAGCTGCCGAGCATGCTACTCCCGATCACTCGCCGCCGCCCTCCCCCATCAAGGGCACTCCCAGACATGCCGTCTTGGAAACGGAGACTCTCAAGTCTTCCCTCGGCCATGCGCAACGGACCATACAGAGCCAAAGAAATCAGATTCACCGCGAAAAGACCGAGAAGCTCGAACTCCGCCGAATCATTCAAGATTTGCGCGAGGACTTGGAGAAGCAGCGCAGCGAAGCTAGCGGCAACATACGCGCCAACCGCCGCAGCCGCAAGGTCGATTCAAAGGAATACAAAGCCCCCGCCAAACTGCTTGGTAGCATGCGCTCCGGCAAGCATGAGATCTTCCTGGATGATCCGGAATGGGAAGAGAATGACGGCAGCTCGCCTTCTGGTAGCCCTACTGCGACAAGACAGACCATACTGCCCTCGATTGAGCCAAGCGACCAATTTGAGACTGCCAATGAGGCTAGTGAATCTGCCTTCGAGACGGCAAACGAGCGCGCAACTGAGACAGATGACTTTCAGACCGGTCACGAAGTCATGTCAGACAGTGATGGTGATGAAACAGAGACTGAGTCCAGAGGCTTTGGCAGGATGAAGCAGACCCCGAATTTACCTGCTGTTCTTGCTAGAAATGGCACCCGCGAATCCTTCCACAGCACTGCTTCGACCTCTGCCGACGAAGCTCCGAATACCTTGCGTGACGTGCGCACGCCCACCGGCACTGTCTCATCCACCAGAAGCCGCTTCAGCCTCAGCCGCCTGCCCTGGTCTCGCCGCTCCCGCCAAAACAGCGAGGAGCCCACTATACATAGCAGTCCTATCAGCCATGCTGGCAGCGCTGGCACGCCACGCGCGCCTGGTCAGAGTCTGTTTTCTGAGCTCCAGGATTTCGACGGTAGTGAGGATGATTCTATCAATGGCACTCCCCGCACGCGCACCATGCGCTCCCTCACACCCGGCTCAATTCGCCGCACGCTGTCCCCTCCGCCGCCCATGCCTACACGCGCTGTCATGGTTGACAATTCAACCATGACAGAGCCTGGCTCTATGCGACCTCAGGCCCTCGAGAACATTCGTCCAACCTCTTCGGGCTCCGTCATCAACACGAGCCGAGACTTGCCAGAGTGGCGGTCGAGCTACGATCCTACATCCACGGATGCGTCGCGCCGCACGTCCAATTTCTCCAACAGCGACATTGATGAAAAGATTGCCCAGTTCCCTGTCCCGCCGAATGTCGTGGCACCCAAGGATCTGGCCTTTTCTTACATCCAGTCTCAGAATATAGAGCCCCGCGAACCTATAGTCGCACCACCGACCTTGAGAATGTCTACTATTCTGTCCGAGGAACTCGAGCCCATTGCCAGCCCTCAAAAATATGTGCCTGTCATGTCCTTGGGCCAGATTCAGTCACAAGCTGTCGAGCCTGTTGCCAGCCCTCAGAAACCTGTGCCCGTCATGGCTCTGGGCCGAATTCAATCTCAGGCTGTCGAACCCATTGCCAGTCCCCCAAAACAGGTGCCTGTCATGTCCTTGGGTCAAATTCAATCCCAGGCTGTCGAGCCCATTGCCAGCCCTCAAAAACAGTTGCCTGTCATGTCCTTGGGCCATATTCAGTCACAAGCTGTCGAGCCTGTTGCCAGCCCTCAGAAACCTGTGCCTGTCATGGCTCTAGGCCAGATTCAGTCGCAGGCGGTTGAGCCCATTGCCAGCCCTCAAAAACAGTTGCCCGTCATGTCCTTGGGCCAGATTCAATCCCAGGCTGTCGAACCTATTGAACTGCCTACGCCTACCACGCCCAAGGCCGGCGCCCCCGTTGCAATCCCCGCTCCCATGCCACAGCTCAGTCTGTCGTCCATTAACACACAAAACATTGAGCCAAAGTCCCCACAACGTCCTGCTTTGGGCTTCTCTGTCATTGCTACCGAGCGAGTATCGCCAGTGTCTGAGTCAATGCCTGCTCTCCCTGCCTTTGGCTTCTCTTCAGTCATGACTGAGCACACGGTGCCGGTCAGCCCTGCGAAAGTGCGTCCACCTACCCTGGCGCTGTCGTCAATCTCTTCAGAGGCAATTATGCCGAGGACCATTCCCAGGAGCGTTCCCACGCTCACGTTCTCTGCTATTCAGTATGTCAATATTGAGCCGCAATCACCAAGAAATGGAAGGAGAGATGGCTTCATCTTCCCGCGTGACCTCGACACTCCTGAAAAGCTTGTGCCCGAGACACCTAACAACAAGATTTTCGGTGCCCTCTTTGGACGCGGAAAGGGCAAGGACGCTTCACCCGTCATCGCTGAAGATGAGACAAGGCAATCTCCTTCAGATCTTCCTGATGCCGAGACTCCAGAGTCTCAGCGGCCATTCAAAGAAATTTCGACCAATGGCTCCACCCGACCACGCAAGTCTGCGTTGCCCAGCACCAGTGACCAGGGTGCTCAGACTGCCCTGACTGGTGGAGCGATCGATCGTCTGCAAAAGAGTCACAGAAAGAGCCCATCAGTTGCTTCAGTCGGCAGCCCTGGAACGTTAGGCACTGTCCGCATCCACCGTTCGCAGGAAAGCCTGGCAAGTCACGCCAATCGCGGCATGGATCTTGACGATTCAATGCATGATACTGGCTCTGTCATTGCTCGTCCGGAAAGCGCAGCCAGTGGAAGACGGTCAGTCTATGGGTCAGCGCCTCCTCTGCCTGTCAACCATCGCCAAGCTATCCAAGCCGCCGGTGCCCAGACACAGAGCAACATGGGCCCGCCACTGTGGCCTGCTTCTGCTATGAAGCGTCCCAGCACACCAAGCCAACTAAGGCGATCAGGATCGGGGCAGCATGGCACGCCAACTCCCCGTGCTGCCCGCACTGGCGGCTTTGTCGAATTTCAGCAAAAGCCTCCAGTCGTTGCTAGGCAGCCTTCGGTGTCATCCTTCGCTTCCGATATTGATGCGCGTTTCGATCTGCAAGCTACGGACATTGACCCTACTGGCTTCGGCCCCAACACGGATCCTCGCATGATCCAGGCCATCACGCAGACCATGATTGGCGAGTACTTGTGGAAGTACACACGCAAGACTGGCCGTGGTGAGCTTTCTGCCAACAGACACCGCCGCTACTTCTGGGTTCACCCCTACACGCGAACTCTGTACTGGGGCGAAAAGGATCCGTCGAGCGCTGGACGATCTGAGCTAAAGGCCAAGAGCGTGCCTATTGAGGCTGTGCGTGTAGTCACGGACGACAACCCAATGCCCCCGGGCCTGCACCGCAAGAGTCTGGTGATTATTGCTCCAGGCCGCACCATCAAGTTTACCTGCCCTACCGGCCACCGCCACGAAACGTGGTTCAATGCCCTGTCGTATTTGCTGGTTCGAACAGAGCCGCAGGCGGCGTATGATGCCGAAGATGTTGCGGGCTCCATCACACGCGAAGATGTCGACGAGTTTAATCCACAATATGGCCGCCGGCCTGCGCAGGGCCACCGGCCAGAGCAGCAATCGGTTTCGTCGTACAATTCGCGCGCTGTGAAAAACGAGTCTCCCGCTGAAATGTACTCGTTGGTGGTACCGACGCTGACGCCAACTCCGCACCGCAATGATCTTGCCAACAAAGCGTCGAGAAGCACCTTGAGCAAGATGAGCGGATACTGGAAACTCTCGACTCTACGGAGCCGCGCAGGCGGTAGCAGCACTGACCTGTACACAACCAATCAGGTGCATGACAGCGCCGAGGATCTGCGCGAATTGATCGAGCGGCAGGACCGCGACGCGGACCGTCTGGAGAATGTGCGAGCGTGCTGTGATGGTAAGCATGATGTGGGCAGCGTTCCTCACTCGTCGAAGCGCCATCGCCACAGCCATGGCCATCCTACGCACTCGGCCAATACGACGCCCGTGTCGTCTATGCGAACGCGCGCTTAAACGCTGCAACCCTCTCAGAATGGTACATTTTATCACAGAATTTCTTTTTACGAAACACTCTACACTCTTTACGGAACCTTGGGGATAGTCTACTCCCGCGATTCACATCCAAAACCTGATGATTCTGACGAAACTTTCTTGCCTCGGTCGAGATTTTCCTTTACTCTTTTTAAGTTTAGGCACGCAGCATCAGCTGTTGAAACTATAGCCACTCTCTCACACTCGCAGTCGAAAGAAAACTGCAACTTTCCTTTTCTATTGTTTGTAAATTAGGAACATAGGGGTTGTTTGGTTCTGTTTTACAGTGTCTTGTCCACCGTGGCCGTTGTCTGTTGACAGGGACCTTGTTTGCGGACGGGGAAAATCACTTTATCTATATTCTTTGGCACAGACCAGACTAGACACCTTATGTTTCTTTCACCTTTAGCCAAGAGGCGTTTTGTCGAGCTTTTTGTTTAGCATGAGAATATTTTACTCTGTTGCAAGCATGTCATGGCTGTATTGACGTGAGGCGTCGGTCGTGGGCTGCAAGTGAGATGTCATTTTCAACTTGGAAGGTAACCATGTTGGAACAAAGAACTTTTTCAATTTCCGTTGTAAGAGGATCAGGCAATGTTCAGATGGCCCCTACAATGGATTAGCGCCCGTTCGACCAGTGGAACCATGGTGATGCATTTAGCGTCTGGATAGTGCAAGTACAGATGGTGATCGCCTCATCAAAGATTACATTCAAGCGCCAACAAGTTCGAGCCATGCTGGTCTCTCAGAATAAAAATAAATAGTCTTGAGCGGCTTCAACGAGTGTCACACTGCGTTGACGCTGTATTTGGTGAGACGAGGCTGTCGACCCATCACATGACGTAGGTGAAGCACGCGCTGCGCTAGGTAGCCCCAACTTTTTGGCGCTGGAGCTTGTCCAAACAGTGACGTGACACCTTGTTCTTGAGGACAACTTTATTTGAACATCAACACGCTTCCGTCTCTCGTTGTTGGTTCTTGTCCATTTCTCCTTTTCCTTTTCCGTTTTGATTTAGCGGTCCTTGTCAATAAATTTCTTCCTCATCGTACAACTTTCTCCCGGCGACAAACGGACCGGCCGGCATTCTGTGGATATAGGACACCTTTGTTAAAACTGTCACCCATCAGCAACCACGTTGGACATGCAGCTCCGTCTCAGCAAACATCATAGCAACAACCCATTATCTCGATCTTGCGTCTACGTTACCCCGAAACTTTGACCCGAAATCTCTCTACAACCACCGACACACGCATACACGCACACCGCCAGACGCACAGCAGCCATGGGTCCCTGGACGGCCCTGCTGGTGGCGTACCTTCTCGGAGGCGTCACCTTTGTCCCGCTGCTTATCGGCCTCGTCCTGCTGCACGCACACTACACGCTGCCATTTCGGCGGGACATGGATGAGGTCCCGGATGGGCACCCGGACAGCGTGGTGCAGGACGGCGACGACATGGCCGCGCTCGACGCCCGCCGGGCCAAAGAGCGGGGTGACAAGCACAACGACGACGACGGGCGGAGCGGGCGGCGGAAAAACGACAGCGACGCGGCGTTGCACGAGCTCGATGTCGCTGCGGGCTACTTTGCAGTGTGTAGGGAGTACACGCCCATGGGCATCAACGCGAAGCCGATTGAGCGGGCCACGCCCGTCGGCACCGCCACGGTCGCGCCGCCGAGCCCAAGCGTCTACCAAACATTCTACAGGAGCATCTTTGACCGGAGGCCCGTACCTGGGCCGATTGAGAATAACAGCATGAGTCACAGGCCGAGGAATGCTGGCAATGTGTTTTACGTGGTGTTGCGGTAGGTGGTGCTCTTGGAGACGACTGGGAAGGTAGCACTGACATGTATTTTTCGCAGACACGGCCACATTATGCTCTTTGACGACGAGGAGCAGCTCGAGGTCCGTCACGTCATCAGCCTCGCCCACTACGACATTAGCATCTACTCAGGCGGCGACGAGACCCCAGAGGGCGAGCTGTTTATCAAGCGCAACGCCCTGCGCCTTTCGCGGCGCGACAGTCCTGATGGCGACGAAGGCGGCCCCGTCGCGAAGCCCTTTTACCTCTTCTCCGAGAACTGCTCTGCCAAGGAGGATTTCTACTTTGCGCTGCTCCGCAACCAGGAGCAGACGTTTCCTGGGCTCGGCCGGTGCCCGCCCAAGCCCAAGCACTATGACACCAAGGACATTATCACGCTGTTGCAGCGGCTGCACTCGTCCGAGGAGACGGTTCATTCGCGCTGGCTTAATGCCGTGCTGGGGCGCATCTTTCTCAGCGTCTACCGGACTAAGGATATCGAGAATTTCATCGCGACCAAGATCACGAAGAAGATTTCGCGCGTCAAGACGCCTTCGTACCTGACCAACATTGCCATTTGCAAGATTGACACGGGTGAGGCGGCGCCGTTTCTGCACAATCTGAAACTCAGGGAGTTTAACGTCGACGGCGAGTGCCTTGTCGAGGCGGACCTGCGGTACTCGGGCCAATTTCGGCTGGAAATGTCGGCGACGGCCAAGATTGAACTCGGCGCGCGCTTCAAGGCTCGCGAGGTCAACCTAGTGCTCGCGCTGGTGCTGCGGCGCATAGAGGGCCATGTGCTCTTCAGGATCAAGGCGCCGCCCAGTAATCGCCTTTGGCTGTCGTTTCAGGCCATGCCTAAGATGGAGCTGGCCATTGAGCCGATTGTGAGCAGCCGCCAGATTACCTACACACTCATTCTGCGGCAGATTGAGAACCGCATCAAGGAGGTATTTGCCGAGACGCTGGTGCAGCCATTTTGGGACGACGTACCGTTTTTTAGGACAGAGCACAAGGAATGGCGGGGGGGCATCTTTGAAGGGGATGATGCGGTAGAAGGTGAAGTGACGGCGGCGGCGGCGGTGACGATTCCCGAAGTTGATGGGCCGGCGGAGACGGTTGTTGTGGGCGCCGACCCCGAGGAGCCGGCGATTGTGGCGGAACAGCAGGCTTCTGTACGACCGGTGGAAAAGAGCCAAACGATGCCGACGCTGGAGAGCCAGGCGACGTCCGCGACTGGTCTGTTTGGGCGCAAGCTCGGAACGAATAAGCTAAGCGCAGATAACTCACCGGCTGCTGCGTCGACGGTCAGCCTGGATGCTAAGAGCACAGCCGCAACAACGTCGTCGTCGCGGTCCCCAAACATCATCAAACGCGCCAGCGTGGAACCGATTGTCGGCACGGAACCCGCGCACGCTGACTGGTTCAAGCCCTCGACGTCGCCGCCCGACCACGCCACAAGCCTGATTGCCGCGCTGCACTCCAAGGCCCAGCAGGAAGCGGCAGCGGCGGCAGTGGCGTCGCCATCGTCACCCATTGTCACGCCCATCGGTTCGCCCAGTAAGGATAAGCGCGTCAAGTCGAGCGGCGCCTCGTCCATCTCCTCCAAAGAGGGATCCATTGAAACGACAGAGCAGCACGGCGACGGCGCGGCCGCGGCCCCCACGCGGCGCAACACGGTCTCGTCGCACGGATCGCTCGAGAGCCAGCAGTCGCCCAATGGCGGCGGCGCTTTCAGCCAGGCCGGCTCTCTCGGGCGCAAGTTTTTTATGAAGCGCGAGAATTCGAGCGCGTCTGTTTCGACAATCGCTTCGACGACTGACACAAACGGGCCGAAACAGCAGCAGCAGCAGCAGCCGCGCAACAACACGCTCGCGGCCGTGACTAATGTCGCCAACCAGGCCCGACAGTGGGGATGGAATGCCATCCAGCGACAAAAGGACGCGCGCCGACACGGCGAGGCTGCGAGTCACGTTGACCTCAGCCAGCCGATGGGTCGCGGGCAGCCGCTCCCGCCACCGGGCACGCCCCTGCCCGGTCCGACCAACGGCAAGACCAAGATAGCAGCGCCAGTGCCGGTACCCAAGCGCAAGCCAGTGCCGGTGTCGGCCGAGGACAAAGAGCCAGAGAGGCCAGGGACGGGTCACTCGCAAAAGCAGGAAGAGCAAGAGCGGGAACTAAAACCGCCGCCGTTGCCGCAGAGACGACGACGAGGGGCGAGTCAGGCGATTGCAGAGGAAAAGGAAGAGGATAACGGCAACGCGGCGGAGAACATTCTCGTGATAAGTGCGCCGGATGACTCGCAGCCGCCGACGCCGCTGGACGATGGGACAGAATACGAGGGGGCGCTATTTGGTCCGGGGAACAATGATGATGAAAGTAAAGGCGTAGCGGCGGCAGGGATCCCAAGGAGACCGGTGCCGGTGCCGATTACAGTTGTCAAAGACGTGAAGCCAGAAGCGGACAAGACGCCTGTCGTGCAACCCGCGCGAGCATTCGACGCGCTGCCAGTAAACGAGATGGAAACAGCCACGTTGCCTGCTAAACTTGTTGTCGATGATGCAGGCCTGGAGGATCTAGAGCAAGAAGATGGCAAACCGCTGGTTGCGATGCCTCCATCAACGACTCCGCCGGAACCAAACGTCGATGACGATGACGATGATGGTTTTGCGGGATGGATGGATGAAGACGCGGATGAGAGTCAGATTCCGACGACGACGACGACAACGACAACGACGAGTCGGACAGAGGAGGCGCTGCCAAGATCAGTGACGAGTCGGGTATAATTGTGAATGGAAAAGGGGTGAGGTTTGTACAGGGGATGATGGGCGGGGGAATCACAAATACAGTACACACAAGGGGCGGGCGTGAAAGCAAGAATGGAAACATTGGCGTTGACGGAGTTTTGATCATGTTGACTGGAAGTCGACCCTTTTTCTTTTAAGCATAGATTTTGGTTGGCAAATGGCATCACAAGCATTGCATACTTGTAAAGATGTGTACGTGAATGGAAGAATGTATTTCATCATGATTTTTATTGTGCAAAAGATTCAAACGCTAGCCTGCCCAATCCCATCTTGACAATTACCTCCACCGCGCCAATGCATGCAACAAGAATATTCAATCACATATCAAAAAGAATTCTCCCACCGCAATTACCACTCCATATCCCTCACCCTCAGCGCCTCCGCCAAGCTGCCCATTACCGGCAGCGCATTGGCACGCTCGCCCACCACCTTGCCGCGCTGCCGCACGCGCGTCCAAAACACGGGACAGTCCTTGCTGTCGCACGGCACGTCGTCGAGCGGCGCCACGCCCATGCATCCGCGACACACGGCGAGCAGCTCCTGATACCTAGTCTCCTCGGCCGCGAGCCGCGTCTGCAGCGCGAGCAGCGACGACCGCGCGCCCGGCCCGCGACAGCGCGGACACAGCGTCGTGGTGTGCACTGCTGCTGCTGCTGCCGCTGCCGCAGATGCTTCTCGAAGAAACTTGACGCCGCAGACGAGACAGTGCGTCGACTTCATGTACGATTCCAGCGTCGAGCGCTTGGAGCCGCCAGCGGCGCCGGGCGGCGCCGTCTGGTAGATGCGCTGGACCTTGGGCATCTCGTCGTACCACTGGCGGACGTTTGCGCCGACGAGGCTAAAGATGCGCTCGAGCGGCGGGATCAGGTTCTTGCTAATGTAGTACTCGGCGTCGAGATGCCAGTGCGGGTTGGCGAGGAGCTCCTCGGGCGCGACGCAGCGATCAATGAGGCGCGCGCCGGGCGCGCCCGAAATCACCACGTACGGGACGCGCTCGCCGTACTGCGGCTCGGCGCGGGCGTCCTCGAGCATCTTGCGCGTGCTGATGAGCGCGCCGGCCGGCGGCGGCCCTTTGTCCGAGTAGCTGCCGAGACGCACCTCGCGCGCAAAGCAAAAATCCTGGACGCTGACGGTGCCGCGCATAATCTTGGCGCACTGCGCTTGAAAGTAGGCTTTAATCTGGCTGAGGTCGGCCGTCTCAAAGAGCAGCCGGAGCGCCTTTTCCTCAATCTTTTGCTCGGCGGGCGTGCCGTCGCGACGGACCGTCTCGATGCCCTTGGCGTCGAATACGGGGTGGACTTGGTCCTTGGTCTCGTACATGTAGCCCACGTAGCGCTTCTTGGTCTGCAGCACGCACGGGAGGTATACTTTTTCGAATTTGAGCTTCATCGGGCGCGGGTTCATCTTGGAAATCTCCTGCGCAATCTCGTTGCCAATGTCGAAGGCTTGGTCTTTGGTGCGGCCCTTGAGGTAGATGAAGAGGCTGTCCGTGTCCCCGTATACGACCTCGGCGCCCCATTTCTCGACCGTGTGTATGTAGGCAATGGATCGCTCGAGCGTCTCTCGCGCTGTTTGCACGATGCTGTCTGCGATTTCAGAGCACGGCATGCGGCCGGAAAAGGAGGCCGAGGTGTATCCATAGGTAACGTTGGCCAGCAGCTTCAAGGCCAGTTGTCTGTTGTTGAGTAACTGCTGTAGCATTTTATCGTCCTTGTCCTCCTTCATACCGCTCTTGACCATGACTCGCGTCTCCAGAATCTCAGTCAACATCTTGGCCAGCAAAGATTTGCGAATCTCGGCCTTGACAAACATCATGCCATTTGGCGCAATGTTGATGTGATCTTTCAGCAACGCCATGAGCCCAGCTTGTCGCTTGTACTCTGCAAAGCCCATCTTGTTTGTTCCGCACCAATTGACGATGCGGCCCAAAAAGGTTGAGTAGCAATAATTGTAGGCAATCATGACGCTTGGGTAAAGACTTTGGAAATCCAGCACAAGCAGTGGGCTGCTATAAAATGCACTCTGTGGCTCCATGACAAGTGGTAGGCATTCCAGCGCGTTTTGGCTGCCGACTTGCTTCTTGCTCGGCGAAATCAGCAGAAAATTCTCCGGCTTGGCGATGCGAAACATGATGGACTCGACTTTGAACTGCGAGCCGCGGGAAAAGACAGAGAAAAAGTCCACGCCGAGAAGTCTGGCTTGCTCGCTGGTCCTTGGAATGAGTTCATTCGCCTCAAGAATTTGTAAATCGATCTTGGTGCGGCTTTGCAAATAACGAAGCAGCTTCGATAGGTCGTGGGGTTTGCCGCTTTTATACCACGCCGTCAGCGTCTTGTAAGAGTAATGAGGCACGCGCCGGTGAAGTAGATGCCAAGCAACATTCTCCATGGTATACTGCAGCAGATTAAGCTCTCCGCGCATAGCTCGCCAGATATTGATCATGTGGCGACCAGTCACTCGGATTGTCGACGTGGTGTTGAAACCCCAACGATCACTCTGTTTGCCGAATCTTCCATGCGATTGGGCATTGACTCTGGAGAGCTCATCGCACAGATTATAGTCATATTTGAGTCGTGCCCTCTCCATCAAGAAGCCCCAAGAGCCGCCATGAACTTCATATCCCGTGAGAACATCAGGATCCAGTTCCTTCACCACGTCGACGAGGCGCACGAGGAGATCCAGCTCGGTTTTCTCTTCGATGACTTCAGTTTTGCAGCTTTTGCGCATGCGTTTTGCCGCATCACCGCCTGAAGCCAGTACAATAAGGCCCGAAATGGTACCGTCGCCGTCATCTTGCGAGGCATATGTGACTTCGTCGCCTTTGCAGCACCAAAAGATGCATTGCACCTCGTCTTCTTCAGGATTCGGTACCAACTTCGCTCGCGTGTTTACATGAACTTCGAGGCTCATGGTGCTCATGTATTGCACTTCGTGCTGAACGCTGGTGGACTTGCGCTGTTGCGTGTACTTGTAACCATGCTTATTCTTTGGCGTGGGACCGTCAATCTGAGACAGTAGTTTGCTGCGACGCTGGAGAAAGGTTGCTGAGTTTGCAGTCTTCTCTTTCTCATCGAGCCAGTGCTGGACCTCGTGATTTGTGGGAGGTGGATGACCAATCTCCCATGATCGCAAAGTGCAATTCCTTCTTTGTCTCTGCAGTACCAAATCAGAGGACATTGACGTCACTTCTAGAGCTTCATTGCTGTCATGTCCAAAATCGAAAGCAGGCAAAAACGGTAGCGTATTGCCAATCAAACGAAACTCACGGCCCGCGTACTCTCTGCTCCTAGGAGGAACATCCTTTTCATTGCTGTAGAATGGGTTCTGGTAAAGCTGATCAGGCAAATGAAACTGTGCAAGAGAGTCTGCGTCTTTTGGTGGTGGCGGAAGCGTTGAGAATATGATAGTTGGACGTGACGACGTCTCAGCTATAGCTTGTGGAATCTTGCCCGCTTCATTGCTGCTCGTAGAAGCGAGTAGGCTAGCATGTGACGATGAAAATGGTTGCGAGGATGGAAATGCAAACCCGTGATTGCCAGATGGAGTGAAAGTAAGCAACGTCTCTGACCGGCGCTTTTCAGGTAGACCGCCGTCGCTTGTTTGCGAAGCCGATGGCTTGCTTCTTTGGCTTAGGCGCAGTCTCGTATCAGGGTCATTCTGATTCTTGACAATCGCGAAATTGAGTGTGGATTTGGGTGCAGTTGTTTCCTGTGAATGTTTCGGCACTGGCGAAGATGACGGATGAAAAGTGGCTCTTCGTTCTTGTGTGCCTTGCTCTACCTTCATCTTTGGCGGTGTCACGTCGTCTTTTTTGGCCTTCTTCGAGATCATGTCAGACCAGAGCCCGGAGCCGGCACGCTTCAGCTCTTTCTTTCGAGTTGGCGGCAAGTTGTGGTATCTAGACCGCCCGATGAATCCGCCATTCTCAGCAGCGTTTATAATGGTGGCTGACACGGCCATGACAGGCGGGCGACCCGTCCTGCAGCCGCTCACACATATCCCTGGTATCGACTCTTGCAATGACTTTCCCCTTGTAATTGCCGAATTCATATGAATTGCTTCCGAATCCGAATCCTGCTCATTCCCCTCTACCAACTGATGCAAAGCTTCGTCATCAGATTCTTGAAAATAAAACGACTCGTCGACATCGTCTGCTTGCCGCACTTTCTGTTCATCAACTTCAATACTGCTGGCCGGGTCAGTCTTGCCTACTGAAGCTGCTGATGGAAGACCAAGTGCCGGCATAAGGCTGGAAGGATGCAGATCCTCCACTGATTGTAAGACAGTCTTGACAGTCGCTTCGAATGGAGCCGGTTGTACAAATTCCTCAAATGAAGGTGTAGCAGAGCCAATCTCTTTGCGATCTGCAGCAGCAAGTTCTTCAACTTTCAGCCTGTAATCGTCCTCGTGGAGCCAACTTTGCGACAATGAGGCTCGCGGCTCCGCCGACATCGGTACCAGAGCTTCGGGTGGAAATGGTGTGCTGCCGGGTTTGAGCCGAGGCATGCGCCGCCGTCGCCGTGCCGTTTCATCTTTCCATAGCCCTGCCATGCTATGTACAAGCTTCATATCATTGGGTAGCGGCTCTTTGAGCTCAACAAAGCGATGGTGAAGTTGCCGCTCTTGTACCAGCATCCGGTTTGTTATGTCCTGCACGCAAATATCCACTTCGATGGAACAGCGACTAACACGGGGTAGCGAATGATCATCCGTGATGCGACCTTGAGGTATAGACAAGTCATGCCAGAGATGCGACGAATTTGAGCCGACATTGTGGGCTGGCACTGGTGCACGAAACGCTGCCTGGGCTGCATCCATATAGTCGCAACCGAACAAATTGTAGTCAATCATAAATTGAGAAAGGTATTGCAAATGGGCTTCATAAGGCTGGAATTTCTGTTTCAAAATAGCGCCTTGTTGAAGCAAGTCAGCCAAGCGCGTCATCACCATAGGGTTGAACATGTAAATCTTGAGGAAGAAGCGATACCCGACATGGTAGCCATAGAACGGTACACCCTTGACAAGGGTGATGCGCGCGACGAATCTCGAATTGAGGCCTTGCTCGTCTCGTCGAAAACTCACGGATAGAGCATGATCGATAGAGAGATGCAGTCGGTAAATGAAGGATCCGACTTTAGACAAATTAATACTTTGTTATCCACAGGAAACGGTCTTTCATACCCTCATCTTGAGAAAGGCCACCTTCATATTCGACAAACAAATAAGGAAAGGCTCCATGAACATGCGCACACACTTTTTGGCCCGTCTCCGTTGACCCAAAAATTCGAATGATGGGAACTTTGGGCCCTCTGGCCGCTTGTGAAGGTCGTATGTCATTGCGAAGCTGCGGGTCGTGTATAGTGGGCGTCGCCTGGTAACTGTCGATGCAGTTCAGTCTGACGCGGAACAAGTCCATTACTCTCAATCCGTGAATCCATTTGATTGCATCGCGTTTAGGTCATCAGACATGAAATTTGTAATAGTTTTTAAGAGAAAAGAGGCCGCTATCTAGTGCTAGCTCTCCGGTTAACATGGCGCGGCGTGACGCGACACGCAGTGACAACAGATGCCCCACTGCGCGAACGCACGTGATGATAGCGGGTTCTTTATCGAGTGTCGCTGCCTTTTCTTCTCTACAACTTTGCCTTGTCATCAGCTCAGTATTGGCGCGCTGCTGTGCAAAAACACGTTACGCACTATTTCCTGTTGATCTATAGCTACCGATATTGACAACACGCTTGTAAAGTAGACTGCGCACCGTCGGCTTGTCACCGGAACAATGCCTCCTCCGCCGTCCAGAAAGCCCGAGACTGGCGCTGCGAACAAGGAAGAAAATATCTACATACCCTCGTTCATCAGCAAAAAGCCCTTTTATGCCGGCGATGATGACGACGATGGAGCTGATTACTTAAGGCATCAGCGTCGCGAAGAAACAAAAGAATCAACAAAATGGTACGACCGCGGCAGAAAGGCAGGCCCAGCCGCAACTAAGTATCGCAAAGGTGCCTGCGAGAATTGCGGCGCCATGACACACAAGGCAAAGGACTGTTTGAGCCGGCCACGCGCAAAGGGAGCGAAATGGACTGGCAAGGATATTCAAGCCGACGAAATCCTCCAAAACGTCAACCTCGGCTGGGACGCCAAACGAGATCGCTGGAACGGCTATGATGCCAAAGAATACAAACATGTGGTAGATGACTTCAACGAAATGGACAAACTCAGGAAAATGGCACAAAAAGGCGCTGGTGTAGAGGATGAAGAAGACGACGGCGACAAGTATGCGGAAGAAAACGACATGAGCAAGCACCAGAGCACAGCTACACGACAGCTGCGTATACGAGAAGACACCGCTAAATACTTGCTGAATCTGGATCTCGAATCCGCCAAGTACGACCCCAAGACACGATCGCTCGTCGATGGTGGTGCAACTGCCGATAAAGCCGCGGATATGTTTGCTGAGGAAGGGTTCATGAGGTCGTCTGGTGATGCGGGTGAATTCGAAAACGCTCAACGACTTGCATGGGAGGCCCAAGAGAAAACTGGCGACACTTCCCTGCATATGCAAGCCAACCCAACAGCCGGAGCCTTTCTCCGCAAAAAGGAAGCTGAGGAAGAGGAGAAAAAGCGAGCCGAGAGAGAAAAGCAGCTTCAAGACAAGTATGGTGTCGGAGAGCAGAAGCCTATACCAAGCTCTTTGCGCAACATGATGATTACGGAGTCTGAAACCTTTGTCGAATACGACGAGACAGGATTGATCAAGGGCGCACCTAAAAAGAAGGCCAAATCCAAGTACAAGGAGGACGTATTGATCAACAACCACACGTCGGTATGGGGAAGTTGGTGGTCAAGCTTCAAATGGGGTTATGCTTGCTGTCACTCTTTTGTGAAGAACAGTTACTGCACTGGAGAAGAAGGCAAGTCAGCCTGGGAGGCCTCGGAACGGCAACGCGCAGGCGCCAATCTCGGTAACGGTGACATCGAAGAGACAGCGGCGGCGGACGACAAGAAGCCTGACGTCGAAGCGCAAGAAGATAAGAAATCCAACAAGAGGACCCGAGAAGAAATGCTGAACGGTGTCACAGAGGAAGAGATGGAGGAGTATCGCCGCAAAAGAACCGTGGCGGCAGACCCCATGTCGAAATTCCTGGGTAAAGACGAGCTATTATAGGACGAGCCTACTGTACATACAATGTAAAATAATGATACCACAAGTTTACGGCTGAGATCAATATTGAATGGACACCACATCACATCTGGCATTCACACAAGCGTTCAAGATGAGCCAGATACGGTAATTGTTTGTAATAATTCTTTTTTATTCCGTTGATCAACGCCCCGAGCTATGACGCGAAATCCTTTTCCGAATTTCAAATGGCATTTTCGTCGCACAATAATCGTGAAGAGGGTAAGCACTAACACTGCGTAGTCAATGCATTTACTCCTCCTCCTCCTCCTCACCCTCGTCGCCGTCGGCAGCAGCCTTGGCCTTCTTTCTGCGGACACGGCCGGGACGGCCAGAGCCGAAGGGAGAGTTGAGAGCGAAATCGATGTGCTTCTGGGAGTCGAGACGGACAATGAAAGAAGGAACGTTGACGATCTGCTTGCCGACGCGGATGTGGCGCTGGCGGATCAGGACACGGGCGTGGTGGATGGACTTGGCGAGGCCGAGCTTGTAGACGCAGGTCTGGAGACGACGCTCAAGGAAATCCTCAATCTTGAGGGCAAGAACGTAATCGAGCTTCATGCGGGATTCGTCGAGGACACCGACACGGACGAGACGGCGAATGAGGGCATTGCCTTCGAACAGACGCTTGGGGTCCTTCTCGTCGAGGGTAAGAAGCTGACTGCAGTGGGAAAATTCATTAGCCAAAAAATTTGTCGTACATATGAAATCGAGCTATCGCAATGGCTTACCGAGCAGCACGACGAATCTTGGACAGCGTCAGACCGACGCGCCACACCTCACGCTTGTTGCGGAGGCCATACTCGCCAACGAGCTTAAGCTCGGAGTCACTATTGCATCGGAGTCAGTTTTATGTCACAATCGACATGAACAGAGACAAGCTCTGATTCAGTGGCCGGTGAATACTGACAGTCGGGCAGACTCGAAGGGTCTACGGGGGACACGAGAGGTCTTGGAGTGAGCGCGGGGAGCCATCCTGAATTGATGATGTTAGAGGTTGAAAATTCCAAGTCGATTTCAACTTTGGGTACTCACTTGACTTTACTCCGTGGTGGTTGCTGGAGAGTGAAGGTCTGCGCAGCTCGGCCCTGCAAAATCGTTAAAGTGTTGTGGGGATTGGGGAATTTTTCGACCGCAATGGGTCACGTGGACGATTTTTGCGAACCCTAACTGGGACGCACGAGCCAGCAACGCATTTCTTTGCCCTACGGATACTAGCGAGGAAGGGTGGGCAAGGGCAAAAAAAAAAGTTGCATTAGCTAAGCACCGCAAGCCCACAAGCTGTGCGCAAAATCAGTAGTCAATCCACTCGCGATTTTGCAGCATCTTGCCAATCCACGATCACCAACACCGAAACCCCCCGTGTCGTTCCGGTAATAATCAGACAAAATGGGTCACTCCTACGGAAAGAGAGCGGGCACTCGCGTACGTTTTTTGGAACTTCAAATGCCGAGAAAATGGGAAGATTTGTTTTGTACTGACGAAGCGTGCAGTATGCCTTCAGCCGCGACTTTCGCAAGAAGGGTACGCTGGCCCTGAGCACGTACCTGCGCCAGTACCGGTATGTCGAAAACCGACCGAGAGCGAATTCTGCGAGAGAGGGAATGGAAGGGCTAATGAGCGAATAGCGTTGGTGACATCGTCGATATCAAGGTCAACGGTGCCGTCCAGAAGGGGTAAGATTCAACCACCAACCCAATTCGAACGTTCGATATGCGACTTCTGCCTGCAAATGAATCAGGGCTTGACTCGACGAATTGAGCTGGAAACTAACGGGTATACAGTATGCCCTTCAAGGTCTACCACGGCAAGACTGGTGTCGTCTACAACGTCACCAAGTCTTCCGTCGGTATCATCATCTATAAGAAGGTAAACCACCGCTACCTCGAGAAGCGCCTGAACATCCGCATCGAGCACGTCCAGCCCTCGCGCTCCCGCGACGACTTCCTCCGCCGTGTCAAGGAGAACGCCGAGAAGAAGAAGGCCGCCCGCGCCTCCGGCACCACTGTCCAGGTCAAGCGTCAGCCCCTCATGCCCCGTGAGGCCCGCACCGTCTCCCTGACCGACGTCCCTCCCGAGACCGTCACCCCTCTCCCGTACGAGACTACGATTTAAAAAGAATGGTTGCGTGGGGTATGCTGCGGTTATTGTTATTTTCTTGTGGTGTTGCGTCCGGATGGGAAAGATTCTCAGCATGGCAGGGTCTGCATTTTGATGTCCATAGGGAATGAAAATAAAAAAAATGACATCTACACAAAATACGTTCTGGGCCGCTTGTGAAGTTGTGCAGAAATCAAGCCACCCTTAGGTATGTCTGCTAGCAGTCATCGCGCTACTTTGTACGGCAGATAATTGATTTCGAATGATTGTTGGACTGGCGCAGTCAGACTACGCTATTCAGCGGAGCTGCCCGGAACGAATGGTGGTCTATAGGTACCTTTGCTCAATGGCGCGCCACATCGTCTTTATTGCCAACGATACGGAAAGCAACTCGCAGGGATATGGCAGGCTCAAAGCAGGCTGTGGCTGAGGCCTGTCTGAAGGACTTCCCCGCGTTTATTGCCGATCCTCTGGTGTACATCCTTACATCATATTCACAGCCTGCTCTAACACGAAAGGTGGCCTGATTACTGTTCATGTCTACTGAAAGTATTGTAAGATGAATCCAAATTTCGACAGTTCCGATGGCGAAAACAGTGACGGCTTTGTTGTAACGGGCGCGCCAGACAAATACACCTCCGAAAACACCCCACTCACTGCCGAGAAGCTTACTGAAGTGCGGGAGTGGCTGGAGCCAACGGCGTACGACATTTCGAGTGGTGAATACCAAAAGCATGCGTCCTTGTACCTTTTGGGGACCGGCAACTGGCTCACTGCATCTCCCGAGTACCAGCAGTGGCTGACGAGCCGAGACTATGGCCTCCTCTGGATCAAGGGCATACCTGGGTCGGGTAAATCAGTCATGGCAGCCAAAATAATTGCCGAATTGTCCGCATCTGAGCCAAAATGCCCAGTCCTATACTTTTTCTTCCGGCAAATCATCGATGCCAACCATAAACCCGCGGCGCTGCTGCGCGACTGGATGGATCAGCTCTTGGTGCACAGTCCGATTTTGCAGCGCCAGCTGTACTCCTATATCCAAGAGGGCCGGTCATTGAAAAGTGTATCGCAGGATGACATGTGGAAAGACTTGAAAATGGCTTTTGCCTCGCTCTCCGAGAGGGTGTACTGCATTGCTGACGCTCTCGACGAAATGGACCAAGGCAACGATGCGTTCCTCAAAGCACTAGCAAACCTCGGGCTCTGGAAGCCTGCTAAAGCCAAGGTTCTTATTACAAGCCGCCCCGTTTCGAGCGTTGAGATTCCCCTGCGTTCGATCACTTGCCTCAAGATTCGACTGCAAGAGGATGAGGTCGATAACGACATCTCTCGCTTCGTCAAGCACACCTTGGAAACTTCGCATATAGAACAAAGACATTGGCCTGCAATCGTCAATGCGGTTCCAGGCAGGGCAAAGGGACTCTTTCTATACTCCCGACTGGCGATGGATACTTTTCTCGAACCTGATGTTGACGTTCAAACTGCTCTGGCACATCTTCCCACCGACTTAAATGTCCTCTACACGAATCTTCTCCGAGAGCACATTGATCGCTCCGGTGTAGACGATGAGACACAGAGGTTGATCCTTCAAGCAGTGACACATGCGACGCGACCGCTGCGTCTCCTTGAAATCGCCGAAATGATCAGTGTGGTTAATGTAGACAAAGATTTGAAAGCACGAAAAGAGCTCGTCAAGGCAGCCTGCGGTCCTCTTTTGGAGATACTCGCTGACGAAACAGTCGCCGTTATACACCACTCCTTTACCGAGTACTTGAAAGGCATTACAAGGGCAAAAGGCGACCCCGGCTACCCTGCCTTGGATTCCGGTGCTGCCCACGAGCAGCTGGCCTTGACCAGTCTCCGCTACCTCCAAAGTGGAAGTTTGAGCAGTTTTCCTCCTGCCCTCCTGGACCACAAATCACGACAACGTCTTTCTGATACAAAGATAGCGCTTTGGCAGGAATACCCGTTCCTCAAGTATGCGACTGGTAATTGGTTCAAACATGTCATCTCAGCGTGCTCTGTGTCATCGAATGACACGAAGCTTCTCCCTGAGATTCGTCATTTTCTGGAGAACGATCATTTCCGATCATCTTGGTGTCGTCTACAGTTCAAGAGGATGGCGTGTGATGCTCCCAAAGTCCACATCGCCGCGAAATCAGGGCTCACGGGATACCTCAAGGAACTCATTTATTGCGGTGCGGACGTAGATTCCCTAGATTACCAAGGAAAAACTCCTCTGTAAGATGTCATATCTCAGGCTGCCACAATCTACACGCATTGTTAGCTAATACTTCTACAGCTGGTGGGCTGCTAGCGACGGTCACGCCGACGCCGTCCAAGCATTGATCGCAGCAGGGATCAAGCTAGATCGGGAGGACAAGACCAGTGGCCAAACACCTCTTCATCCAGCAGCACAGAAAAATCATTTCATGGTCGTTGAGCTTCTGCTGCAGGCTGGCGTGAGCCCCACGATCCGAAAGGGACTCGGCACCTCGCATCAATACAGTTGTCATTGCGAGCCCAGCTATGGCGAAAGTCCTCTTCGATATGCCTGCGAAAGGGGGCATTGGGAGACACTCAATGTTATGTTGAAACATGTCACGAACGTTGACGATGTGCATTGGGCGCTGGCATGGGCCGCCTGTTGCGGACAGTCTCGGCTGGTTTCTAGGATACTCCAGCATCCCGGAGTGGACGTCAACGCCATAATCCACGGGGATACTTTTCTTTACTTAGCCTGCAGCAGTCTCGACATTGACACCATCAACATTTTGTTACACGCCAATGCGGATGCGGCGGCCCTGAGTATCGGCGACCGGCATCCGCTCAGTGTCGATATTGACTACACCCCCAAGCCAACAGGATATCCAACTCAGAGCTGTTTGAGTGCCATGGTTCAAAATCATAAGTTGTGGCAAATTGTCAAGAATCCAATCATCTTCTCAGAGGTTGAAAAATTGTTCGGTGATTTGTTTGCTGCTGGACTCGATGTGAATCAGCGGGACGATATGAATCAGACACTCCTGCACCGAGTTACCCAGTCCGCAACGTTTACCAATTCATTGATCAATGCAGGTGCTGATGCTAGAGCTACTGATAAGCACAAGTCTACACCGCTCCACTTCTGTACCGAGCCTGAGGCCATGTCAGTTCTCGTCAAGAGAGGGGGCGCCGACGTTGATGCGGTCAACAGGGACGGCCGCACCCCATTGCATCAAAGTGTGAGCTCGCAAGCCGCCATCTCGAAGCTATTGGAATATTGCAGCGATCCTAACATCTTGGATAACGACGGAAATAGCCCACTGCATTTATTGCTTGCTCGGATATCCCCGGACACCTACCTTGAGCATGTCACTCTTCTACTACGATTTGGAGCGGATCCAAGTTTGAAGAACCACTGCGGGCTGACACCCTTTCGAAGCATAAGCAATCTGTCTACCGGCCGCAAGGCAGCTGATTATCTTATTCAAGCTGGCGCGGATATCGACGCCACAGATAACGATGGAAGGACAGTACTGTTTGATGTTGTCGGTCGACAGCATCAAATCAACCAGGAGCGTGTGTGGACACTTGAATACCTGGTGGGCGCCGGAGCTTCCAAAGAAAGCAGAGATTACCAAGGCCGCAAAATCTCACATGAGGCAATCAAGGGATTGATGTCAAGTCACGACCTGGGTCTGATAGTACAGTGGTTGGATGCTCTGGATAGTTTGGATTTACTCGACCTGGAGGCAGTCGACAACGCTGGCAACAATCTCTTGCATGAGCTCTGTTCTCGTGTGCAAAATACGCGCAATAGACATGCTGTCGACATGCACCTCGTTCGATTACTAACTGGTGCTGGATTGGATATGTCGCAGAAAAACCACGCCGGACAAACACCACTTCACCTCCTGTGCACAAGACCTTGCGAGGCCGGAAGCTCTAGGTTTGTTTTCGACCAACCCATAGTCTATGCGATTCACCATTGCCAAAATATTGACGAACGTGACGCAAATGGAAACACGGCACTTCACATCGCATCCGTCTATGAGGAATCTTGGTGCAAATTGCTGTTGGATGGTGGTGCAGATCCAACAGTTCGCAACCACGAAGGGCTTACGCCACTTCATTTAGCCGCTCGCTGCAAGCAAAGCAATGCAATTGGCTTGCTTCTGATGGCTGTACACGACCGTCTCGGCAATACGCCTTCTGAAGAGGCCGATTGTATAAACGCTACAGTGGTGAAGAACTGCAACAACATATATGAGCCATACAACATCACAGCGTTGTTTTATGCCTGCCAGTCTGGAAGGCCGGAAAGCGTGAAGCTTCTGCTAGATGCTGGCGCTGACCCTAACATTGGGAGCCTTTTTGTGGCATGCGCAATGATGGAGCAGGAGAACCGACTATGGACCTCGAAGGCCCATGCCCCAGGTAGCGCTATTGCCGCTTTGCGAACACTGGATATGACACGACCAAGGCCCATGTTCGAGCACCAGTCAGATGTGTCTCATCCTTTTGCGTCAACAAGACTTGAGGAGATTCTTGACATGCTGGTTTCGTCTGGTATCAGCTTGTCACTACTTCACAGTGACCCAACAAAGGGATATATGAACCCATTTTGGAAAGCTTCTGCCCTCAACAGCGACTACGCCTTCAAATGTCTGAATGCGATCAAGAGAAAGCATTGGGCAACAATTGGAAACGTACCAGAGCAGGTCATAAGCCACAATGCGCTCAGCTTATTTGACGAGAAAATGATGGCGTTCAGTGACAGTGCATCCAACAATGTGATGCAACAGAGCGGCTGGCTCCAGCCCGGAGGTGTCAACTTTAACATTTTCCATGCCATCATCGTTCGTCGGCAATATCATTTGATAAAACAGATGGTCGAAGCCGGTTGTCGCTTCCTCCTGCCAGGCATACCGCATTTAGAGTATCTCATTACTCATGGCTTCGCATGCTTGTTTGACTACATTGTAAAGGCGGAATTGCAAGTGCGATTGGCCGAAGGAGAGTGGCACGCATATGATGACGCTAGCAAGCCTGGCCTTCACTTTGAGCCCAATTTGGATCAGAATGAGTCAGTCAGAAATGGCCAATTTGGGGAAGAGCTCCGAAACAAGATGCTAGAATATGCTGTCCGGCGAGAGCTCCCAAATATGGACATTGTTCGGCGTCTCGTGGACAACTACGCGGTGAACATCAACGGCGGAGACAGAAATAGGAACACGGCGTTGCACATTATCGCGCGCGGTAATCACTGGTGGCAGAGTGCACAAGCTTTACCGTTTCTCTTGAAGTCTGGAGCAGATATTGAACATGTGAATTCGTCGGGCCAGACACCACTCCATCTGACGTTGGACAAGGAATATTTCCAGCTAGGCAAGCTCGGATCTTTCCACAAAGACGTCGCAGAGACATTGATCGAAGCAGGCGCCAATGTAAACGCTATTGATTCCGAGGGGCGAAGCTGCTTGGACTGCGCAGGCTACAGCACCGATCTGATTGATTTACTCATCAGCAAGGGAGCAGCAATACGCTCTGACTCTGTATTTGCAGCACTCAAGGCGGACAATAGCGCTGCGTTGGAGAGATTACTGCAAGGAGGAGCAGATGCAAATGGTCGGATGTTGTTTATTGAAGATCTTCCAGATAGGGACAATGCGGACGAATCTTCGGGCGACAGCAGGATGACCTTTGATGCCGCATTGATTCCTCGTCATGAAGTCGCCCCGATCTACTATATTGCTTCGAAAACGGCTTTTCCTGAGGATCCGGATATGAGAAGCTGTTTCAGGAAACTTTTGAATTATGGCGCGAATATCTACGCGAGGTTCCAGGTACAGCGAGGAGGGCACAAATGCGGACCAACTTATGGCGGGGACTACAACAAGCTGATTGGAGTTGTTGAAGAGCTTGAAGGTGCGATAGAGGAGCGAAGTGTTTTGCATGAACTTGTTCGTTTGGGGAAATTGAGCAAATGTATGATTGATGCCACGGACATTGATGCAGGTTGTCTGGATCCGAAAGGGTGCAATCTTTTGCATGCGGTCTGCGATAGCTGGGGTGGTCCGGACCACGCGATTGATGTGACCCAGGACGATGACGACGACGATGATGAAGAAAAAGAAGAGGAGGAAATTTCGGCATTCCAACAGCTTCTTGCTCTTGGATGCGATATTCAGACCCGTGACAGCAGCGGACAGAGTGTTGTGCACCACATGATCTATCGGGGTTGGAAACATACTCGAAGGCTGGCACGACTGGAAAAGTCGATTGAAGAAGTCTCACGCGTTGCGCCCGACCTTCTCAGCGCTCCCAACGCGTCGGGAAACACGCCGCTGCATTACAGCGTCCTGCTTGCCACATCGACCCGGCGAACGGTACAGGCGGGCGAGAAGCAGTGGAAGGACCAAATGGTCGACCTAACGCGGCTGCTACTACGCAGCGGCGCCAGCCCGGCCGGTGTCAATCAGGACGGCAACAGCGTGCTGCATCTCATGGCGCACAATTTAGACCGTGACGACGTGGCCGCGCTGTTTGCGGAGCTGGTGCGTGGGGAACACGGGCTGGACGTGAATTCACGCAACGCGCGAGGCGAGACGCCGCTGATGCTCCTCGCAAACCGAACCAAGGTGCTATTGCGTTTGGGCGCTGGATGCGGCAGCCTGTACCTGGACGACGAGGCGGCGGCGCAGAGCGTCGCAATGCTTGCGGAGCTCGGCGCGGATTTTGCGGTCACAGACGCGCAGGGTAACGGCCTGCTGCACCTGGCGGCCACGGACGAGGTGCAGCTCTTCAAGGCGTTCATGGATAGCGGCAATTTGGATCCGATGTTGGAGAATCGAGCGCATCAGACGGCGATTGATGTGGCGGCTACGTATGATAACGAGGAGATCTTGGCGTTGTTTCAGAAGAGTATAAACGAGAGTCACCAGTGAGTAGTTAAAAACGCCAGAAGATCAACAAGAAAAAAATAATGTATATAAGGATAAAAGATAGACTGAATTTATAAATAACTTTGAGTCAGAAGCATCTTACCAATGAGTCTGTTTTCCCAAGTACCGCCCTTTCTTTGATTTCTCTTGCTGGCTGCCGCCTAGTTTGCGCGACTTTGCTTGCGCGTCCCCTTGACGAGTCTCTAAGCCGAGCGCTGGAGCCTAATCATGACGATGGTTGATAAATCAGTCCCACGCCCGTCATTCATCAGATGAAAAAGAGAAGAATAAAACGCCAGATTGATTGTGACCTCGAAGCTGTCTCTTATTTAGTGCGGGGACTTAGCTGTTATTAGTGCCCACCTCGATAACCCCCACAGTGGCTGGGCGCAGCCACGCAGAATCGCCAGCGCTGACGACAGCTTCCTCCGACTGCATAGCTCTCGCATCGCCACTCAACGTACGATTTCCCTGTCGAGATCGCGCTTGTTGCCGAGCATTCACACAAGGCAGCTGCGCTTTTGATTGTTTTACCGCTTTACCACGAACCTCTTCCAGATATTCCTCTCAGGCCAATTCCACCTAGAACAAGACATCCCTATCCGAGCCCCCGGACAGCCGCGCTGCGTCATCGTCGCCAATCATGGCGTCCCTCCGCACTGCCGAGCACACAAAGTATGCTGTCTTGACGCTCTTGGTACTTTACAATCATAGAGAGCATCGCTAACCCCTCGCTACTTCCAGGACCGACCAGGAGCTTGCCATCTCCATTAAGAAAGCGACCAATGCCGACGAAATATCTCCCAAGCGCAAGCACGTTCGAGCATGCATCGTTTATACGTGGGATCACAGGTCATCGCTGTCCTTTTGGTCCGGCATCAAGGTGTATGTCACAACACCCCGTGGTGCGTGAATGGACGCTGCGCTAACTGCAAACCCTACACAGCCAACCCATCATGGCCGACGAGGTTCAGACCTTCAAAGCCCTCATTACCATCCACAAGGTCTTGCAGGAAGGCCATCCTAGTGCTCTCAAGGAGGCTATGGCAAACAGAGGCTGGATCGATGGCCTGAATCGCGGAATGGCTGGTGAAGGCGTCCGCGGCTACGGTCCTCTTATTAGAGAATATGTCTACTTCCTGCTCGCCAAGCTATCCTTCCACCAGGCCCACCCTGAATTCAACGGAACATTCGAATACGAGGAATATATCAGCCTCAAGGCAATCAATGACCCCAACGAAGGCTACGAGACCATCACAGACCTCATGGTGTTGCAGGATAAGATTGAGCAGTTCCAGAAACTCATCTTTTCTCACTTCCGCAACGTCGGTAACAATGAATGCCGAATCGCCGCTCTGGTACCACTTGTTCATGAGAGTTATGGAATCTACAAGTTCATTACAAGCATGCTTCGGGCCCTTCACACGAGTAAGAACGACCTCTGCGGGGCAACAGCCTATCCGGCACTTTACTAATCTCACTCAGTCACCGGTGATGACGACGCTCTGCAGCCCCTCCGCGAACGATATGATGCGCAACACTACCGACTGGTTAAGTTCTACTACGAGTGCTCGAATTTGCGCTACCTTACTAGCCTAATCAATATTCCCAAACTTCCCCATGATGCACCAAACCTGCTCGCCGAAGACGAGAACGCGCCGGCTCTTCCTGCGCGCCCAAAGCAAGAAATTGAGCGCCAACCAACGCCTGTTGCTGAACCCAAATCGGAAGAACCCGATGAGATTTCAGATTTCTGGAAAAGCGAGCTGGACCGCCAGAACAGAGAGTACGAAGAGCAGCAGCGAGTCCTGGACCAGCGACAGCAGACCCAGCTCATGGCCCAACAGCAGGCTGCAATGCAAGCCCAACGAGACTTTGATGAGCAGCAAAGACGTCTTGCTGAGCAGCAGCAACGAGAGCAGGAAGCATTGCTTGCTCAGCAGGCCCAGTGGCAGACCCAGGGCAGGCTTGCAGAGCTGGAGCGTGAGAACTTGAACGCGCGCTCGCGCTTTGAGCAGGACCAGTTGATGTTGCAAAAGTATGACCAACGTGTTAAGGCTCTCGAGGGTGAGCTGGCCCAGCTGCAAAACAACTACGGCCAGCAGATCACTAGCAAAGATGAGCAGATTCGAGCTCTGCAGGAACAAGTCAACACGTGGAGGACAAAATATGAGGCTCTGGCCAAGCTGTACTCTCAGCTGCGTACCGAGCACCTCGACCTTTTGCAAAAGTTCAAGGGGGTACAGCTCAAGGCCGCCAGCGCACAAGAAGCCATCGACCGACGCGAGAAGCTCGAGCGCGAAATTAAGACCAAGAACCTCGAGCTTGCTGACATGATTCGCGAGCGTGACCGTGCCATGCACGACAAGGACCGAGCCTCTGGCAGCAACAAGGACGAGTTGGAGAAGCTCAAGCGTGAGTTACGCATGGCCAACGACCGCGCCGATAACCTGGAGCGCAGCAAAGGCAACGAACTGTCAACCATGCTGGCCAAGTACAATCGCGAGATGAGCGATCTGGAAGAGGCTTTGCGCACCAAGTCTCGCGCCCTGGATGATGCCCATTCCAAGCTCCATGACGGCAGTTCCGACCTCGAGCAACTTCTGCGCGACAAGGAAGAGGAGCTCGAGGTGTACAAGGCTGGCATGGACCAAACTCTGATCGAGCTCAACGATCTCAAGCAGAATCAGGGCAGCAATGACGAGGTTCTGGATAGCCAGCTCGATGCCATCATCATGGCCAACCTAGACAAGATTAACGACATTATCGACTCTGTTCTCCAAGCCGCCATTGGCCGTGTCGACGATGCTCTTTACGAACTCGACTCTACCATGCAAGCTGGTAACCAAAATGCATCACCCGCCTACGTCCTGTCCCAGATTGAAAAGGCTGCCGCTAGCGCCATGGAGTTTGCAACCTCTTTCAACAACTTTATTGCCGATGGTCCCAACAGCACGCATGCCGAGCTGATCAAATCAGCCAATGTGTTTTCCGGAGCCATGGCCGATGTGTGCAGCAATACCAAGGGTCTGACGAGGCTAGCAACTGACGACAAGAAGACGGACTCGATGATGAACGGGGCGCGTCAGTCGGCCATGGCATCTGTACAGTTTTTCCGCAGCCTGCAGAGCTTCCGTCTAGAGGGCATGGACCAAGTGCAAAAGACGGACGTTGTCATTAACAGCAGCACAGACGTGCAGATGAACCTGCAGAAGCTGAACAAGCTAGTCGAGGGGTTCGCGCCTGGCTTCGGCAAGTTTGCCAACAATAAGGGAGACCTGGGTGACCTCGTCGACACGGAGCTTAGCAAGGCTGCCGATGCGATTGCCGCAGCGGCCGCTCGGCTGGCCAAGCTAAAAAATAAACCCCGTGATGGATACTCTACATACGAGCTCAAAGTCAGCGACTCGATCCTAGATGCGGCTACGGCGATTACGAATGCAATTGCGGAGCTCATCAGAGCTACGACTGTCACACAGCAGGAGATTGTGCAGGCGGGCAGGGGTTCATCGTCACGAACGGCATTCTACAAGAAGAATAACAGATGGACCGAGGGCCTCATTTCAGCAGCCAAGGCGGTAGCTTCGTCGACCAACACGCTGATTGAGACGGCAGACGGGGTGCTGTCGAAGCGCAACAGCCCCGAGCAGCTCATTGTAGCCTCGAACGACGTGGCTGCCTCGACGGCACAGCTGGTAGCAGCAAGCCGTGTCAAGGCCGGGTTCATGTCAAAGAACCAGGATAAGCTGGAGCAGGCCAGCAAGGCGGTTGGAGCTGCATGCCGGGCCCTGGTGCGGCAGGTGCAAAGCATGATCAAGGAGCGCTCGCAGGAGGAAGACCAGGTCGACTACTCCAAGCTTGGGCACCATGAGTTCAAGGTGCAGGAGATGGAGCAACAGGTATGTTTCCTGGATGATTCTAGTTTTGAAATATTACGCACACCCCCCCCCCCCCCCCGAGTATCACAGCAACGACTTGTGCAGGGTCACAGTGCATGACTGCAAGCCACGTCTGGCCTGTAGATTGTCTGAGACCGGCACTTGGGAAGCTGATTCGCGAGTGGCTTTCCTTGTTGAGTGTGGTGCATCTACATTGCAGCATGTGGCTAACGGGCAACGTTTGGATAGGTTGAAATTCTGCAGCTGGAGAATGCTCTTGCTGCAGCCAGATACAGATTGGGTGAAATGCGCAAAATTTCGTACCAAGAAGAATAAACCAGACACGTTGGTGGGAGCAGCAGGGGTGGAGGGGCGCAAAGAGGCAACAAGCAGCAAAAGAGACAACAAGCATGTCGATTCAGCAAGCAAGCAACCAGTTGTTGGCCCGTGACAATGCACAGGGGGGGGGGGGTGAAAGCACGTAATACGGCGTCTGCGCCAGGCAGAGGTCGTCGGAGAAGCCGCAAGCCTAGACCAATACCCATCGGAGGATAATGTGGATAAGGGCAGAGAACGGTTGCACGGCACAGACGGTGGATGGCACAGACTGGTGGACGGCACAAACGGCTTGACGGGTAGGACCAAATACCCACCGGAGCGCAATGTGGACCAAGGCGGAGGCGACCTCCGGAGATCAATGTGGACGAGAGCAGAGGGGTATAATACGAATGCATGAAATTGTTCGGTAATTATTATAATTATCACTAGGCATTAGAATTTATTCAATGAAAGGAGAATGGTCTAGCGTCGTTGATCTTTAGATGGAGCTTTAGGGTCGGTTTGTAGATGAAGACCAATCCACGCAGCAGACAGAAGCGACGGCTTCGGCCTCAAGAGACGGCGTTTGTCTATCGCCACATAGATGAACGCTCGGATTGCCAGCAATAGAATCAGATCTGCAGCCCCAAGGTAGAAAAGCTCCGGGATGTGTAGGTATTTATTGGTTGCTGGTAAAAATGTTTGAATGGTTTGAGTAAATGACTTTCGGCTTGGCGAAACGGGGTGGAGCGAGTTTTACTCGGTCTCGGAGTATTTGATGGATCTAGTCAAACATGGGGTATTCGGGAATGCGATGGGGGCAATCCTTTTTGGCAATCGTCATGGCGGCGAATGTAACGGTGGGATGGGCGGATGGGCGGGCCAGGCAGGGGAGGGCTTGAATTTGGGCGAGGGGTGTGTGGGGAAAAGGTGAAGGTGAAGAAGAAAGGTGTGTGGCATAGGAGACTTACCACTTGGAGAGAGAGAAGAAATATGGCTGACAGATGGCTGACGATGGCTGACGATGGCTGACGATGGCTGACGACGGCCGACGAGAGCCGCATGAAGCTAGGCTGGCCACTCAGTGGACAAAGAACATGGCGGTAGTCTACCTACGACCACCGCTAATCGTGGGCGAAAATCAGTGTATACCCGCCATGTTTTTTGTCCACCCCTTGGCTGGTAGGCAGGCTGGTGATGCACCAGCGCTCGTTAGTTGGTACATTTTTATTCCGAGGTAATCGGTGCTCTGTATAAAAATTTTATTAACCGACAGGCCACGACGGCATAATGTATTGCCGCGGACTGTCGGGAGAAATTTTAAGCGATATGAGAGCCGATGAGCCGCCCAGCAAGGGAGATAGATGCATGAGCTGAGGTCATGCTCAAAAGGTCTCTAGTCCAATTAAAAGGCCTATGAAGGAAATAACCCGTTGTAAAAAGTATAGCTCAACGCCACCATGCACCTATCAGCTCTAGCAACCATGGAAGGATTCTAGAAAAAACAAAATGGGAGAACTAAGCCGACCTCCAAACGCCAATGTTTTTGAGTGCTTGGGAGGCTTGAGTGGCGCTGATCATGCAAACGCGCCCCTTGCTGCTGTTATCCAACTAAAAATGCGCTAGGAGACGCCCAACACACCGCTCAACACACGCTAACTCCTCGCCCGCCGTTTCCCATCTGTCTTGACTCGCAGAAATCAGCAAACATCACTGCAAGGTGTGAAAAGTTTCATGCTTAAATAAAATTCTAATTTAGAAGACTACTAACACGTTCAGTGTTGACGCTACAGTTGTCGCACGAGGACATAAACGAGCTTCGCATGGCTCCACCTTTTTGGTGCCGCTCTCTCTCCACCCACCTTCATCATCTACTCCCACTGCCACTCTCCCTCTACAACCCAGTCTTCCCGTGACCAGTGGCGTATGCGAGAAACCCATGATCACCACATTTTCCATCTCCCACACCTTGCAAAAGTACGATGCCATTGGCTAATAATCCGAGACTAAGCCAACACCATGCAGCCTGGTCTGGGAAGTAATTACAGAGGTGAGAGGCTGAGAGGAGACACAAACACTCCCGTTGCACAGATAAACAAAACCAGGATGCGCAGAGCGTCCAGATTCCACGCAATTCCAATCTCAATTCTTAACAAGGGTATTTTACGGCAATGGCTATGCTAGGAAACGACCAGTTACCGAGGTCACCCATACCACTCTACTTCAGGTGAGAGATGAGGCTGCCTGCCAACTGCATACCTACACAGCGCAAAAGCATAGCGCGCGAGTTACACAGCAATCTGCTTCTGATGTTTCTGATCGGGTCTATTGCGTTCGTACACTGACCAGAGTCATACAAACCGGTTTAGGTAACATCCGCCAGAGTTCAACAGCCTTCACCAACGAACGATAGCGTAAATTAAGCCCCGGGAACAAGCAGCTCTCAGCACCTTTCCGAAACACTGAGACTCACCTAGTAAAAAGCAAATCAATCTGCTTGATGCACAACGTCAATCTACCAACTCTACCCAACTTCGATTCATGCTTGTTCTCAAGCTGCAAGACACAAATGCCCACTAAAGAGGGGTTTTGGTGGGGTGCGAATAGAGAGCTTTGACTATGTAGGCCAGATCGTGCCCGGATGGGCATCCGGACTTGCAGGGCAGAGCCATCTGCTGCGGGGTGAAAGCACACTAGCCTCACGGATCGAGGATGCGTCTTCGCAGCCTGCTCTTTCGGGACAATCTGTGACGCATAAATTGAAGACCAGGTCGGCAACTCCGCCAACGAGGAAGCCCCTGGTCGTCAGCTCTGACGCAGTCACATCTGGAAGCAGATTAGAAGCATTTTCGCCTCGCGCAAGGTGATAATTCTGACGGGATACCCAATTTGGAACACAGTCGAGCCGCTAGTGCTGCGCAATTTTGCGCTACGCGAGCATGCCCGCCCATGCTTGTGCGGCTGCTTCAGCTAAGGTTCCAAAGGATCCAACGCCTGCAACGCCTGCAACGTCTGCAACGCCTGCTTAGCCTGCTTACGAAAAATGATACAGCACGAGGGCGAGTTAGCACAGCCGCTGCGACAGGCCGTGGAGCTCGAATCAAGGATGAGTTGTTGGCGATATCCACGAGCATGAGCACTAGTCGCAGAGATGCGGCTCAGTAGCGCGAATGCACTACAACACTGGACATTGCGGGTATTGCGGGTGAAGCAGAGCGAGCGCAGACCGCTACCTAGCAAGCCACATTCGTTGAAAAGTTGCACTACTTTCTTGGCAATGCTAGCCCCGTACCCTTTCTTCTCTGGTGCTTCAAATCGACGCATTGCCACCACGCTCTCGTCTCTCACAACAGCTTCGACATTGAGTTTAGTGCCGCGCTGGCTACTCCTAGCCCGATCGCAGAGACATCAGTTACTAATAGGAAATATCTCCGCGTATCGACGCAATAGCGGCCTCTGATGAAGTACGGCCAATATACAAGCTGTTGCGCTAAAAAATGCAGCCACTCGGAGGCAGATGTAGAGCCAGTGGGGCAGCGTGGACACAGTTTCCAGCCAGTCCGCTTACCTTGGATCGAAGCTCGCCTCTCCTGTGTTGGGTTATGCCCAGAGAGCTCAGTTGGTATGATCCAGCTCAGCTTGATTGATATAATCTGACTCATGCTTTCCATTCACTCTTTCTATAGTCAATTGTGTGCCACGAGGAGTTCATGACCACCAGGATGCCGAACCTTCGGGGTGGGACCGGGTGACGTCGCCGCCCGTAGCTCCGCACAGCACTCCGAAACCCCGACTCGGTTGTGCTCAGCTTGTGCACCGCCTGGTTCAGGACTCGGTATTGCCTAGCTTGTCTACAGAATCATCCCTCAAGGTCACCGCCAAATGTTCCGTTGTGTGCAAGGAGAGGGTCAAAGCTTGGTAGAGGCGAAATGGCCGCCTCTTATCTCCACAGCGGCTGACTTTGGCCAAGCGGACTTGTGCTACTTAGGTCAACGGATACTAGTAAGTTCAACTTCAACGTTAGATGCTAGCAGCCGTTGGTGACACAGCCTCCTCCGTACAGGGGTTCCTAGTAGTACAGCGCCACATGATTTGACTGAATCGTCGACTCGATCAAAGACTGTCAAGGACAGACGTCAGGTGAGACATGGCATCGCATCTCATTTGAGGCTGGTGGAGAGGACGAAGGTGAGTGCGAGGCAGATCAAGGGACCAATTGTTGCACCTTGCCAATTTCATGGCTCGCTCCACCACTGGGTCACCTTTATCGCCCCAGAATCGTCGCCATCAGAGAGAGGGCGCCCTGCGGTGTATGTTCTAGGTCATGAGGCTGAAGCATGTGAAGCCCCTTGGTTGCACAGAAAGCTTGTCGATTGAAGAAGATGATTTGTTCGTACAGGCTTTCGATCCTTCTATTACCAGTACGGACAAGGTAAATACTTTTTTGGTTTGTGGGCTCTGTCCACAATACAGAAGGGATAGCGGCAGGGATAGCCGGGGTCGCTCGTGCTAGATTCGGCCAAACGTGTGGGTCGTTGACGGTCAAGTGTAATGCAAGCGATGATTGAGCAAGCTCGTTCAGGCGAGCGAGAGTATGGAACACTGAGATGCTTGTGTGCCACTCTGTCGCCTCAGGCCAAGTGGCCGGGGTCAGCATGGGGATGAAGCACGATAGTGGGTAGCAGACCAGCAGCGTCTAGCGATGGCGGTGCAGGTCCAGCTATGATGACATCGAGGACTGGGGTCTTTGTCGTGAAGGGGGCATGCGCAGCAAGAAGACGTTTGGGCCAACTCCAAACATGTCAAAGGCCAACGGCATGATGACGAGAGCCGCTTTTAGTGTTAGAATTTTTTTTCATGGGTGAGAACTGTTTTGACGAGACTCTCTTGTGTCCTGTCAAAAGTCTTTGGCCAGGCATTGTTTTCATGGAAAATCTTGTCATATTTTATTACTGATTGCCGTCTTGCTTTTGTTTCACTTGATGCATGTCCGTGTGGCAATTGTTGGGTTTGGCCGCATAACTACTAGCCACCACCCATCATCAGCTGGGGCTGGCGTGTAAGTTGTGCGGCATGTGGGTTGCAACTTAGCGTCGGATGCTAGCATCGGTAGGTCGCCAGGTTTGGTCTAGGACAAGGCATGCAATTCGGGCAAGACCTGAGCAAAAAGAGAAACAGAGAGAGAACCGAGCTAGTTGGTAGGAATAATCATCTTTTGCCGTCTTTTCATTTGTCGGCTCGTCTACCTAATGCGCTCTGGTCCCTTGTGCTGCGCCACCTGCGCTCGTTGTCGCCTGCTTCCCCAACGTGGTATCGCGCATTGGCCATGCCACAATGATGTAAAAAGACACGAGAAACAAGTATTCATATTGCCGAACGATGCAACTCAGAAGCAAAAAAACTAAATAGACTTAAATCCAAATCCTCGAGCATGCAGCTCGAGGGGGTATTGCCTCCCTTAGTAAAACACACGAGATCCGTAAAACGCCATTTCTTCAAACCTCATTGCTCAGCCAATGTCTCCTTTTCTTCTCCAGCGGATTGCAGTAGGTCACTGGGCAAGAATTCGCCACTGCACTCTGAGTGAAACTAGATAGGCCGCGAAGAAAGATATAGAAAGGAAATAGAAAAGAAAAAACGATCAATCGCAGAGATCAAAAAGTATAGTGAAAATCCTCGTGTGGGTCATACTCTGTACCACTGGAATGAACAAAGACTTGAGGCAGATAACGTTAGCATGTCAAACAAAGAACGTCGGCAATGGGCCAATACTCACGTCGATCCGTGCTTAGCGGTTGCGGACATTGGCTCAGTACAGCGTCAATATCCCACGGACAGTCAATATTGAAAGCTTGGTGGTCTGCCACGCCTTCCAAGCTCAGGACAGCAGGTAGCGAGGCTGTTCCGGTATAGCCAGGATGCGAGGTAGGGTAGGTAATAAGGCCATCATTTCCACTCAGTGACGATGCAGGGGAACAAGCAAGGGAGTCGTCAGTAACGAGGTTGTAATAGTAAGGCCGGAAGTAAGATTCAGCGACTGGCCCTGGCGTGGGTTCCGCGGTAGAAACGGGCACAGCAGACAGCATGCCCGACGAATGCGACGGCGTTGAGATTGACGGCAAGAGAGCCGCGGGCTGCGGTGGAGGGGTGGGTATGGATGTGCAAGTGGACGGCGTCGTTGTCTCTTCTAAGAAGCGCGGAGTCTCGCAGCAAGGTGTTGAGGCATCCAGGCTTGGTGTGTATATAGGAACTTCTGCCTGGGTTGCAAAAACCTTTTGCTCTGATGTCAATGCGCTTTCAGCTATGTTCTGCGGGAGTCGGTCTTGGTTCGTTTCGACGGAGGCGCGCGAGGCGATGGAGATTGTTGAAGTAAGATTTGAACGGTTATCCTGAGCCAGAAGGGCCTCCAATAGGAGGATATTCTCATCCGGCATGTATCCCAGCTCAATCATTCCTTGAAACAGTTCCAACTCCGAATCTGGGCATGGTTTTGTGGTTTCCTTGGGCACTCGCAGCTCTTCTTTTTGAACAAGCTTCTTGGTTCCATTCTCGGAATCCTCGACAGCCCAGCCGAGGACCCGGAGATATTCATCGGGAGGCAAGATGTCCATGGCTGGGCAAGCGGCCATCAAAAATGATGATAGAGGAGCCTTTGCTTTGCCCATCTCGTCACGAACGAAAGAATAGACCTTCGCGATCATTGCCCAGCGGTTTCTGAACGGGTCTTTGCTCCAGAGCGTAGTGAGAAAGCCTGACGCGGCCTTTTGCTGCGACTCTGGAAATAGTTTCACGTAATAGCCTGTTGACCACAAACGTCAGATTTGCGTACGTGGAGAATTGAATTTTAGTTGCTCACTTCTAAATGCAATGAAAGCATTTAGAGGCCGTTTTGCGCGGTCTCCAACCTGTTTGCTGTTGCTCTTCTTCTGTGGCAAGGCTCTTTGCAGCTCCATGTAATGAGGCGCCGATTGAGACTCTGAGTATTGTCTCATATTGCTCTCTTCCATTTTGTCTTCGAAACACTTGGTGGCGATCTCCAGGATTGTATCTTCTTGCAGATGACGGAGAATTGTTTGTGCAGGGACGGTCGAGAGATGCCTCAATAGCTCTTGCTTGTCGAAGTCGTTCGGTCTATTTTCCATTTTGGCGGGTATTATTGCAATTGATGTGAAATGGTGATGTAGGATGCATCTAGGACTTTATGTGGTGGTGGTCATCGAAATATTCTTGGGAGGAAGGTTGTGCTTAATTGGAAGTGAGATGGTGCTGGAGGGCAGGTGAACCGGGAGGGTGTGTACCCAGGCGCTACCCCTGCAAAGCCTATTGGGGGGGTGTGAATCTTTTTTAGTGCCACCAAGCTCCGCTACGAAGTGGCTCGGGCGACCGAACTCTCGATTGCAGAACTCAGCCGTCCGCTGGACAGAGAAGTAGCAGTATCGGCCACGGAGACGCTACTGAATTTGAGGGGCATACCAATAGAATTAATAGCATACTAAATTAAGAATGATCAATTTGGTTCTGGCATACTAGTGTTGTAGCCTCTCGCTGAATGCCATGAGAAACAAGTCCGCTTCCACTTCCTCTGGTTCGCTTTCAAAACGGAGTGCCCGTGCTGTACTCGTAATAAAGGGGAGCGACAAGTTTCCTCGTAGATCATTGATGTTTTTTTTTATCTTCTTTAGTCAGTTGCAGGCCACTGGTTGGTGTTGATATTTGCCACTCACCATTGGAACATTGTACAAATATTCTTGCTCCATATCCTCAATATATTCTGCGGACTATTTCATCAGATAGAGCTTCTGCAATCGAACAATTCTACATACGTTTTCTGTGTGTTCTTTCATTGGATATGGCAAATAAGTTTCAGCTGCCAGTTTGGAGAATTGCGCAATCCGCTCACTCTCAGAAAGGCGGACTCTCGGTCGGTGTGCCTTATGGGTGTTAGTTGGACGCACAAAGGGGTGTTGGGTATCTTACCTGATCAAATTTAGAACGAAGTTCGGAATAGTATATTTCCCACGGCTCAGCTAAAGAGAGGCAAGAGCTTGGAATTTTATATTGAAGGGTAGTCCTGATTCTTTTGCGGGAGAAATACGACTGCTGCGTATTCTTCATAAACTTATTCCAAGAAGAGCCAGGCGTTTTTCGACTGGGATGCCACGGAGACGCAACAGACCAATTCTCCTGTCCAATTCTGCTTAGAAGCCGCCTTCCAGTATGATCAATCTTAACCTCAGATATGGTCGTTCCGAATTCGGCAGACGGAGAGCTGGTGTATTTCGAGGCGCCTTCCCGGACCAGTTGCCAAGTGGTTCTTAAATATAATCGCATCGCCTCGTTGTCTTTAAGCGCTGATATGAACAAACTTGAGGGCTCGCGGATGTTAATTTTCGGTAAAATCATGAAAGCTCCAAATAAAATTGTGGTTACAGCGTTTGCCACTAAAGTCGCAAATTGGAGGCTTGGGTTTTTTGGACGCGACCATGTCTCGGATGTTAAGAGGATCGCTATGAGGCCAAGATTTGCGATTTCGTGCTTCGTCGCTGCGTATTGTCGATTCCATCTCAATATTGTCGCTCTTTCCTCTATTTCAATCTCTGCATCAGGCGCTAAACCCTGGTGAGGATCTCGTGTCGAAATTGGCACTGCGCTTATGTACCAGAGCGCGATCGCTTCTTTGACTATCAGAACGGGATCAGTCTTCTCTTCCAAGCCGAAAGCGACTATTCTATCAATGATATTATTGTCGTGTTGATAGTTTCGGAAAAGGCTTTCGACGGCGTGGACGATGTCATGCAATACATCTGCGCACACAGAGTCAGCGACATGGAGCCAATATGTGCAGAGGCAGCACACCATCGAAACAGGGCGCCTTATCTTCCCTGAGCCTATTCTGCTCCAACAAAAGCCGCAAAGTACTACATCGTATTGAATCTATGGCCGATTTTGAGTCTTCAATGCATTCTTCTTGCGTCCAAAGCGGGCTGAAGTTGAAAATGCTGTCCATGTTCACCGGTTTAACGAACACTGAAAGGTGGTCATGAAAGCTTCACCAGAGTAGCTCGAAAGAAGCAAAGAAACTTGGGTGTAATGAGTATATACACGCAATGCATTGATGTCAGATGACAAGAACAATAGCAATGGAGTTTCGCAAAAGCCATATCCATATGCGGCAGCACAGCCAGAACATCATTTTCAATTGACATCTCAACTATCGAACACCGCTCCACCTCCCTCAGATACTGACGCTTCGCTAATAGAGCCAGACCGCGCGACAACAAAGAACCACGCGCTGCTGCACAGCTCCCCACATCGCATACGCACAACATAACTGGAGTCCCATGTTTTTCATATTATTTTCTTTGTTCTACTATATATAGTTGCTTCCTTGTCCTGAACATAGGAAGAACAACAGTTTCAGCGCTTACAGGAAACGGACGGCACCTTGATTTCGCTTTGATACCTTTTTTCTAGGGAGGGGACGGGGGAATAGACAATATTCCAGGCGCATCAAAACAGGGGGGAGGCTCTTTGTGTATGCTGATTTTTCAGCTTTATCCAGAATTTTGCAATAAGAAACGCTCAATACTATTTTACACGCCTTTTTTTTTTCACTTCTTGCGATCCGAATACTCAGTGACCAGCCATCTTTTTTCTTTCGCCTCGCGCATCGCTCACCGACGAACGCGACCAGAGAACATCTCGATTCACGACTCCACATCAACCTCACCTTGCTGTGCCCTTGACCAGCCTCTCTTTACCTTCTACCTCATACCCTCAAGAGATCTCTCTACACCCTACAGAGTACAGCCTGTTGTGCTCCTCGTAATTATTTCCCCTCCACAGGTTTCACTTGGCACCAGGTACAAATTGCTTAGATCTCGGAAGTACGCCGGTTTTTTTCCTTCATCTTGTGCGCAAAAAGGATATGTTGCGTTCGTGCCAACGTGGCACTGGCGACGAGTTTGTCCTGCAGCGCGCGCCTGGGGCCAGACCAGGGAGAGGGGGGGGGAAGCAGATCTCACTTTAACCTCACCCTCGCACAAAAAAGACTGCAGCCAAAAAAGCCCAATGCGCGGCCGATGCGACTCCTCCTCTCGGCCAGGCAACCAGGGAATTCACCTTGACATTGGCAACCAAAACCTGGTCCCCCACCATCCGAACCAGCCAAGCCAGCCTCCTCTGGGGTTGCACGGCATGAGAATGCTTTGCCACTCTTTCGTTTACGACTAATTTTATCCGAATAGCTGGTTCTCTCCCAAGCCGGACTACCGAGCGCTGCCGAGTGGCCATGCAGAGAACCAGGAACCGTAATGATATGCACAGTCTTTTGGCCTTTATCCCCCCTCGAAACGGTGAAGTCAGCCAGACATGGTTGGCATCGGCAATGAAATATATTTTTAGCCGACTGGCCCCGGCGAAGCAATGACATTCGACCAAAAGTATACATAGAATTTGTCGGTCCGCCTTCGTCGCTTGAAAAGTCCCCTTCCGTCACCGTTCACTGTGGACTCATTGTGCACATGGAGCACGCACCTGCATAAGCAAGAGTTTCCTGCAGTCGAACCCTCAGCTCCAGCACTATCACGGTGCAAATCGATTCTATACGGCGCTGACAGTTACCAAATGTGGGATAGTGGGCGGGCATCTCCATCCATTTTGTCGACAGCATCTAACTGTACGTGCTCGTAAACGAACGAGTCCCGCAGCTATTGGTGTCTCACGAGTCGTTGGACAAACCTGCACTGCTCCAGTCACTGCTCCAGATGAACGTGCCACAACGCCACTCAGTGTCTCGCTCCTTTTCACCCGATGGCCCCAACGGGCGAGGACAAATGTAAAATGAACGTCCTGCCGGGTTGCCAATCATGGAATCGTCAGCCTTGCCTCCACGTGGTAGACAGCCCCCTGAAACATCGATGGCAAAAGAAAAAGAGAATATCAAACGCAGAAAAAGAAAGGATAACGGGAAAGCAGAGGGCAACGTACCACAATTGACACCGGGTTTTTTTGTCACCAAGCTGATGCACGGTTCGTCGTGCTCGCATCTCGGAACTACTCGCTTGCCCAGCAGTTTCGACCACGATTCTTTGGCTTCAATAGGGTCAAACACCTTGATCGGGGAAAACAGCTTCGTTGCAGCGACAATTGGCTCTGTCGGTGTCTTTGGTGATGGTACTGGTGCTTGCGAGGACCCTCCATTCGCCTGAGGCGGTGTTCGCTCCCGTGCAGGCACTTGCTTGCGGTCTGCGGGAGCCAACTCCCCTGCCGATGTTGCAGTATCTGAGGCGACAGCCTTGGGTTTGAAGAATCCTTGTAGTGTTCTTTGCCCATTGCTAGCTTTGGCCTTGGCATCGCTGAAGCTTTTACTTTTTTTGTTTGCTGGAGCTCCCAACTCAGTTGGCTGTTCACTATCTCTCTTGGTCTGCCTTCCCCGCTCTAGGCCCGTGTTGGCCCTCGGCGGTGCCAGTGCTACTGCTGCACCAACATTGTTTGTGCAAGCCATGCCGCCCGCACCGATCATTGTCGTGCCCGAGCTTGCGGCTGTATCGGAAGTCACGCCCCTATTTTCTATTTGCGGCGAATCGCCAATCTTCTCCGCTTGCGAGCCAGTCTGCGACGCCGTGCGTGAAAACATGTCTTTGATATTTCGACGACGATCAAACTCCGGGATAAGCTTAGCTGAAAGAGCAAGAGCATCCCTTTGTTCCCAATTACGGACCCGTCGTCCGTCTTGAAACATGTTGGCAGGGTTCATGACCTCTGCTAGATCAATCTTTCTGCCGTCTTTCGTCACCTTGTCGCTCATCGTGGCATATACAGGGCAATGATCCGATCCCATCAGTCCTTCTTGGATGTTAGAGTCCACGAACCAGCTCTTCAGCCCGTCGCTGCACAAGATGTAATCGATTCGGCTGCCAACATTAGCCGGCCGTGTATTTCTCTTCGTGTCCCAGCATGTGTGCATTCCCAGTCGTGTAGGGTGAAAGCAGCGGCAGATGTCCCATAAAACCGCACGTTCACGGTCATCGTCCCGGTCGCCGATTACAGTCCCTTCAAATAGGAGCTGGTTCAGGATCCGCCGCGTTGGCATTGACTGCCACTCGTTCATCGAGATTCCCTCTTTTCGAAGGCTTTCGGCAATATTGGAGCTGTCCATTTCGCTGCGTATGATGTTGAGATCCCCGGCAAGAACCACCTGTTTGCCTGCAGCTATGAGGTTTCGTATCCGCACGTCTAGAGCCTCCACAAAGCTTTGCCTGAATTCGATTCGAGTCTCATCACGGTTTGCAGGGCTGTAGACTCCAAACAGTACGAATGATGGAAACTCTAGAACAACGCAACGCCCTTCTGAATCAAGCAATGCTTCATCCACGTTTCCTCTCAACTGGCTCAGCGTTGGGTATCCACCAATCTGTTTATCCACGGGCAGATCCCGATATGGTGTGTTGCTCTTTGGCGGGCAGAGTACTCCGAGAATCCCCTCCTCTGCACGAATCGGGGCGCAGGTCGCATTCCTAGTGTAGATGGCGACTCCAGAGTAGCCTAGTTGTGTCAGCAACAGCCCTACTCGGTTGGCTCGGCTTGCTTACCCTTTTTGTGCTGAGGCAGACTGAAATAAACATCCCATCCCGGAACGAGAACCATGTCATCTTGCAAGTCCTTGCGCTGAATTTTGGTTTCTTGCATTATCACAATGTCGGCCTCTAGAATGTCAAACATGGCCTGAAATGTCAGCGCTAGAACTCTTACTCTCTGAGGGAAGCACAAACCTGAAATGTGCGCTTTTCTCTCCATGGCTGATATCCAAATGGATTCCTGGGATGTTAGATTGGCGCGCACGAGTCAATCAAGAGCCAGACGAACCGAATGCCATTTACTGTAACGTGTTAGTTTCGGCGCCAGCCATTGCTACCTTGAGTGCCTACCATTCCAGGTGGTGATTCTGAATACCATCTTCGTAGAGCGGATCAAATCTTCTAATTATGATCGTCTTTCACTGGAGAACCGCCTCCTGTCTGCTTCATATATACCATGGCTAGGCGCAAGATGGGTATCGATGGAGCTACCTGTGATAGATTGCCTGTAATGTAGTTTAAGCCCTAATTCGTCATCTATAGAGATGGGAAATGTGCCATGGAGCTTTCCATGATTTGCAGGATAAAATCGGGTATGTCAGTGCTTCCCCGTCGCCCCACGATCGCGCCGTTTATTGATGACGAAAGATTGCCCAGTAGCGCGGAACACTCGCGGAGTCACGTGCACCAATCGAAATCGGCGCCTCAATCTCCAGGCACCCACCAGCGTTGGAGCCGAGCTTCATCGAAAATGGTCTGACTTGCTAAACCTGCCCTCATGCACCCGCCGTCATCAACAATCACCGCCACCATGTTTGCTTCCCGACAGGCCATTCGCAACGCTCCCCGCTTCGCTGCCCAGGTTCGCGCCGGGGCTCAGCGCCGCTTCGCCAGCTCCGCGACCGAGAACGAATTCATCAAGGAACGCCAGCACATCAAGGACCACGCCAAGAGCACCACCGGTAAGCCCCATTGACCCCCGGAGATCTTGGACAGTGTGCCAATTGTTGTTCATGTGTGTTTCTAACGCTCATCCAGAGCTCTGGAGGAAGATCTCCATCTAGTAAGTTACCTCTGAGCCGGCCCGAGAACTGCCGAGCGACAATAAGCCTCAGCGCCATGCGACGAACTTGCTTCGAAATTGCCATGCTACACAATCGACGTTGGAAGATCCAGCACAGCTGACAGATTCGCAGCGGTGTTACTCCCTGCCTCATTGCCGCCGGCGCCAATGCCTACTACCTGTGGAACGAGCACTGGGAGCACTGGAGCCACATGCCCGCGCTGGAGGATCGCACTGAGTATGCCTACCAGAACATTCGAACCAAGAACTTCCAGTGGGGTGACGGTGACAAGGTGAGCTTCAGTTCTTCAGCAAATGATCGACGCCAAGCTAACATGCCATAGACTCTGTTGTAAGTTAGATTCATCGAGATTAGTTTGCGGCGCCGCAGCATCACCTGTGATCTTCTCTCGACGAAACATTTGAACGATCGCACTAAATGAAGAGGCTAACAAAGGCAACAGCTGGAACGACAAGGTCAACTATCACAACAAGGACAAGGTGGCGTAAGCGTCACATTGCAGTTGTAGCGCAGCATGATGGTGAACTGATACAGAATCCCGCCGGGACTCAAATTGTACTTATTCCCTAGAGGAGAACTAAACCTTTTCCCTTTGTAGCGCCAGGAACGCTTCAAATGCATGTGACGATAGCATATGCCAGTGAGAGCTGATCCGAACTACTCCGTAAATTCTGCCCATTTGTTCCCAACCAGATGCTCCTTCATCGTGCAAACATGGGTAGCTAGCAGCAGGGCTATGTTGCTTGTAATCAGTCTGCTCGACCAAACTATAATTTTCGCCTTGAAATAAAGGGATTGGGGTCTGGCAAGCGTCGTAAAGTGATTTGGCGTTGTGCTGTCGTCGCTTGCTTGAATGACTGCACCCGAGGAATGCCCGGGCAGTTGCACCAAACGCGTACACCTGCCCCACGACGTGTCTTCCACCTCTCAATAACACGACTTCACGGCACCTGCATCGAAGAAAAAGGATTGCGAATTTCTGACGGAGCAGGGAATATCAATCTTTTGATGTGGGGAGTTCTCGATCATGGCAGCTGTATGAAAAAGGAACCGTACCTAATATGCACCTCATTCGGAGCACGTTCTTGGCATTACACCGAGCACAGTAACAAAGGCTTTTGAATATCTTGGTATCCAAAATTCACGTTGATCATGGCTCGGTATCTCAATCCGGCCAAAATTGGCCTTCTCGCTCTGATCCAGCTCTACATTGAAGAGGCCATTCCCAGCGACGCCATCGTTCCAGTCTTGTCCTTCATCACCTCACATACAATAGGCCATGAAGCCGGCAACCCGCCCACCACACAGACAGGTCGATGGGCCAAGGCCGAACGCACCGTCAGCCTCGTGATAGGCATCAAAGATTTTGAGAAGCTTTTGGGAAGCTTTCCCTTCGTTATGGGTATGCCGGGCCGGAAGCTGTGGGATCAATTCCTCACACGGCTGTGGGACATCAATTCACTTGATGCACTCTATGACTTTTTCGAGAACCTCGAGCTGTTGTTGGCGAAAACGAAAGAGGAGCTACGCAGACTCAGTGAGGCGGGAGTTCCCGACATGGAAGAGGGCATCCAAATCGCTCGCAACTCGCCGTTTGGTGCCTTTATCCGCCGCGCCATGGTCGAGTACCAGCGGCTGCGCTTTCAAGACTGTGTAGAGCTGTGGAAAGATTTCGTGCGGTATCGGCAGCCCACAGTGTATTATCAGAGACGAAAGAATCCAAATTTCGGAAAGCTGAGCTTCGATAATGTCTTGTTGACCGGTGCAGCTGAGGAGGGTTGGAGCCCAGAGAGTGTTTCCGCCCTTGCCTCCGTGACGTATGACGATATGCTCACCGGCGATCGTCTTGGTAAAGTTGCAGTTAGCACTGATGATATCGAGCTGCTTCTGGACTTTCAGATCGAGCAAATGCAAAGTAGGTTGGGCGTGTCATGCAGAGGTTGCAGTGCTAACGTGATGCAGAGTTTGGCAACAGAGTACCGTTGGAGACGATCAATCAGTTTCAGGACCTGCTTCATGCCAGCTTCCTGGTTCCGAGTCTGACACATTATCTAAGGTGAGTTCTTATCCCGTGAATGAAGGCCTCGCTAATCTTGGCAGTTTCTTGAATGCATGGAGAGCAGGGGATTATCCCTCAGCATTCGACCTATTACACCGCTATTTCGATTACACCATGCAGTATCGCGACCGTCTATTTTATCAATATGCTCTCATGAACTTGGCGGTTTTACAGGCAGACTTTGGCTGCCACCGCGATGCTGTTACCACCATGCTAGAAACGGTCACGACGGCACGGGAGAATAAGGACATGATATGTCTCAATTTTGCATTGAACTGGCTATTTCACTTTGGTCGAGCGCATCCCAAGCTAGTCCGCGAGCTCGAGTCTAACAGTCTTCTCGGAACAGGCAAAGAAAGCTTGGCGTATCTTCGCGTCAAGGCCAAGGAATCGGGCATGGGTGCGTTGTGGAGCTCAGTCTTGCTAAGTGAGGCAAAGTTGGGCTTGATAAATGGGGAGAGCGTTGCCACATCTGTCGAGTATGTTGTACGCAGCTCTCACCTCATTGTCACGCGAAATATGAAGAACATGTTTGGTGCTCAGCTGTCGCTATACGCAGCTCTTTGGAGTCGCTTGGGACTCACGCATCTCTCGACAGCAACCTGCGAAATATTTCTCCGCTGTCACAGTCAGCACTCTGTATTTGATGACGAACTCAAGATGATATGTCGTCTCGGTCTGATTCAGGCCGAGCGTGGCAAATATGACGATGGTCTCAAACAGCTGGAAGGCCTGGACAGCAACTCTCTGCGCTCGTGGAAACCAAGCCAGTACTGGCACAAATACAGAGGTATAATCAAACTCGTCAAAGACTTGCACCACAACAATTTGGTTGGCGCTCAGAAGCTGCTTGATCAGCTCTTGCAGTCAAAGGCCGACGACCTGGAACCAGACATGACCTTCATGGTCGAGTCATTGCACATTGACTATCTGACGAGAAAAGGGGATTTGCAAGCGGCATTTGAAAAGGTCAATGCAATGATTGCCGTGATAAAAGACGAAAGCAAAGACATTGCCATTCTCGTCAAATTACTTCTGCTCAAGGTTGCTCTGCTCGACAAGTGCGATCGTACACAGCGCGGTTTCTCGACGGCTGTGCGTGCCGCCAATCTCGCCTGGCGGGCGCGCCTGGTACCTCTGCTGTGGGAGTCTACAGGTGCGCTCGCTAACATTCTAGTCTCGCTTGGGGAATTCGAGGCCGCAATCGAAATGCTCAACGCAGCTCTCCCGCGGTCCCTCGAATGCGAGACACCGGCGCTAACAGCGCGGTTGTACTCTTATCTGGCCGACGCCAACATGGGCATGGCAGGGCGAATGGAGGCCAAGTCGAGCAAGCGCGGCGAATACATGACGCGAGCGCTCGCAGCTGTGCAACGCTCGTTTGACCACTGGTCCAGCGTTGAGGACATTAATCAGCAGTGCGAGACAATGGCGAAGCGAGCAATGATCATGAAGCTCACAGGAGAAATGACACTGGCGGCCGACTATGCAGCAGCATACGTCGCGCTTCGCAAGCATGCAGAGGCGCTGAGTCTAGGCTCAGCATAATGGATGTCACGTTTATGATGTTTATGCAAAGGAAGGGCTTTGTTGTTATATATTACAGGTCGGGGTATTGAGCGACGCAAGGTGTTTGGTCTGGGCTAACTTCGAGCGCAATGTATCGAAAATCAATGGCTACAATGTCGCGCTAACTCGTGCCGTATTTCGAATGCTTCTCGTGATGGTTAACTACCACCTTACTTTTTCGCCGGTTTTCGTCTTGAGCGCTCCATTTTGCTCTTTCTCGGGCCCATCCACCTCGGGCGGCTGGTTCGTTGCCCAAACTCGCTCAATGCAAAGCTCGAATGGCCCCTCGACGCGGTCCGTCAATCCTACGCCAACAGTCGCCACACGCTGCCGCAAGATTTCCGTCTGTGGTTCCACCACGAAGCCGTAGTTGGTACGCACAAAATCGTTCCACTTGACAAGGACAGTCTCCCATTGCCCCGGCCGCTTGGCAAAGAGGCGATGTTGATGTAGATCGGTAGGTTCGACGCCCTCGGTCTGCACGTTGATAAAGTACGAGCGGCCGTCAGACTTGATGCGCAGTGCGAGATAGATGTAGGGGTCAATGTCCCAAACGGATTTCCCGAAGAGGGTCGGCGCCTGATTGGGTGTGCGAAAGGCCGCGTAGCCGGTACGCTTGATTTTGAGTCGGTCGCTTGGTAGGGCGGTGGATATAGAGCCGTGAAAACGCGCGTATGATGATGGCGACGACGAAGTGTTGGAGGAGGAGGAGGAGGAGGAGGAGCGTGTGGTTGGTGATGAGGTAACGTGGTCGAGGTATGATTTGGAGGAGCCACCGATGAGGTCGTCAGACATGAGGATGCAGTCGCGTATAGATTCTTTATCGGTAAATTCGTAGAGAGGGCGCGGGCCCTTGGGACCCTTGACAGCTTCGAGATTCCATGCTATGGCCCAAGTCAGTGAAATTTGCAGGACAAAAATGAACACGCAGAATGACGTACCTATGCTAGACCGGCGCTTCAGCTCATCGAGACTGCGTGTCAAGAAGCCCTTTCCTAGGAGCTGTTGTGTTGGCCGCATTGTGGCAGCTGTGTGATGTGATGCAGTGGAAATGCAGCAGGGGAGAAGGTAACGTCAAGGTTACGCCTCTCTTCCAAAAGGGCGAACTGTGTATGGTCGGTGCCAATTGAGTCGCTGCGGAGTGCGGTCTTGTGTTGTTGAAATATTGTGGTTTCTTGTCAATTCTGGCAGATGGATCTCTTGTGCTTGGGCATGGCAGTGCAAACGACAAAGAGTGAAGCTTGAACCTCACGACTTGTCAGGTCAGCAGTTTCTAGCTAAAGATTCCACCCCACTAGAATGTATGCGCGATTGGCCTGCTCAAGCCACAGTTCATTCACCACATCCAAGATTCGCATCAAACCGAGTTCATATGTGAAAACAATATGCTATGTATTGAAATAAGATCGTTCACAAAGTGAATCTCGCGAGCACTGTTGCTCATTGCGAACGTTGCAAACCATATAGGGTATTACCAGACAACGTTCCAAACATTATCCGAACAAGCTAATCTAGTGCGCTAAGCCTAAACGGTCAGCTCTCTGCGAAAAAAAAAGGACTCCATCTCAACGACGGATGAAATACAAAGCTCTCCAATTAGACGTTGCTTCCCACCCCCTTCTGTGTGCTTCATTCAGCGCCTCTACCTCGCACCGGAGATCCAGGCCACATCAAGTGTTCGCTGGAGTTGTGGCTGGATTTACGAACGAAACGACTACGAAAGGTGACGCCCGTCAACGAGGATGGCTTCGAGGGCCATGGCATCGCTCCGTCGGCCAGCGACGCAGATTGCCGTCGCCGCCACGCCGCGAGGCAGCTCGACAGCTGTCCGCATGCCCTGGGACGGGAGTCGACGCAGCTACGCCCGCGTCTCGCGGGACAAGATCAACCGGGCCATGAGCCAGCAGCAAAAGCTGGCCGAACGCGACGCGACCAAGGAGCAGACCATGTCGCAGATGCAAAAGATGGCAGCCAAGGATGTGTTTAAAGACGGCGGCGGGCCCTTGTTTCCCGGTACGTCGAAACAAAACAAGCTGTTGAACTTGTGCTTGCGTATTCTTTCCCTACTCCTCTTCTTCTTCTTCTTCTTCTTCTTCTTCCTCTCCAAAGGATGAGAGGCATGAATGCTAACCAACCACAATCTCGCACCAGGCACCTTTGTCCCGATTCCCTTTTCGCAGCGCTCCAACAACCCCCTCGAACTCGCGGCGTACCAGTGGTGGCGGCTCAAGAGCTACGCGCAGTGCGTGCTGTCGGTGCTGAGCATCAAGCTGCGGTCGATGCCAAACTGGACCTCGCGGCCCAAGTGGCGCGCGCACCGGGGCCGCATCGCGCCGACGGCGCGCGCCTTGTACCGCGAGACGCTCGAGGCCTTTGCGGCGGGCGACAAGGCGACGGTGGCGCGGCTGTGCATGCCGCGCTTCGCCGCGCAGCTGCACGCCGCCATGGACCGGCGCGACCCGCGCGAGACGGTGCGGTTCGAGTGGGTGCGCGACACCCGGCGGCTCGTGTACCCGCGGCTCGTGTCGCATCTGATTCATCCAATCAACCCGCACGACAAGACGCTGCTGACGGAGCAGGCCGTCGTCGCGCTGTCGTCGCAGCAGCAGCTGTCGCGGCATCGGCAGGACGGCGGCGGCGAGGGGGGGACGGTGGTGGTGCCGGGCAGCCTGCGCGTCCAGGACAAGATTGAGTATGTGGTGCTGGCGCGGTCGACGGACACAAAGGACTACCCGAGCACGCAGTGGCGCATATGGGGCACCACGGGCGGCACCACGGCCCAGGCGTACAGGCAGGAACAGGCCGTCATTCGAAAGGAGACGGCGCATCGGGCCGGCTGGAAGGACAAGAAGGAGATGCAGCAGGCGGCGGACGGCCAGGGCCGATGATGGGGGTCTGATATGGGCACAGTAACACACACACACACACACATCTCGCATCATGTATAACAAGTTGACTGCGCGTGTATATTCCGGGAAAAGAAAGCGATGGATTACTTTTGTACTATAGCTAAAACAGGCGGTGTAGGACGCTATGCCAAACAAGCCATGCTTCTCCAAAGCAAATAAATTAGAATAGCCCGTCGGGCCGAAACCCTGCTATTTACAACCATCTTTGTGTGTACATCTATTCACAAGAGTTGAGTCTTGTCATTTCATATGCTGCGTATATGTATGGCTTTCACACCGCTGTACACTTGCCGCTTAGAAAAACTTGCCAGCACCAGTCGAGGCACTCTCCTCGATAGGCTCGCCCTCGCAATTGCGAGGTCGGGTCGGATCCAGCGGCTTGTCAAGCGCGTCAAAGACACCGCCCGTGATCTTGGCCTTGGCGTACTGGAACGTGAGACGGCACGCCAGCGCGATGCAGCCCCAGACCAGGCCGCCAAACGGCGCCGCGACAAAGGCGCCAAAGACGGACCAGTCCTGCGCGTAGAGGCCCTCTTCCAGCAGAATGAGGCGGGCGCCGCGGTACGCGTCCTTGTAGTAGCAGGCGCCGAAGATGAAGACTGTGAGGATACCGCCGAGGGTGCCAACGACAAACTCGAAGCCACGCCAGACCCAGGCCTGCGGGAGCAGGCCAATGCAGAGCACGGGGATGGCGGCCGAGGACACGAGGTCGGAGATGAGGAAGATTTGGAGAATGGAGGGCGCCTTCAAGGCGAGGACGACAACGGGGATGATGACGAGGACGACGAAGCCACGGATGAACCAAATGTTGAGGCGGTTGCGGAAGAGGTCGTTGGAGGCGGACGAGACCATGGCCGACTGCAGCGAGTCAAAGGCGGCGGTGCTGAGGCTGACGACCATGACGAGCACGATGCCGACGACCCAGCCGGGCAGTCGCTCGAGTAGCACGAAGAAGGCGAGGGAGCCGGCTTGCGCGGGGTCGCCGGGCCATGCGCCGGACCAGGCGGCGATGAGGCCGGTGCAGCCGACGAGGGTCAGCACGCAGAGAATGACGACCATGGCCATGGTGACACCGACGCGGAGGTCCTTGTCCGTCTTGGAGGAAAAGGTGCGGAGCCAAAAGTTGGACAGGAAAAAGTCGTTTGTGAGGACCGCGACGGGCAGGATGTAAAGCAGCTGCCAGCCGAGCAGGGTAGGCTTTGTCAGGCCCGAGGCGTCAATGAGCTCCGTTTGAATCTCGGTTTTCACGCCAATGGTAATGGTGGCGATGATGATGAGGCCGACAACCATGCCGCCCTGAATGACATCGGTGAGGAAGGAGATTTTGAAGCCGCCAAGAGACGTGTAAATCGTCGTGACGATGCACTGCACGATGACGACAGGCAGGCCATCGAGGCCGGTCAGGGTGCTGACAACTTGGCCGATGGCGGACAGCTCGGCGACCATGTAGAGGAAGAGCGTGATGAGGGTGAGGACGCTGAGGAAGAGCATGCCGGGGATGCCGTAGCGCTGGCGCGTCCACTCGGTCAGGACGAAGCCTTCAGGGCAGCGCCGGCGGATGACGGGTCCGAGGTAGCCAAAGACGAGCATGGGCAGCGAAGACGCGAGTGCGTACACGACGACGCCCTGGACGCCGGCAATGGTGGCGAGCTCCGGGTAGGAGAACAGGATACCGGATCCGAGAGCTGCGGGGATTAGTCGGGGTCAAATGTGAGGGAGGAGGGGATAAGGATAGCAGAGGGTGGTAGCGGCAGCACGTTTCTCACGCAAGCATTAACTTGATCGAGTATCACGGTGTAATCTCAGCCTCGCTGCCGCGCCGCGACGACATCTCCCACGTCCAGTCAAAGGATGTGGGTTGGATCCCGCGCGTGACGTGGCACCTCGGCGCCCGTAGTGAGCCGCATCCTCTCTTCCCGCAGAGAAATGTTGCGTGGTTGGGATGCTGTGGACAGCCCTGAAATAAACAAGAGGATGTTTGACATCCTCTGGGTTAGCATCGCCACTGAGGGCGCGTGGCCCTCCACCAACAACAAATCTCCAACGAGACGAGAAGACGAAGGAGATTATTCAATGAGGGTACGAACCTGCTGCGTCAAGTAGTCCCTACAACATGTACATGTTCCAGTCGGTGATGTCGCGTGCCGAGTCCGAGTACATGACTCGAGAGAAAAGTAATCGGGTTGCAGATATCCACTGCTACCGCTCCGTAACGAACAAGGAGGTTGACTGTGCAAGAGCGCCGGATTGCGCCTTACTCACCAGAGGCGATGAAATTCAGAGCGAGAGGAAAGGCTGCGAGCGCGTTAGTGCATGTGGTTTACGGATGACGCTGTCTATTAAAGGCCGCCGTGTCTCATCGACATCAAGCGCAGAGGCGAGTTCTGACCAGTCTGAGTGCCGTTGCTGGACAGAAAGTCCGTCTTGGCCTGGTTTCGTAGCTTCCAAGCAATGCCAGTCCCCATGACGCTGTATTCGCGTGCATTATTAGCTCTCTGGCTCTGCAACCAGTGATGGGGGCCAAGACGTACAGAAAGAGGCCATAGGTCAGGTAGATGATGGCGTTGGACGCCTGAAACGAGATCGTGCCCATTGTGACTGCGATGAAGCTGAAAATGCCCCGAAGAAGAGAAAGACAGCCTTTGCTGCTATTATAACAACCGTGTAGGATGGCAAGATGAAGAAAAGAGCTTGCGGGCAATCAGGGCGAGAAGTTTTTGTCACCATTGGCATTTGCGATGGGGATGCGCTTTCAGCCGGTGAGCCCCGCCTTTTTGTGCTGTGGATTCTTTCAGCGCCTTTTCAGCGAAAAATTATTATCGAACGAAATAGCCTGATTACAGAGTAAGCTAATGCTTATCTAGAACATCTTTGACTCAGTAGAACCATTCGCTAACAAAGAACCCCAACGCGCCGCTAAAAGGGATCCGCTGTAGTACTGCAAGGCGAACAGCTGAAGCGGACCCTTGAACAATGACAGAAGACTCTGCATGAAACCCTAATAATAATCTTATTCGAAGTTTGGCTAAGACTAAAACGAAGAATGATAACAGATGTCCCTGTCCCTAATAACATAATCATGTGTGCTTGTCAGATAGCCGCCTTGTTGGGCTTACCCAGTCTTTCTCGGCTCTCTTTCTCTCATTAATAAAACGTGGCCCAGATGAAACACACTTTCTGGCCGTCGGTCCTGATTTCTTTTCGGCCGACCCATTGCGAAGATGAACAAAATTAGACGCAATATGTGACTTGTCCTTTGAAACTTTTCTTCGTAAAAACAATAAACAGGAATGAAATCAGGAAAAAGAAAAGACAAATCCAACCAACGAAACAAAATTGAAACCGCCCGGATCTGCTTTCACTTTTCTTCCGTGGCCGGCTCAGTGGGAGTTTGGCCTCCACCAGCAGCAAACTGCGCTTCGGCGGGAGCTTCGGCCTGGACGGGCGCTGGTGCTCCAACGGGCGGCGCTTGCATCTGCGGCGGTGGCATCATGTGTGGAGGCGACGTCATGGGATACATGTCGTATATGCCTGGGTAGTAGGGACCTGGGCTGTAGCCCGGGTACATGACACCGGGCGTGCCGTGAGGCGTCATAGGGCCGTAGGGCGACATGGGCGGACCGTATGGGTACGGCGGAAACGGCGGCATCCAGCCCATGGGGATGTGAGCGTGCTGGTGCGGCATGGCCATGGGTGTCTCCATGTTGCCGTAGGCAAAGCTGCCACCGCCACCGCCGCCGTTGCCGTTTGTCTTTTTGGGCGTTGGCGTAAAGAGGTTGTCTTCACTAGAGAAAGTCTGGGCAGCCTCCTCGGCCGTCCTGGGGGTTTGCTCCGGATCCGCAGGAGTAGCGGCAGCGTGGTGTACGACGGGCTTGCCATGGCCGGCGGGCGGATCAAACATGGTGTGCAGCGGCGAGACGGGCTCCATGACGGGCGCGTGGCGACGACGGGGAAAGGTCGCGTGCGAGTAGTTGGCCGAGCGTAGGGAAAGGCTGCGTCGGGGCGTCTCAAAGGTACGAGACTGCTTCCTGTCGACCCGGACGCGGAAGCCGTTGATGTCCGTGTTGTTCTGTGCAAACGTTAGTCCTCTTCGGCGGCAGATGATGGGCAAGTGCACTTACAAACGCCTCGATGGCGTCGTCGGCATTGTCGGGGCGAGAAAACTCGACAAACGCAAAGCAAGTCATTTTGCCTACTTGGTTAGCTTAAAAGTGCCACTGGGTTGAGCTCTGCCTACTTGGACTTCCTGGAACGGGCTTTTTGAAAAGGACGACAGCGATGACCTCGCCGCAAGCGCTGATAAGGTTTGTGAGAGTCTCTTCAGTCATGTTCATTGGAAGATTGCCCATGTAAATGGATCGTCTGTCGCGATCGTACTGGTTCAGAAATTGCTCCTTGTTTGGGCTGACTTGAGTTTCTGGTCTCGAGTTCGCGGATGGTTTGGGATCATATGGAATCACTTTGTACTTGCGATGCCCACGAAAGGCCTGCAGCAGGTTAGCAAAAGAACTTCAGTTGATAGAAGAAAATGCTTACCAAAGGCACGTCGCGTCTGGGGTCGTACATTTTGTATCTGACGACAACGGTAGGAGGGAGACGCATGGAGTGCTGCATCTCGGCGTCAAGTTCATCAGCCTCGGCAATTTCTCCCAGGGAACTGAGAAGGTCAGCAGCTTCGTCGCTTGTGATGAAGTCTCCATTGTGTTTGTACACGATGAAAGTGGCTACTCGTTGTCAGTACTCGATGCTCGATGAAAGCCAACATTGGCCAAGTTTCTTACTATGGGCTTTGGCCATTTCAGTGCGGCATTGTCGGCCGAGAATATAAGTGTCTCTACCGCATTCCTTGGCCTTTCTCGCATGCTCGTCACACTGCTGCTATTAGAAAAGGCCAAGTAAATGTGCAGTCGAGGACTTACAGTGAATTGACAAAATGCAAAAGGCATTTGGCGTTGGTCTCGGCGAATCTTGACAAAAACGGGGCCATACTTGGAGAAAGCGCGTGTGACTTCATACTCGAGAGTCTTGTCATCGTAAAGTTGCGCGAGACTGCCTAGTCAGTGAAGGCTGGTGCATGGTGGTCAGAGGACTTACTTGGCGGCAAAGATGCATGCCGTGGGGGGGTAAATTCCCTGGGCGTCAACAGACGGGATGCCAACCTCTGAGAACTCTCCAGGGTGGTCGGTGGCATCATTTCCACTAGAAATAGATGCAGTCGATTCATCGTCTTCGGCAAAGACGTCGTCATCGGTGTTTGCGCCAACCTGGAAGGAGTTGGCGCTGCCTGGACGGGATCTTGCAGATTCGGATGCCGACTTTTTTGCAAACAGTCTGAGGAGATGTTAGTGGTATGGAGAGTCAAGGGGGCGTCTTGTGATACATACCGCTTGCCGGCAGGAGATGGAGTCAAACTTCCGCAGGTCAGACGGGCGCCTAGAATCGTGTCAGCGCGCTGTGATTAAACAGCAAGTTTAATCCGCAACATCCAGAGATAAAATGAAGAGGGAGATGAAAAGAAATCTTGGAAAGGGGAGGAAGATTACAAGGCAGTTGTAAGAAATTGAAAAAAAAAATTGTTGATACACACCATTCGAAGAGTCCTTACCTCCTGTGCGGTCCTCTTCGTCCGAGGAAGAGATGTCGAGTAGGGGCTCGCAAGAGACGGACTTGCGAATGGTCCGGTCGCCATCGCGCCTGAGATGCTTTCTGTAGCGAGAAATAGGCTTCATGATGAGCTTCTGCGGCAATGGTAGAGTTAGCGAGTGTTGAACTTGGAAGAATGTAAGACGGGTTGGTTAGATATGGCGAGGTGGGCGGGGAGCAAACGGCGGGAATGCAGCATAGCGAGTACGAAATCGGTCGTCCGCATGCTGCAGTGGAAGAAGCACAAACCTTGAAAGTTGTTGGTGAGAGACTTGAAATTACGAGCAGACGATGCGGTCATTAAATCGCCAGAGAACCATCAAAGAATGTTTGCGTTGTTTGCAAGATGCAGGATTCGGGCTGCAGGCAGGAAACGATGCGAAAGGGTGCAGAAGGGTAAGACAAGGAGATAAAAGGGGGGCCGGCAAAAGAATTCGAGAGAAATGAATTATCTTGCGAGTGCAGATAGACTCAAGAGCAGATTTAATTGCAAGTTGTTGTTGTGAGCAATGAAGATGCACGAGTTGGGACGGGACGGTTTGATGGGAGGATGAAGGTAGGAAGAAGAGTGAATCAGGCACCAGTAAGAGGCAGCGTGTTAATCAGCTGCAGTCAGCCAACGCATCTAGAAAGTGTTGGAGACTATAAGCAGGTAAATTGAGAAGAAATGATTCGGGCCTTTTTCAGAAAACGTTCCGACGAGTCTAGCAGTCATCGTGAAAGTGGCAGCCAAGGTGAGCGGCGGCCCAGGAACCCGGCGACTGCACTTTGGGGAATTGATAACGTGACGCGCATATTTTTGGCACAAAATTCTGGGGATTGCTGGCGGCTAGAGCGTGTTGTATTTTTATCTAATTTTACATGCATAGAAGTGCAGGGAAAAACGTGTTTTCATGCGTTTGGCGAGCTGGGAGAGGAGCCGCGTGGGGGTGGATTGCGGTGTTGGTGGTGGTGCTCGAGACGAGGAGAGGCGCTCTGCGGTCGGTCAAAATGGCTGATGAGGCAATTGAAGGAAGTTCTTGATGAGACTGGCGGCTACTCCGTACATCCGACAAGAAATGATGATCCCGGAAACGCTCAATTTGACTCTATCGCGGGCAAGACATGTGGCGGAGAGAGCCAGTGCGTCCTTTGTGTAACGTGTTGGCGGGCGCGCTAGTTGACCTGTCAGCCAACCCCTGGATAGGGAATTAATTCGTCCGAGGAGGAACAAGGGGAAGAAAAAAGAGATCTGGGAATTGTTCAAGGATAAAAGAATTCTACCTGTCTTGGAATCAGGCCATGATTGTCCGCAGCCAAGCCCTGCCAGCTGGCAACGGTCCGTCGGTCGAGGCAAGCAAACGGACGGCCGGAACGGCACGAATGGGCACGGGTACGCTGAGTGACGAGATTCAAGAGCCATGATGTGAGTATAATTATTCATCTTGAAAGGTATATGCCAATTACCGGAAACCAAGAATATGAAAAGCCACGGCTGGGAGCTGAAAGTGGCGGGACACAGGGAACAAACGGGCGCTATTGGAAATGGTACGGGAAGTAATTAATACCGAAAAAAGGAGCAAATACTATCACAGTGGTAAAGATGGACAGGTAGTACAACTATGGAGTATCAAAGATCTCGTGAAAGACTGTGAACGCAGAGATGCATCGGCACAAAAGATACGTCTGATGGCTTAGACGTGCTACTCTCGCAAGAAGCTGGCTGCATAGATTAGTGAAGAAGAGTAATAACAAAGCGAAATTGCCTACCTCTCAATACTCGTGAACAAAAACACAATAAAACAATATTACATCCATTGCAGACACTCGCACCTACCACACATCGGCAGCACCTCCGAGTCCTCTTGTCGCCTCGCGGAAGTTACTCCCCCCGCACCACCACGACTGCATCTCATGGCGCACGGCTATCGAATAAGAAGCATCAAGTTTCCTTTCGAAAAAGAAAATAAAAAAGCCCTGTATCCATCAGCCACCTGCATGCCCGTGACACCGCCTCGAATCGGACACTTCATCCATCGCCCAACCAATTTTCCTCTGCACTGTTTAGTACCAACTCTCCCTGCTTCAATACCAGCCAGCCTCACTGGGACCAGATCTTTCGTGCAGCCTTGTCCAAACCAACTAGCGGCGGGCCACCACTCGATAGCCTGCAGCTCTAATAAGCTTCAACTTCTGTTCCATTTTATTTCTCAATCTACCTGCTCAGTAGATAATCCCACCTCCCTTACTCACGCCATCTGAACCACAGCACCACACACCACCACCGACCCCGGTCGCAACAACCACCACTTAACTTTCCCCCAAGGTCCTTTTGCCCAATTCCCTCAATGCTGCCGCGATAGCGAGAGTGAGAAAAAAGCCACCAAACAAAGTAACTGCCTCTTTCCCTCGCGCACCCCCCACCACGAGAAGCTGTCCAATAGCTAGCCGGAGGAAAGAAGAAAAAGAAAGCACCAACTTGCGGCTCTTTGTCGCCGACTGCAGCGCCGCCATGGTCGTTGGCGGGCAGCTCCTTGGAGCCTTGCCCAGCCCGTCGTCGCCACGACCGCCATCTACGCCCACGTCGTCGACCACGTCGACCATTGCCGCGACCACAGATCTCGACGACGACGACGATGATGATAATCCTCACACAATAACGACCCGCAGCAGGGCGCGGACCGCCTCAGCCGGCGCCGGCGCCGGACTCGCGTCGCCGCCCCGATGTCGCCCTCCAAGGTACACGACGACGACGACGACCGCAACGTCCAAGGGCAGCAGCCTTCGCAATGATACCACCACCACCGCGGCCGCGGCCGCCACTACCGACACCACTCCCGCCGACAGAAGACCGCCTGTCCACCCGTCGATGCTCCAGCCGCGCGTCGCCGTCGTCCTCAACGTCCCGCCCATGTGGCACCCCTGGCTCTTCGCATTGCGTCTGCTGTCCTGCCTGCCAGCCGCCTGGTGGGGGCTGCCCTCGGCGCTGCATCTCCTGCTGCGCTTCCTCCCCCGGCCCGAGCACGACGCTTTTGCCTCGCTGTACCGCGGCGACGGCTGGTCAGAGCCGTACGCCTTGACGGAGACGGCCCTAGCCACGATATGGGTGCGTGTGTTGTCTCCTCCCCTCTCTCTATCTCACTCTACCCCGGTGATGTTGGCCGTCACATGACAACAACAATACACTTGCTAACAGATGGCGTGAAACAGTCTTTTGCCTGTGGTTATCTGTCTTTTTTCTTTACCGATTGCTTAATGTCTAGATGGTATGATTGCCCATATCATTTAAAAAGCATGTGAGATGGTCGCTGATCCGAGTTTGCCCAGGCTCATCAATTATACCCCGCAAGCCACCATCGTTCGCCTCCTCACTATCGACGTGATAAACGCCTACCTCACCCTCACGACCCTTTCCCTCTGTGGCGGGTTCCAGGATCCGCGTCTGCTGCTTCCCGGCTGGATCGGCATCGCAACAGTACAAGCCTCTCCACCTCAACATCAAGTTTCTCGCTAACAAACTCGCAGACACTCACAGTGTGCTACCACATCAGCCACCAACGCATCAACATCCGCAAGGAGACATCCACCTCGGTCAATGTCTTCTCCATCGCCAGCTACCTCAGTATGGTTGCCCTCCTTGCCCACTTGCTAGCCTTTCAGCCCGACTACCCCGCAATGCCCGTCGTCGTCCGCGCCAGGCGTTTCTGGAACGACGCGCTGCACTACGTCGCGCAGGTCAAAGGCACCATTGAGCGCGAGAGGGCTGAGCTGTAAAGGGAGAAAGAAAAAAGGAACGAGTTGTTTATTGGTCATGCAATTCTAAAGTCTGGCGCTGTTTTCGTGTTTTCTTATTCCCCCCATAGAAAGTCATTATTATTCACACCACCCCAAGTTGTAACGCCCTCTGGCTTGCTGTACGAATGCCTACAATCAGCCAAAAGCAAGCGGTAAATTGATTTCTCGAGATTAACCGGTCCATCTCATACAAGCAAAGATACAAACAATGTAATTGTAATCCGTTCACTCGTGCAAGAGGTCGGTAACTACATGCTGTTGCTCGGATTTGACCCTAATATGGACCGTGATCAACGCTACGCCTCCGACTTTGTGATGTAAGGTAGGCATGCATGCAGATGTCCAGTTTCCCGTGAGAGAACACTTCAGCGCGTTGCTGTGCCCATGCTGCGACGTTGTGACATCGATGGAACTGCGTGGCGGTCCCGCATGACGCCGGTGGCGCGGCTCAATACAACCAATTCCCCCCCCCCCCCCCAAACTTCTTTCATCAACAAGATTGCGGCCAGGGCCGGCCGTGGTTTTGCGACTTGTTTTATTTCTCCGCCCAAGCACAGCTCGACGCTGCTGCTTCCAAGGGCGTCGGCCACATCATTGCATCACGAATCCACACACATCTGCACACATGGGGTATCATATCGTATTGCCCTAGACTACGGCCGGGCTTGCCCTGACTACTAATTAACGAGCATCCGACAAGCCAGAAGAACATCTTGGCCCGTAGCATATCGGGTCGTCGCGTCGTAACGCCAAGCAAAAGCATGCTTTGTCCTCTCTTCCAATTCTAACCATGATGATGAAATAAAGTGAAACAGAGACGCTGTGTTTGCCTCGCGGCGACGAAGCAGGCAGGACAATACCATGTGAGGTAGGCCCCGAGTTTCTTGGTAAAATATCACGACTGCATCTCCTCGTACTTCTCGCGCACTGGTGGTTTGGTCCGTCGTCCCTAGAGGTGCTAGTGGGAAATCAGGTTCCCAAGCCCCGGTCAGACTGCAGCGAGAGAGTGCGTACAGTGCTTGTCATGACCGGGAGGCTATGGTTTCTAGCCGGTGGGAAAGGCTTCTCCCCAAACACGCCCTGTTGGTGCGGCCCGCATGCAATGAGCTGTAAAGACTGATGGTCCGCAGCTGCATGTTGCCGGCAGGGCGACGGCGCCGCAGGCCAGCTTAGAAACCGTGGACTTTGATAGTCTTGGGGTCTAGCTCGAGGCCCTCCTTCTTGTCGACAAGAAAGTCCTGAACATCTTTGCGCTGATCGCCCTGGAGCTGGATCACCTCTCCCATCTCGGAGTCTGCGACAATGGTGCCATTGCAAGCTGTTGTGACACCATGTTAGTGCCTGTCTTGACGTCTTCGGATTGTGCGACGCTCGAAAGCAGCTGACACTCTCGTCAAGCTGCATAGTGGAGATTGAAAGTTGTGAGACGCAGGAGACGTACCAAACTTCTTCTTGATGACCTTGAGGATTTTCTTCTGGTCAAATTTCTTTGGGAGACCTTGGACCGTGGTCAAAGTCTTGCGACCATTACGCTCTGTGTCATCGTGTTAGCGCAAGTCATTGTTGTGGCTAAACTCTGAGTCGCTGGGCCACCTGCGCACACGCGACCGTGGGTCGGGCGCAGCTGCGCGGGTCCAGGCGACGAGCGGGATTAAAAACGTACGCTGAATGCGTATATGGATGTAATTTTGAGTCTGTTTGACTTCTCCGGTGTCCTCGTCGGCTTCGGCGAAGGGGTCTGCAAGTGTATGTTGGTTAGCAAAAGTGTCCAAAGTCGAATGCCACTTGTATTGAGGCGGCTGAGGTGGGTTGGTAGCCGGAGGCGGGGTTGGGTCTTGAAGCGTCGCACAGTGCCATCGACTGATAAGCGATGCGCGAGGCAAAATCAGAAGGATAGGGAAAGATATCAACCCTCCAGGTGTTCTAACGCTCGTAACGTACCGTAGGTCTTGAGATTTTCGATGGACATAAACTCGGAGGTGCCTGGGTAACCTTGGGAAATGGGTTTTGTGGTGGGGGAGGGGATGAGCGACCGACGGCTTTCGAAAGCGGCCTCGCTGGAGAGCTGGATAATTCTGGGAAAAGGACTTTGCTGTTGATGCGAGAGCTGGGTTGCGAAAGCGAGAAAAGAGCTTGCGAGTCTTTTCTGTTTGCTGGCTTGCTGGTGGTTTAGGTGAAGTGCAGGAGGCAAATTAGTGTGTGCGCCCCAGCGGGACGTATTTATTTCATCGATCAGAAGAGAAGGAGGGAGAAGTAGACTTTGCGAACACCAGCCACATGCTACAGCGGGCTAGATTTTTTACAATAAGAGGGGGAAGGGGGCAAAGGGGGCAGTGAGTGGCTCAGCCGTGGCTGGTGGCGGGGCAAAAGCGGGGCCGTTGTGCAAATTTCATACTTAGCCAGGTGCCACTGCACTTGACATACGAGCACCAGCATTGACCGCCATGACGCTATATTTCTCTGTACGAATACATACAAGACTGCATAAATAGTACTTGGCCCGGCTGTACTTTTCCATCCATTTTGTAGATCCTATGTTTTGAACATATCCTAAAAAAAGCCTATTCAATCTACTCTGCTGCATCTTTTGACAGGTGTCAAACAAGTACCTAGCCATGGAATACTCGCGAGCGAGAGATGGCTCGGGCCCAACTTGCAAGCGCTTCTTGTGCCACCGTGCATAAAAGCAAAGATCTCTGCCTAGAATTCAAGGCAAAACACATCACCTGCATTTGCCCACCATCCACCTTGTCACCGTGCTACCTTCAACACATCACAAGCCCATGGCTTAGAGACATTGTACAGATATCGCATCCGTAATCTGTAGGGACTGACGAAGCTAAATTTACTGCCCTATCAACCTATCAATCGATCTGCCGGGTTGATCATGCGCTATGCGCCAATCTTTCCGCATACCCCCGCAGCCCATCCATTCATGCAACCGCCTCACCAGGTTTCAGGCAGACGATTCAAATACGGGCGACAAAACTACCAAGGATCATTTGCCGAATGAAATTCACTCACGCAAAGTCAACTGGCTTTTGGTATTGCTCACTGCACACACTTCGCACTTTAGCACCGGTTATTCCGCGGACGATAGCCGCTAGCCCTACCCAAGTTGTTATCAGCAGATCCCCGACACGGCCGAAACTTTTCGTAGCTGGCAATGAGTAGAATTTGAGACTGCAAGTCATGAGAGGCCAAATATTGCGCTTTGGATCCAACAAGCATGTGAGTGAGAAACGTGACTTTGTGAACCAGTTCACCAGGTACCCTAGAATGGCTTCCTTTATCACTCCGCCTTCCACAACGGCCATGGTCTCAAAAGGCTATGCGCTTCTGCATATACGGAGCAAGACTCAGCTTCACAGAACAAAAAGGGTCTAATTTCTTGGCAAAGAATAGTACTGCCACATTGTTTGGCTGCGCGTGTTGGTGACAGCAGTTTTTACTGTCTTTGCATTAGCGGACCTGCGGTTTCTCAACTTGCAACCTCAACAACAGAGAAAACGTATGAATCAGCTCAACCGTGATTTCTATTATAGGAATTAGTCCTAATGCGTTGCCATTCATTTTCTAGGCATGGCTTCAGGGACTCGCCGGACTCCAACAAACTTGGCTGTTGAATCAGCGCTATTGATCCGCCGAAAGCTAGGCTAGACTTTCTCCAGCGTTGGCAACTGATAATTTATCCAACCTGATTTGTAGATTCAGATTCAACTTGACTACATCTTCGTGATCAAGTCTTTATACTCAAAATTGTACTTATCAAAGGAAAGAAGGTGGAGTCATGAGTAATTTATTGATGCCAGACCCTAGAGGTAGCCCAATCGCAGAAAGATTTACTCGACACAGAATGTCAGTTAGAAAAAGCAAAGGTACCGAAAATAAACCAGTAGTTACAGCTCGCACACCGTTTTGTAGATTGTTGCAATAGAAAGCCACTTTAGATGCGGTTTGGGATTTTCGCCAATAGACCATTCCGTCATTCCTCACTTTAGGCAACTGGCAAATCGTGATGCGATGCTGCAACACAAAGGGTCCATGTTCGAGTCTAAATAATGGCATACGCCCGGCCATTGAGCGCAAGTGGATTGCCAATGTCGCATCGCGGCCGCGCTCCCCCCCCCGCCGAATACGTGCCGCCTGCGGTCGGCCTGGTCATGCGCTGTGAACACATCGAGGAGGTGGCAGAGTGACTGCAAAAGTACCATGTTAGGTCTGTGCATGTGGTCAAAAGTAAAGCCCCTGGGAGTAGCGGCTTCCAATGGCGATACAACATTACCTTTGCAGTCTCCTTCCTTAATTGTACGATGCGCCCCAACCATGTCACCATGCTCCGCCGTGGCCTCACGGATTAGCCGCTGTGCGCCTGCCTAATTCAGATGAGATGCCGTAATAAGTGGCCCGGGCCCGGATAACGGTCGGCCACCGTCCCGGCCGTGCTGCAGAGCATTTTCTATAAGATGACAGAGGTGTCCCAGCCATATCGAAATGTAGAAATGTAGTTCTCCTGCTAGTCACTGCACCACATCATTATCCACGGGCAACATGCATTGGTCTACATTGACCGCCGTTCTTGGTTTCGTGGGCGCCGGCGAGGCCCTCCTGCGAGGTCCGAAGCCGATCAAGTCCATGAAGACCATTACGGAAACGCTGCTTAGCGATGCCAGCAAGAAGCCCAGCACGGGCAACGCGACGGTGGCGTACTTTGACCAGCTCATCGACCACAGCCGCCCGGAGCTGGGCACGTTCAAGCAGCGGTACTTTTACAGCACCGCGTACTACCAGGGGCCGGGCTCGCCCGTCTCCGTGGAAGCGCCGTCCGAGGCGGCGGTCCGCGACGAGTACGTGGTCCTGACCAACAAGACCATGGTCGGCTTCATCGCGCAAAACCTGGGCGGCGCGGCCGTTACCCTCGAGCACCGCTTCTACGGCGCGAGCACGCCCGTCCAGGGCGCCCGCAACACGGAGAACCTGCAGCCGCTGACGCTGGAAAACTCGATTGACGACCTCGTCTACTTTGCGAGAAACGTAAAGTTTCCGTTTGATCCGCAAGGCAAGTCGCACCCCGACAGCGCGCCGTGGACGCTGAGCGGTTGCTCGTACGCGGGCGCGCTATCGGCGTGGACTGAGAAGCTGGCGCCGGGCACGTTTTGGGCGTACGAGGCTGGCAGCGCGGTCGTGCAGGCCCGAAATGACCTCTGGCAGTATTACAAGGTCGTGGGAGAGGCATTGCCGCAGAACTGCTCTGCAGACTGGCGACGTGTCATGGCGCATATTGACGAAACCCTCATGCATGGCTCCGACAGCAACAAGAAGCAGCTAAAGGGCAACCTCGGAGCGGCAAACCTCAGCGACCAAGCTGCTGCTGAGTCTGCGACGCGGTGGTTGGATAATTGGCAGAGTCAGCAATATTACTCGGGATATTCTTCAATCTTCAAGATGTGCGACTACATCGAGGTATGTTCCGTCTGCACATTTCCTTCTTATTAGCGTTGCTGGCATTCTCTCGAAATCGTACTTAGTTGTTGTGATAGAACCAATTACCCGAACAGTACGAGCCCGCGCCTGGTCCCGAAGGTCTTGGACTGGAAAAAGCCCTCGAAGGCTTCTTTCGCGGCCTAAAGGACCGGAAGCTGTCCCGTGAGGACACTCTTGACGACGGCGGCTCTGATCCCTGGCTCTGGCAACTCTGCAACGAACCGTAAGAGACCCCAACCTAGACACTTGCGGACTTGCGCCGCTGCTGACATGAGCTTGTGCAGGTTCCAGTGGTGGCAGACGGAGCGCCCCGGTACACCTCTCCACGTCACGACTGGCTATGACACGGAAGAATCCATGCGACGAGAGACCTGCCTCGACGGCTTTCCCGACGTCGGCAGGCACAAGGTGGGAATCAAGCTCGGCCGCGACGAGGACACTGTCAACCGCCTGACGGGCGGCTGGGACAACAACAACGCCACGCGGCTGGTCTGGGTCAACGCCGAGTTTGACCCGTGGCTGTACGCGACCGTCTCGTCGCCGGATCGACCAGACGGGCCGCTGCAGAGCACGGAGAATGCTCCCGTGTTTATGCTTCGCGGTGCCGCGCATTGCAACGACTATGTGACGAAGAATTACGACGTCAACGAGGATGCGCGCACCATGTTTGACGGAGTGGCGACGAATATGAAGAAGTGGGCGGCGGAATTCTATGAGCAGTACAACGTGACGCGCAGATTTTGATACGGAGTCGCCTGCCTAATTCGTATCAGACGATAAACGAGCCCAATAGGAGCGATAAAAAGGCTGAAACATAGAGTACATACTTGGGAGAACAGGATATAGACTCGGCCCGGAAATAGCAAAAAATCATCTTTTCTGCAGAGGTTGTCAGGCTGTTGGCTCGGTGAGGGCCCCTAAAGACCACAATGTGTCACAAAAGTGATCAGGCGGCAAAACAATAATTCGACAGATTCGAGAAGAGAAATCGGCAGAACTTGAGAGCCATCCATGACCAGCAAGCTTTTGTGCTTTCATCATTTGGTTGGGCGCGGTTGAACTTATACCCGCTGTGTAAGTACTCCCGCAATTATTTGTAGATGGCCACGCATCACCTCATACTTTGAGTGGTGAGAAACCTGCATCCACGAACATGTCGAAATCAACAAGAGAGTTTCTGCTAGACCAGGCGAAGCAGGATCCCGGGCTGCCTCGGGCGCTGCCAACGACGTCATACTGGCAAGTTCCACCACACCCAACCCTCGCGGACAAGCAATCTCCTCAGCTGCCGGTGAATACCGATGTCGCCGTTATCGGATCCGGCATCACAGGATGCAGCGTAGCCAAGCACATTTTGGACATTTCTTCGCAATTAGCCGACGGCGCCGTGACGGTGACAGTCTTGGAGGCGCGCACACTGGTGAGCGGCGCCACGGGCCGCAACGGAGGGCTCCTGACCTCTTTTGTCCCGGAAGAGTTTGGTGATTTGGTCGAGCACTATGGCGCAGAAGAGGCTGTCAAGATGGCACGCTTCGCAAAGCGGAACCTAGAAAGGGTGCACGAGCTGGCAAACTCGTCGCCGGAGCTCAGAGAATGGAGCCAGGTGCGCCAGTTGCGAGATGTCGTGTGCTTTAGCAGTGCTGAAGATTTTGCGGCTGCAAAAGAGTCTTGGACTTTATATGAGGAGCATGTGCCGGAGGGCAAGGGAAAAACGGAATTCTTGACTGCCGAGGAGGCAGCACAGGTGAGATGAGTCCGCTTGATTCAGACGCTCGACTTTTAACGTGGGGGCAGAAGTACAATGTTCGCGCATCGGCAGGAGCATTGACCTTTCCAAACGGTGCTTGCTGGCCATATAGACTGATAACCGATATATGGTCGCAGCTGTGTGAACAGTATCGGTCCAGGTTGTCTATCGAAACCAAGACACCAGTAGAGAACATAACGTATGATGGCAGCGACGCAGCGTATCCATACATCTTGCACACGCCGAGAGGTGAGATCAAAGCTGCCAAGGTAATTCATGCGACAAACGGCCATGCTGGTCACTTGCTGCCATCTCTCCGCGGTTGCATCTACCCACTTCGCGGGAGCATGTCGGTGCAGAAAGCAACACCCGAGTTCGGCCATGACGGCCACAAGTTGACATGGAGCATGGTCAACAAGCGAGTCTACGAGCCGGACACGAACGTCCTGGAAGCAGGCACGTACTACGCGCATCAAAATCCCATCACGGGGGACGTTTTCATTGGCGGGGAAAAGACCAGTGCGCGAGACTTTTTCGTCGCCGACGACACGGCGGTGAATGCGCACTGCCAAGACAACTTTACCACGCTTCTGCCGCGCTACTTTATCAAGGGCTGGAGTAATGACAGCAGCAGAGAGCCGGGCCCCGAGATCCGGGCTACATGGACGGGCATCATGGGTTTCACGGGGGACCGCCTACCGCTGGTCGGACGGCTGCCTGCGAGCGCGACGCAGCGCGGCGGCGGCGGCGGCGACGACGACGACGACCGGTATGGGGGGCAATGGATAGCGGCGGGCTTCAACGGCTACGGCATGTCGCTGTGCTGGGCGTGCGGTGAGGCCGTGGCCAGAATGGTGCTGGGGCAGGACGTGGATGATTTTCTTCCAGCGGCGTTGGCGGTGACACGGGAACGGATCGAGCAGCCGGCACGTAGGGGGGCGTTGGATGCGGTTCTTGAAATGGTGGACGCGTGAGGAGTCATGGTTGTTGTGGATGACGATGAAATGAGCGGGATACCGTCAAGCACCCTTTGTGTAATATTTCGAGCGGCGGGTTGATAATACATACATAATTAGACACAATGTTGACGCAAGATGGGACGGACGCGCAAGACGATAGTAGGGAGGTGATATAGACCTTTTGAGCATGCTTGCATAGCTCAACAAGGCAGAGGGGACAGAGGGAAGAGAGATCCACAATTGCCACAGTTATTCAATATCCTTTTTCTTTTGTGGGAACTCGCCTTGTATAAAGAAAGATTGCGAACCACTTTGTGAGCGCTGCATGATACTTCATCTGGAATCCAAGGCGTCCAAGGATCCAGGGGCGGAGGTTCTTGGCATCTGCCCTAGTCCATCTAGATGAGCATAATGAGTAACTATTGAGGAGTAATGTTAGATACGAATATTGAATAAATAGAACTTGCGACAAATCAAGGATGTGGTAAAGCCGAAAAGAAAGGAGAGCAGAAAAAACCATCCCAGTGTATAACTGTTGGGGCATTATCAAGACCCGTATAGAAAACTGCTAGAAATTTCTTCTCAGCGGCTTCCACAATATCATGGAGCAAAGCACCCACTCAAGACGCACCCGGACCAAGTGCCTTGCTGAGGCAAATGGCGATGAGGATACCAGCATACTCGAGTTTGGCTGGTTTTTTGATGAGATCAGGCACCAGTAAGTGGGTAAGGGTGGAATTAGGGTGGCTCAAGCGCTGCAAAAGATGGGATCAAGAGCTTCTCTAGTGGGCAGAGCCCTGTAATCGGACCTATCGTCAGGACTTTACAGGGTGCCTATCTTCAGATAAGCACAGGGGTCTTGGCTGCTAGAAGAGGGCGTGCTTGCATGTCTTACAGGGCTGTTGTTGACAAATTGGAGGGCGCTTGATCAGGGAAAAGTCAGCTGAGCAAAGGCCAACAAGCCAGTTTTTTATCAGGCAATCAAGCTCGCAAACGGACAAAAACCAGCTCGCCATTTTTAGCTACCTACCTACCTATTCATCATGCAGCACGATTTATCCATCACAGCATGGCGCTGCCAGATACCTCCCTAAAAGGGGTCAGCGGAATTCACCAACTTTCGCCTAACTTCCGAATCCGTCGCCGTCAGTTGGCGTCATGATCCGTCCCAGAACAATGGACGTGGGCGGCCCGACGAACAATCCGCTGCTGATCTTGCCCTGCTCGGCCGCTCGCCTCTGCCCGATCGGAACCCAGACTCCATGTGCGCGTGAAGAGACAAATTTCGAGACTGGAAGCGTGGGAGGCGGTCTCCGCCGGTGCATCTCCACCACTTGCCACCACTAGTCCAGGGGACAATCAGAGGGATATATGGTTAACGAATTCTCGGGATAATAGGGCTATGCTGCATTCGGCCAGTCCGTGGGCCGTGGCACAAAAGCCCCAAACTATCATTTGTGTTCCTGACGGTTCCTGGCAAAGGGGGCACAACCTGGCAAGCCCAATTAATGAACACGCTCAACCTGTCCTGCAAGGTTGCTTGGACATGAGCCCTCGACTGCGATCGGCACAAATGACATCTCTCCTAGGCAGTTTGTTCAGTGAGACAGAAAAAACGACAATTGCCTCTTTGGGATGCTACTATCTCGTCTGAACCACCTTGGCACCTGTCCGACAAGACTTCCACCCGGCTAAGCCTCGACATGTCTGCCGAAGCACGCGTGGCCAGAGTCAGGCACCATGCGAATAATGAAAAGCACATAATAACCTAGCCACGCTACTTTCATGCAATTGAGCCTCCAAGCTATTCCTGTTCCTGAACGAGGCGCTCCTCCGCCAGCCCTTCATTGGCTCCAGCTAGCCTCGAGCTATCCACACATGCTCTGTCTAGACCCGTCCACCGTCTGCCATCCGGCCCATCCCTCCACGCGCGTTATGCCACACCAATACCGCCAATACCATAGCCTGGCTGGATGGCCAAAGTAATTCACCCACCGCCGAGCAAATTCTCTCACTCGACCCGCTTCATCTAGGCAGATGAACAGGGTTGAGCATGGATGTGGAAGCGTGAGAAGCTGGAAGGCTTCTGCGGACCGCCACTAACGCCGCGCCGTCGCCCTCACCCACCTTTCTGCTGACGTCTTGTCCGTCTTGGGTATGATGTAGCGCTGCTGGCTAGTTGACTAACATGCTGATGAGATCGTGGGTGATGGATCCGGCCACACAGTGAAAAGGGCAGCTGCTCCGCTCCTCCTAGCCTGATGCCGTCCCTTTCCTCTTCTTCATCAACTCTCTCTTTCAACGTAGAGACTCACCGGGCTCGGATACTAGGCCTCCTTGTAGACGTTTTTGTCTACGTCCCTTCTTTCAAACCAATCGACCAACCAGTTCACATTCTTTAATAGTTTCACAGGTCTCGACCAAATTACAATCTTTTACACATGATGGTCTCCAAGCTCTTTACCGCTCTCGCCGCTGCTGGCGTGGCGGCGGCCGCTGGCACCAATGCCAAGTTCAACGCTTACTGGGTGGGATTCAGCACATCAGGTCATTTTCATTCTTGCCTTCTCTAACACAAACTCAATTACAGGGTCAGTCTGGTCCCCCGAACGAGAGTCTCCGCCAGCGTTGTGACGAGGGCGCCGACTACATCAGTCTGTCCTTTGTCACCTCGTCTCCCGAGAAGAACCCTGATACCGGCTATCCTGGCATTAACTTCGCCGCCCACTGCTGGGCCGATGTCTTCGAGGTCAATGGAAAAAAGTCTAAACTGTTTAGTCACTGCGGAACCATCAAGGATGATCTCCAATACTGCCGTGACAAGGGCATCAAGATGCTCCTTGCCATTGGCGGTGAATGGAATGAGAATACCGCCGACTACCGTGTCACCACTGAGGAGAAAGGCCGTGAATTCGCCGACTTCCTCTGGAAAGCTTTCGGTCCCCACGATCCCTCTTGGCCGGGCCCTCGTCCGTTTGACAAGAGTGCTATTGAGCACAGCGCCATTGACGGTTTCGACTTTGATCTGGAGCTCCCCAAGGAAAACGGCAAGCACTTTGACAACAAGCCCTGGATCGCCATGATCGACCAGTTCCGCAAACTGAGCAAGGATGTCTTCATCACCGGTGCGCCCCAATGCCCTACCGCGGACGAGTGGTTCTCTATGAAGGAGATGATCCAAAAGGCTCAGTTCGACGCCCTCTTCATCCAGTTCTACAACAACCCCGGTTGCGATCTCAAAAATGCCAATTTCAACTACAAGATGTGGGAAGACATCATCGCCAGGAGCGACAAGAGCAAGAACGCTAAGCTCTTTGTCGGTATTCCTGCTTCCGATGCCGCTGCCTCAAGCGGCTACATTGCTCCCAAGGATCTCGAGAAGATCATCTGCTCGATTGCCAAGAAACCCTCTTTTGGCGGCATTTCCATCTGGGACATGTTCAAAGGCTTGGAGAACGTGGTCGATGGCAAGTCCTTCAACGAGCACGTCAAGGACATTCTCAGCAAGTGTGGTAAGCAGACTGCGACCTCTACGACCTCGAGCACCACTAGCATCTCGACGGCCAAGACGGCCAGCTCTTCCAGCATCGCAACCACTAGCACCTCCACCGTCTTGACTTCGACCCCGTCCTCCATCCATTCTACTGTTGTCCCGAGCGGCAGCAACAACACCAGCTCTGCCCTGCCCACCATCTCTAGCTCCTCTGTCAAGCTCGCCGGCACCGGCAACGCCCTGTCCAGCTCTTCTGTTCAGCTCACCGGCACCGGCAGCTCTCGCGCTGCTGTTCCCACTCCTGGCACGGCCTCTGTTCCCTCAGGCTCGCACTCCAGCCTCGTCCACTCCTCCGTCGCCGCCACCACCACTCCTCGCGTCACCGTGGCGCCCTGGAGCAACAGCACCACCACCTCGCAGGAGATGACGACCAGCACCGTCTACACGACCGCCACCCGCACCATCACCGACTGCCCCCCCTCCGTGACCAACTGCCCCGCCCGCGTCGTCACTGAGACCATTGCCCTCTACACCACTGTCTGCCCTGTCACCAAGACCAACCACATCCCTCCCAAGCCCACT